GTTGTCCTCTTCTATTTGTCCCCGTGTCAGTTTCAGTTTATTGGTTAGCTTTTCTAGTAAGGCTGTTTCTCATACAATGTGATACCATTGGTCCATGTTTAGTCCTGACAGGTCCCTCCAGGGTCTGACTATGAGGCGGCTGGTATGAGAGTAGGTGGGTTATAAACTCTGTATAATGTGAGTGGCCATTATGATCTTGGAAGATGTTCAGTAGGGCCAGTTCTGGGGTGAGTTCTAAAACCTGTTTAGTTATTTTGTATATCTCTTGTCGGACTGCTGTCCAGAAGGATTGGATTTTGGGGCATTCCCACCACATGTGGAGGTATGTGCCTGTGGAGGTGCAGCCTCTTCAGCATCTTTGAGGTTCCTGGGAGTATCATGCCAGTTTCCATGGTGTTAAGTGCCACCTGCAGATGAGTTTCAGAGCGAGTTCCCTTCTTTTGGCTAAGATGGATTTAAAGGGAGGTTTAGACCACATTCTAGTCCATTGGGTGGGGTTAATTTCATAGCCGTGTTCCCATTGCTCTTTGATTGTGTCAAGGGTGTGTGTGGAATTTTAGAGCAGTATTTTGTATATTGTGGATACCATCCATTTGTCATCTCCCTTTCCTGTCAGGAGGTTTTCGAAGGTGGTCAAGGGCCCAGTGGCTGCTGATTTTACTGCTAGATTGTTTAAGAAGGCATGTAGTTGATGGTGTGTTAGCCAAGGTATTTGGGTGTGTCCTAGTTTGTCTTGTATTTTTTGTGTTGGCATGGGTTTGTTGTTTTTGTAGAAGTCTTTTAAACAGTGTAGGCCTTTGGCTTGCCAGGTTTTTATCTGGAGGTTTTGTGGGTGGTAGGACGGGGGGTTAGTGGGGATGGTGACAGTTTGCCTACTTTTCCCTTCTATGCTTTAAGCATGGACTACGTGAACTTGTTCAGTGCTGTGGGGATTTTCTTTACTTTGTTTGGGAGAAATGGGTATGCTGTTGTGGGGATGGTTTCGATGGTTTCTCTCTCCAAGTGGACCCATTGTTTTGTCTCGTTTTCTAGAATATACGGGATTATGTGACTTACATGGGCTGGCAATATAATATGATTCTATTTTGGGGATTCCACATCCTCCTTCTGAGGAGGGGAGGTGCAAGTATTTGGGGCTTATTCTTTGCTTTTTGTGTGTGAAAATCAACACCTGTAGTTTTTTCTGCCACTTCAGGAGTTTGGTTGGGGGAATCCAGATTCGGAGGGTTTGGAATAAATAGGTTAGTTTTGGGAGGGTGGTCATTTTGATCATGGCTATTTTGTCTGAGAGGGTGAAGTCTCTGTTGATTTGTCACCACAGGGTCTTGTAATTGTGGAAGTATAGTTTGTTGAGGTTTCTGGTTATTTGAACCTCTAGGTATCTGAATCTGGTGCAGCAGAGTTTGATCTTTGTAGTTGGTGAGTACCCTTTGGATGGGGATGGTGGTGTTGAAGCACATAGCCTCAGATTTTGCAAAGTTTACTTGTAGGCCCGACACCAATGTGTTGAGTTATTTAGTTAGGGTATGAATGTGTTATTTAGTTAGGGTGGTTGCTGTGTTGATGGGGTCTGGTGTTGTGACCATCTGGTCATCTGCGAAGAGCCCTAGTTTGTAGGTTTTACCTCTTCTTACCACACCCTTGATATCTGGGGCTGCTTGGAGTTGGATTGCTAGGGGTTCCAGGGCCAAGATGAATAGAGAGACAGTGGGCAGCCTTGTTTTGTGCCTCTTTGGATTCCTATGGTATTTGAGTCTATATTATTAATTATGCATTTTGCTGAGGATTGGGAGTAAGGGCTTGTAGGACGTTGGAGCCAAATTTCACACACACACCCCATTTGAATGGCAATGTCTGTCAACTTGTGGGAGGGCAGCCCCCTCAATTATTTTATTGGGAGAATAAGGGACATCGGCCCCTCAAAGGTAGCTCCAATGCACCCCTCTCCTGCGCCTGATCTTCACTCACCCCTTCTTCTCTGCGGGGCTGAGGGCACCAGTTAGTGGTTTCCCTCATGCACCAAACTGGTCTTGGGCCGGCTCTGGTTGGGTCAGCCCCAAATAGAACCCTTGTTCCACCTCAGGTAAGAGTCAAACTCTGAAAGGCAAGACCATCCCTGTAGGTTCACCTTCCCTGTTAAAACGTTGCTTAGCACCTTCTGGGTCTCTTAATTTCCCACTGTTTTTTGATACACAGATCCCCATAATCCCTGTTGTGACCTCCTATTATCAACAACCCCCCAACTTCAAAGATGGCCAGAGGCCCTTTTTTTGTAGAGGTGAGTGAGTCTAAATGACAGTCTTGCTTATTTGGTTTATACACTTCAACGTGAAGTGAGAATGTATATTTTGCTTGAAAGCCTTTTCCACTTGCTTTAATTTGAATTTGAATGCTGTATAAAAATTACTACCTTAATCACTATATGACTTATTTCTGGGGAGGGGGGTGTTTAGCCACTCCTTTCTCCTCCTCTGTACAACACTGCCATTTTGGACCTGTTCTGAAATTTATTTAAATATTATTCCTTTATATACTCATGTATAGACCACTGCTTAAGGCATAGACTTTACAAGGCAATTTCAGCATAGAATTAAGTTGCACTGTCTCTCTTTCTCTCTGTTGCTCCCTGCCACCTTCAGATAAGTGGATCATCCAGATTTTGCCCAAGATAGAAACACGAGGCCTTGGCCCAGAAGATGTCCCTGCACTTGCTGACAGCACACGGAAACTGATGCTGGATACTTTCAATGAGATCAGTGGGCACATAGTTTTAGAGAAAGATACCAGAGAGTGAGAGCCTGCTTATCATGGAAGCCTGGGAGGACCCACCAACCAGGAAGCTAGACAAGAACTTTGCTTCCGTCCAAAGAAGAGGACAGAGGAAACACTTCACTCCACTCAGACCCAACTAAGACCAGGGCCAGCTAGTGGCTCAGCTATATGACGACAGGATCCAGGCATCTCTCCAGCCCACACCTTTTTTTATTTAAAGGAACGACAATCCATATAGCAGCACTATTGAAATGTCTGATAGTTCCGCTATTCAGTCACTCACCTCCGAATTTTGAGAGCTGTTCCTGGTGATATGAATAGTAAGATTGCTGTCAGTCTTACAAGGCTCAGACAGGACTTCAGAAGATAAGCATGGTTTTTCAGGCACTATTTGTGCATTTGGTGATTGTACTGTCTAAGGGAACACTTTGGTTTCTGCATTTGATCTCAACAGAAGATGACCTGAGTGTTTCATTTTCTCCTTGTCCTGTTGTTGGAATTGGCCCTGTCTTTACTCCAGCAAGTTTGAGATAAACACTTACTCTGAAGTGTGCTGCTTATAGAAACATAAGCAACCTTAGCCTGGCCATTGGCAGGTGCTACTTTGGGCTGAGATTCCTAGAGTTGGAAAGCCTGCTCTGATTTGTCGCCCAGCAATTCTGCAATTATTGTTAGCTCTCATTAATAGCTCACCTTTCCTGTAAAGAGCTCAATGTGATATATCAGATTCTTCCCTTCTCCTTTTTATCCCCACAAGAAACCTATGGTGTAGGTTAGGCTGGGAGACGGGTGACTAGCTCAAGATCAGCCAGTGAGCGTCATGACTATGTTGAGATTTGAACCCTGGTCTTCCACATCCTAGTCCAACACCCTAACGCTTCTCCTATATTCAGGAACTGCTGTTGCCCTGTAACTTCAAACAGCAAGATGTGGGGTCCTTCTCTCTCCAGATTTTGTTATTTCAAAGCCCTAACAAATGGACTCTACCGTCTTTATTTATGACTTGACCTGAATGCATCAGGTGAACACAACCTGTTTTGAGATTTGCCACATCCAATCATCTGCCCAGATGTTGCAGCAGTCCAAGGTGCCTGAATGACATAAGCTGAAACTTCATGCAAGGCCTGGAAGGTTAAGCCTGCTTCGCCCTCATCGGAAGATCTCTTAGCTGAGTGTGGGAGGTGGTGTCTGGATTTGAACCTGAAGCAAAGGGGCAGGAGATTGCCCAACTATGCATGCCAATGGAGATTTCAGTCTGGTGCCAATGAAATGAGTGCAAGGTGGAAGTGGCAAGTATGACCATCCTTGCTAGGGAAAGCTGTGAAACTATTCTACAAATGCAGAGCAAATGTGAGAATCTAGGAAGCATAGCCAAATGCTTCAAAATCTGCACATGTGATTGGATGCCAATATCATTCTGGCCTGCTGCACTGTCTGTGTGTCAGGCTTAGGCTACACTCACACCATTCATTTCCATAACCTCCAACATGTTCCAGGAGGAAACAGGGACGTGCATCTTTCTGGGCCCCCAAAAACAGGATGCTCCAATTTAATCAGTGGAGTATGCATTTAAAGCAGCATGACGCTTTAAAGTTCATGACTTCCTCCAAAGAATTATGGGATCTGTAGTTTGTTAAGGTTGCTGAGAGTTGTTCGGAGGACCCTGTTCCGTTCACAGAGCTACAGTGGTTTAGCAAATCAACTCTATTTTGCAGGGAACTCTAGGAGGAGAGGAGGCCCCAAATACCTGAAAGACAGCCTACAGACTGTCCTGAGTGTTAAGTGTGGCATTTCCACCCCCCTCAGAATTGTGTTAATTCCCTCCCCAAAGAGGTGAATCTGGCTTCTTCATTATACAGCTTTCAGACAGTGCTGAAGACGCGCCTCTTTCACTTAGCCTTTGACACAGGAAACATTTGTTTTCCAGGCACGCCCTATTCCAGGGACAGTAATTGGTTTTTAATTGCTATAATCTGACCTGGGGCCTGCTGGTTAAGGACATGTAAATAAAGATCTATGGTAATAATGGGCCACAAGTTCCCCACACCTGCTTTAAAGCCCTAAACAGCTTGATCCATTAAGGAACCTACTCCCAACATGCCTGGGATCTTGTGCTACACGTCTGTAATCAGGGGGAATGTCAATCAAAGCCAATAACAAAGGGGAGAGGGTTGTTTGTCTTTGATGTCAGCGCTACTGACAAGAAAAATAAAAGCAGCCAGAGAATAGTTCATGAGAAAACAATGTTTAATAACCAAGGGCAGACACCTTGAAGGGAGGTAACTCATGAAGAGGCCTCTCCACAGACACGCCTGGTGAGCTGCAAGTGGGCCAGGATAGCAAGAAAATGAGCCCAGGCAACCTTGTCCCAATGCACATACAGCTCACACCACCAGCCACCAAACCAAGCGCCAGGAATTCTGAAATTCCATGTGACATCTCAACAAACCTGGTCAGCTGCTGCTTGGAGACTCCTGGGGCGCAGTTTGAGATTCTGACATGTTCAAGGGTGGCAAAAGGCCTGCTCGCTTAGCAACCACGAAGCAGCAGGACAAAGTGGTTTACTTCTTCCGCTGCCGGTGTTTTGGCTTCTGCTCCTTGCGTTTCTGGGCTCTCATGTCCTTCTTGAGGCGGCTGTCCACCACTTTGAAGTGGCCCTTGACTCCGGCAGGGCGCCGGACCTTCCGCCCAGCACCCTTTTTGGCCACAAGGTAGGTCACCTGCCGTTTCTCCTTGCCTATCCCTGCCTTCTTGTAAATGCTGTTGTTGGAGAAGGGGGGAGGGACACAGGGAAAGTGGGGAGTTACGAGCGCAAGGCTTCTCTTCGAACCCTGAACAATTGCTCCTGAGTCTCCTGTGTTTATTTAGTTGCTATTTTACTTATTCAATTCATATCCCGCCTTTCCTCTGAAACAGAAAGGTTGTCGCGCCTTCCTTTCTTTTCACAACAATTCTGTGAGGTAAATTTGGGCTGTGAGACAGTGAATGTCCCAGGGTCACCCAGCAGGCTTCATGGCAGAGTAGAGATTTGAACCATGGTCTCCTGAGTCCCAGACTGTTAACATTGCACCATGCTAGCTCTCCAGTCTCTGTCTGGAAATCTGACCCTAGAAGCCTGGCCCCAACAAAACTAGTTTATCAGGTTCCAAGGGGATTGATTTAGGTACATCTGAAGCACAGCAGGCCTGGCTTTCCCCAGAGCCTGGGTGGTTCATTCGTTTGGGAACGCTACGGAAGCCGCTCTGTGATTGGTTAGGAACGGTGGCTCTAGTAGCCCTGCTGTGGGACTGCAACTCCCATCAGGCCCCACCAGCCTGGCCTGATGGGAGTTGTAACCTAGCAACATCTAGAAATGCCTCAGGTTCCCCACCCCTCCCTGCAGTTGGAAGAATATTGCGATATCTACACACTGCAGACCTCAAGAGGAAACAGAATCTCCCTCTGTGAGCCCTGCGGGATTCATGTAGCAACCCTGCTGTTCTCCACAGGAAGCACCCCCTCCCCAAGCTGAAGACCTACCTGCGCAGCTGAGCAGCTTTCTCACGCTCAGAGATGTCCACGGTGTTCACCACCGACTCTGCTTTCTTCTTCATCTGCTCCAGTTTCTTCAGCATCTGCGGAGAGGGACAGAGCAGTCAGGGCACTGAGGGAGAGGGCAGGCAAGCAGGGTTCCTGTGGGGTTTGGAATAAACCTGGAGATCTGCTGCCACTCAAGGCAATAAGGATGGAGAGATCCTCTGATCTGGAAAAGGGCAGTTTCCCACTCTGTGCGCGTGAACGGGCAGCTTGCTCTCTTGCTTACCCGCCGCTTCTTGCGGGCCTTGGCCTCCGCCACTTTCTTGATGGGCCGGGCATTGATCTCACGCCAGCGCTGGCGGTACTCCTCCACCGTCTGCCGATCCAGGGGCAACGGCTTGCGCCGGTGCTGGTGCTCTTCCTGTACAAACCACTCAGGGAGCTCGTCTTCTTCCTCATTGAAGGTGTATCTGGGGGCAGGAAGAGCAGTAAGCAGGCAGATCAAAACATGCACCTGCTTCCCTCCCCTCCCTAAAATTAAAACTGGAGGCACAGTTCACTCTTTATGATGGGGAAACTTTTCAAGTGTGCTTCTTAGCTCAAAGAAGGCAAGCTCTCAGAACAAGCACTCTTGCAGAGACTCTTCACAGCTTTACCACATCGGGGATGACTGGAGGACCCAATTGCAGCAGGATTACCTGCTCACAGGTGAAAGTAGCCGAAATAAGTCAAGATCAAATCAGCCGGCTCCAGTTAAAGCTGCAGTTGGAGCCCTTCTACCCCCACAAATATCAGGCTTTACTGTCCACCTTCTACTTGGCATTTAGTACCACCTGCTTTTTCACTCCAGTTGGGGCTGTGATGTACTGGTGATCTCTCCTGGTAATTAAAGTGTAACAGAGCATCTGTGCGTCAGGCTGCAGCTCTAGGTGCAAGGTCTTGAAGTATCACACTTCTGCGGCGACACATGCTCACATGCAAATCTCTGTGTTAAAAGGTGATGAGGGACATGTAGAAGCTTGCTAACACCTCCCTACTCTCCATTACCTGTTGAAAGAGTCATCAATCAAATCCCTCTTGGCCTTTTTGGAGGCGGCAATGACGGAGCCCAGTGCCAGGCCCTCAGGGTCCAGAATACGAGCTCGCTTCACTGCAGAGAGACAAAGGCTGCATTCAGATGTGGGGAATATCGGGTTAAGTCTTCCCTGTGGCTTTGGGACTGATAAACCACCCCGCAGCACTAGAATCAGAGAACTCTAGAGCTGGAAGGGACCCCCGATACTCATCTAGCCCAACCCCGCGCAATACAAAAATCGCAACTACATAATCCCTAACAGAAGGTCACACAACCTCTGTTTAAAAACTTCCAGTGAAGGAAAGTTTATCACATTCTGAAACAGTCTGTTCTACTGTTGAATTATTGCCACAGAAGTTCTTCCTAATGCTTAACGGGAGTTTCCTTTCCTGCAATTTGAATCCACTGGTCTGGGTCCTACCCTCTGTAGCAGCAAAAAACAAGCAAGGTCCATCTTCACATATTTGAAGATGGCTGTGATATCACCTTCTCAAACTTCCTTTTCTACAGGCTAAACGTACCTAAATTTCATTCAGATCACTGGACACTGTCACTACGCACTTTCTGCATATGCGGGCTTCTGTTCCTCTACGAGTCCCACATGAAAACAGCAGGAAAGAACTGCTGTATACTGCTCTAAATCTCTTCGAACTGCTGGGTGAGTGCAGCTGCAACAACAACATTTCAGACTGTCTTCCAGGCGGCTTCTCCAGCTCCGAGGTTCAGAGAGGAAGCGGAAGCAACCAGGATACAAAAGCCCCCATTCTTGGCTCATCCTCACCTGGATCATCAATGGGGACCACCTCAATGCCTCTTGGCTCTTCCTCTGACCGGAGCCGTTTTGTTCCCTTGCGTGAGGCTGGCTGCTCCCTGAAACATGTAAAGAGTAGGGAGTTATGAGATGCCTTCGCTCCCACGTCCCATCCACGTCCTCCAAAATAAACCTTAGAAATGTCACATTAGGCATACTGCTCACCAAAATCTAAACAACATGGACAGCTGGAAAGGAACTCCCAGGAACTCTGGGATTTACTTCTCTGGGATCTCTACCAACGCTCCTGCTCCTGAATCCAGCTCTGTTAGGTGGAGGCTAAAGTGTCCTTGGAGGCTAGGAGTGTTTTTTAATGACCTGTTACTCTTGCAGGATTGAGATCCTTTGAACATAGCTGCGAATGCATTGCTAATCTCAAGGCTGGATTACTGCAATGAACTCTGTGTGGGGCTGCCCTTAAGGTTGGTCTGGAGGCTGCAGCTGGTGAAGAATATGGTGGCTAGGTTGCTTGTGGGGACAAACTACTGCCAACACATAATACACCTCGCTTGTGCGATTTGCACTGGCTGCTGATCCTCCACTGGGTCAAGATGGTTTTGGTACTAACACGTAAAGCCCTGTACATCTTAAGACAAGGGACCTTGAGAGAATACTGCATCCCTTGTTTACCCAGTGGGCCACTGCGTTCTGCCGGAGAGCTTCTCCTTCCAGCTCCAAGGTTATCAGAAGCCTGCTCCACAGTAACTTTTGGTGTGGCTGTTCTGTGGAGCAGCATCACTGCTGAGATATGACAGGTCCCCACAATCAGCACTTTCCAGAAATAACTGAAGACCATTTTGTTCCAACTAGCTGTCCAGGCCGGAGGAGGAGGTCTCTGAAGTAGGTGTCCCCCCGTTTTGTGTTGTTTTAAAACTCATCTTCTGCTGTCTGTTGTGCTGTTTTGTAACTGATCTTATTACATGCTGCATATGATGAGTGTCAAACCTGAGAGAACCAAATGTTTACCAGCTGCGCCATTGCACAATGTTTAATCCTCTTCAGAGGTAAGGCAGCCTTAAAAATGAAATAATGAAGTAATGCATAGAGCGGCTAAGTCTCACTGACCAAATTAAGGAGATGTCTCTAAACAGACAGCACTCCGCTGCTATATTTTCAATTTAACTGAAAATATTTATACCTCACCTTTGCTTGTAAAAAACAACAACCCAGAGGCAGCTCAAAACACAATGCACAATAATACCAAAACCAAACATAACAATATAGCAGCAGATGAAGACAGTTGGGAACAGCAGCAATCCCACTGATCCTTGACCACAGCATGATTTAATAGCTGGATGCATGGCATCAGAACTAAAATCCTACTTTGATCTCAGCTGCAACATCATGGGAGGCGATGAAGGTGATTCTAAGAAGGATTTGTGTAAGTGAGGCAACAGGTATTAAGCACGAGAGTGCAATGGAAAGAGAGTGCGTAGAAACAGTGATTTTTTAAAAGAAACCTAGAGCAGCAGCACAAGAGAAATAGAGGACGGTATGTGCAGTCCACCAAAATATCATGACAATATGCGGAAGGACTTTTTGGGCTAAAACACAGGAATGTGATTTCATCTTCTAGAGCAGTGCAGTTGGTATGTTGAAAGATGTTCATGTGGGATGTAAAATTTAAAAATTAATTTTTTAAAAATGCATTTATTTTAAAAGGACTTCACCTTTCGTCATCACTGTCGCTGCTGTCACTCTCCCCCGTGTCAGAACCCTTCCCCTCAGCTGCACCTGTAGGACCTTCAGGCTTTGGGCCTACCTCGAGTGTCGTCTCGAGCGCAGCACCAGAGCGGGGCTGCGTCTTTTTCCTCTTTGTATTTTTGGAGGCTGTATAAGAGAAAACCACAGACAGGGTGAGAAAATCTCTCCCTCGCCTTCCATCAGTCATCCTGAACTAACTGTCCTGGGGCAAGCGTGATGGGGGGGGGGAGGGAACGAAGAAGGAGGCTCAGCACCAGAGAGTCAAGATTCACATACACCGGACAGTGGCAGAGTTTCATGCTCCAGTACTGGGGGGGGTGGAGAGCAGGTGGGGGCAGGGCTGGCGTGCGTCGTGGGGGCGGGGTGTGCCGCCCACAGGGGCATGGCGCGCCGCCTGCGGGGGTGGGGCACGCAGCGCATAGGGGGGAAGCTGAAATGGCACCTTGCTGGCATTGCGCTGCCGGGGGCGGGGTGCTTCCCCCGCACTCCTTTCTCCACCAGTGTACATGGATGCCAAGCTTGGTATACGAAATCCCTTCTTATATGGTGAGAGAGTGAAAAACCAACAGCTTATCAGCAGTCTATATTCACAGGATTTTCTGCAATAGCAAATCAGTCCTCAATCCTGGATTCAATATTAGCTCTTCTGGTTACGGAAGGCAATGTAAATCCTACCACTGTTCAAGAAGTTGCTAGCTCTGCTGTCACCCCTGAAATCAGCAGACACTGGAAGTCTGCATGTAGTCGCTCGAGGACGGATAGATTTTGGCATCCTTCAGGCTCAAATATGTGGCTTACCTGGGGGAGGTTCTGCCCGGTTCTGGGACAGGACTTGTGCCTGCCCAATCTCTAGTGCCTCGTCAGCATCGTCATCAATCCCAGCAAACGCTTCCTGGCCAGCAGAAAACACAAAAATCAAGGGCACAGCTAGAAGCTTCCCTTGCCCAAACAAGGTGCTGCTTCCTGGAATAGCTAGCTGCCTACTCTAGCTGCAGGGCACCCATCTGGAAAGCTGAGCCAATCTAACATGACACCCCAACAATGATGTTCTTAGCGTTCCCACTAGACCAAGGGGTGGGGAAGCTGCCACCCTCCAGATGTTGTTGTTGAACTCCCAACTCCCATCAGCCCCAGCAAGCCCGGCCAGTTGTCAGGGATCTATGGGAGCTGCAGTTCAGCAACACTGGGCGGGGCCAGAGGTCACCCAGTCCTGAGCTAAGCCATCATTGGTCATGGAGGAGGCCAAAGAACCTCCTCCGTATCAGGAGATGCTCACCTTGCCAAACCACAGACTTGCTTGATGTTCCTGCCGCTCCTCCTTGCTCTCTAGTGCCACCAAAAGTGGGTTCTCTGCCTCTGCGCTCTCCTCTTCCTCTTCCTTGGCAACCCTGTAAACACATTGGCCAGAACTCCAGCAGAGCTCGAAGCACTGGAAACACAGCAGACCCACCTGTAGCCCACCGGCGATGGGTAGGAGGGAGATTGGTTGGACTCACAGGTGTATCCCTACTGCTGTTGGAGGACTAGGAACTCCCACTTGGGAGGGATAATGAAATCCCTCCTAAGAGGCATATTGAGGGTTAACAGGCGACTGAGGAATATCTGCCCACACCCTATTGCCTTGAGCATTTGGGGGTGGGGGTGGGGAAGGTTGTAGCTCGTTGACAAGAGCTTTTGATTTGCACGCAAAAGGTTCTGGGTTCAGTCCCCGGCATCGGCAGGTGGGGATGGGATGTCCCCTGCTTGAACTCCGACAGAGCTGCTGCCAGTCAGTGTAGACAATACTGAGCTAGATGGAGCAATGGTCTGACACTGTTTAAAGCAGCTTACAAAACAAAACCAAACCAAAACAATTCCTTTATCTCCAGGGATGGGAGCAGAATAAAGGCAAGCTGGGCTTTCTATGTCAGTGTTTTCGTGGTGTCTTTTTCCTTGTTTCTAGCAATCGTTCTAGAAAGCAGACCCTCAAGGTAGTAACTCCACCTGACTGCCCAGCGCCCCAGCTCCTGTCCTGCTCCTCCCCCCTTTCTCTTTCTCCCTCTCCGAATTCAGATCCTTCTTTTCCACAGAAGGGGGATACATGATCTTCCAGTACATTGCATTCACATTCAATAAATGACGTTGCGGAAAGGAGGTGGTAGTTGGCAGTTGACAGTTACTTGGTTATTTCAAATAATTCAATCTTGACTGAGAAGGCGAGAGGACTTCGTGCAGATGCTGCTTGGAGGAGCTTGCAAACAACACTTACTGTTCAAATGTTGCCAACCTGACAAGCAGAGTTTTATCTTCAACTATTTGTGTGAGGCATTAAAAAAATAAAATCACAAATAGATAACAGTTTGGCTTTCGAGGTCAGCAAGGTAATACAGTGGTGCCCCACAAGACGAATGCCTCGCAAGACGGAAAACCCGCTAGACGAAAGGTTTTTCCGTTTTTGAGTTGCTTCGCAGGACGAATTTCCCTATGGGCTTGCTTCGCAAGACGAAAATGTCTTGCAAGTCTTGAGATTTTTTTTTCGCTTTCCCCCCCCTTTTTCTAAGCCGCTAAGCCTTTAATAGCCTTTTAGCAGCTAAGCCGATAAGCCAATAAGCCTTTAATAGCCGCTAAACCGCTAATAGCGCTAATCCGCTAATAGGGTTGCTTCGCAAGACGAAAAAACCGCTAGACGAAGACACTCGCGGAACGGATTAATTTCGTCTTGCGAGGCACCACTGTAATTCCACCTGATTTTCCAGCCCCCCAGGTTCCTGCGCTCTCGCTCTCTCTCTCCATGCGGATCCTTCTTTTCCACAGAAGGGGGAGTCATGATCTTGCAGTAATTTTCACCCCCAGGTTTAGTGCTGCTCAGGTGAGGAGACCACCCGCAGTGTCTTTCTCCACCTCCCTCCAGAATGTCAAGCCAACCTCATTCCTGGAGCCAACCCACCTTGCATCCTCCCACCCCCTTGAGTACCTCAGCTGTGGGGCCTGGGCCCGCTTCATCTGCCTTGACCGCTCCTCAACCTCCGCCATCTCCTCCTCGTCCAACTCGCTGGCCAGAGACATGTCGTCGTCGGAGTCTCCCCCTTCCGAAAGCGAGAGGTCGTCGTCTGCACCTGCTGCTGTCGCCACGAAGGTATCTGCGGCTGCCATGTCTCCCTTGAAAACCTCATTCAGCAACTAGAAGTGGAAGAGGCACAGGTGTGTGTATGGAATGTGTCAAAGGAAGGCGGGACCGTCTTAGAGGGCAGTTCTCCTTACCGCTGGGAGCTGCCGCCACTCTTCCGAGTTGCTCACCCTACGCAGACAGTGTAGTGCAATGGTTAGAGTGTCAGACTAAGATGTGGGAGACAAGGGTTTGAACCCCCACTCAGGTGACCTTGGGCCCCAGGGCTGCTGAGACGATATTTTATTTTTTTGGTCGGGTGAAAAAGAACCATGCGTACAACTTGGAGCTCCTTGGTGGCGTATAAATGTACTAAATGGACAAATATAAATGATAGAAGTTCTCCTTGTTTATTAAGGCGTTTTAATTGCCCTTAATTGCAACAGGCACAGGGCGATGTGCAACAAAACAAGACGCTACAAAACAGAATCATTAGCGTAGCAGACCCTTTTGTGTGTTATAAATGGGGGAGAGGGACTTTTGGTAGTTCCATGCCCTCAGAAGTGGGAATTCTCCATGGCAGCTCCTAAATTATGGACTTCCCTCCAAGCACATAGGTGGGTCAAGCATCACGGGTTCAACAGGATATGTGAATTAGGAGGAACTTGTATCATACTTAGAACTGGCTTTACTCATCACACCTCTAGAAGCTTGATGAAAGAGGTGTGTCTCCACCCGCTGCCAAAACAAAGATGCTGTAAAGACACATGACAACTGTGGAGCCACCACCAAAAAGGCTCTTCCACAGGCCCCTGCACTGGCCACCTTCAGAGCAGGAGCCACCGAGTGGGCCTCACCTGCCAGTAACAATGAACAGGCTCATTCTGGCTGGGGGGCAATGGCAGGCAAACAGTATCTGGAGGGCATCAGGTGGTGGAAAGATGGACTAAGACGGATCCTGCAGGGCCCGCACTTTGAATGCATGTTTGCAACGCTTCCTGCTTACCTGACTTTTGCTGATGGCCCGGAGGGAGAACATGCCGGTGTCACCGTCATCGGCAACAGAAACGCCGGGAAGATCCATCTTGAGCTCAACGCGCTCTCGCTGCCGCCGTCGCTCACGCAGGATCTTGCGTTTCTTCCTGGTGTTGGCGAAGAAAAAGATGGTGACGTGGTGGATGGAGACCGTTGGAATGGCTGGGACGGAAGGCAGAGGGCCCAAACAATAGTTGGAGCAGGAGCCAATGGCAGGCAGAGCCAACTAACGCTACTTTCATCCCCTGCTGAGTCCACAGAATCACAGAAATGTAGAGTGGGATGGGACCCCTAGGATCATCTAGTCTCACCCCCTGCAATGCAGGAATTTGCAGCTGTCTCCTATGAGGCTCGAACCTGCAACCTTGGTGTTATCAGCACCACGCTCTAACCGAGTGAGCTATCCAGGCTGACAAAGAGTTCTACAAGGGCAGCAGTGAGAAAGAGGAAGATGGCCCACCCCCTGGGCCAACGTTTAAAATTCCCCAGACGCACTTGGCACCTGGCCATCGGTCACTTGTGAACAAGTGAAGATGCCTGGGTACCATGATGGCGCCTGATGTCTCCACCATTTGGAGTTGCATGCCTGGGGACACTTGGAGCTTGACTGTTTTCACACAGTAGCAACACATCTCGTGATATTTTATCTGCACAACCAGAATGAATTTCAGACACCAAAAAGTCATATTGAAAAATAGTACTTTTGAGCTGTCAACTAGGCATTCCGTTTCAGCAACTGTAATCCTGGTTTAAGAAGCCATAAGGGTGCCCAGCTTATATACCCGAGTTTCTAACACTGCTCTCCGGTGGCCTGTGCATGAGTGGCATCTCTTCCGTTCCAGGCTTCCCACAGCCCCCGCCCACCTGTCAACCAGCTTCCCCTAGAAGTTCTGGAACGCCACGCGGTCCCTCCTTGCAGCCCTTTGTCATCAGGCACAAATGGAGCTGGCAATTTGGGGCTGCAAAAACCACCCACCTCTTCAGTTCGGCCATCTCTTGGGCCTTGAGCTCTGCCAGTTTGAGCTCCAGCTCCTCCTCCTCTTCTTTCTCGTCTGGCTCCTCTCTGCTCGGGGTCTCTTGACTCGTCCGCTCAGGCTGCGGTTCGTCCTCCCCTTCGCCCTCCTCGCCAGAGCTCAAGCTGAAAACAGGGGAAAAAGGCTTTGCAAATCCAGCCCACTTTCTTCCCCCAGCCTATATAGCTGGCTGCCCTGTAAGCAGAACGTCACCAGCCCCCTCCCCGCCCCTCTTACTTGATATCTATTTCCTTGGCTTGCTCTTTCAGCTTCTTGACAAGAAAGCGCCTCAGCCTCGTCCTCCAGTTCAGCAGGCCCCTGAGCAACGCAAAGAAGACGACAGTCAGACTCTATGCCTGCCCACCTGTTTTCTGGCAGTTGATGGTGATTGCAGGGCCTTGACCAGTAGCTACTATGGAGCTGGGACTTTCAGTGAGAGATTTAGAAAGTCCCTTCTGCTTACTTTTGTCCCAGTTTCCAGGGCTGGGTGTGTGTTTGTGCCACGATTCAGCTGGAGTGCAGAAACAGTTCATAATGGGAACTGGGTGCATCATTCAATTTAGATTTTTCAAAACAGTTTCTAGCCTTTTTGACTGTGAACTGGAAGTATGTGGGCAATGCCTGGCAAACTAGATGGGTGGTGATCTAGCATAGCTGCTTGAATGTTCTTGCTGCCCATAGTTTCAGGGGGCCTGAGTGAAGCTGCTTCTGTGACTGGGACGTGAAAGGTGCCATAATATATAGTTACTGGGTCACACTTGCACGCCTGAAAGAGTGAACCTGCTCAGGTTGCAAGTGGGTGTGGCTTAGCAGGCTCTCAGCTGGTTCTGCCCCCCCCCCCGCCCCTTCCTCTCAGCTTACTGGAACAAGCAAGAAGCCATGGCTCTCGGCAAGTGAACTGAATCTCTCTGAAATGAGATTTTAAAGTCTGCATCTTTGCTAACTCAAAGATTGTTTGGAACCTTTTTTCATCTTCACTGCACTGCCAGTGGACGGGGACATGTAACACTGAGAAACTATTGTGAGTAAAACACTCACTTATTTGCAAAGTCAAGTGTCTGTTATTTATTCTAGCCTAAGTTTTCTCATGGGGAACATTTTCTTAAAGGTGGATGAAGGCAGATGCAAATCTAACCGAGATTTAATGTGCTTTGGAGCAACTGCCATTGTGTTTAACTCTTCTGCTGGAGAGTAGGAATCTCTTCAAAACCTCTCTCTCCAACAAAAGGTGGGCTTTGTTCCTCCATTCCCTACACCCCAAGTCCTACCCCTTAAAGGAGGAACATACCGGAGCTCCTTACGGCCCAGAACACGGATGTCCCGGCAACAGTGACGCACTTCCTCAGTGGTAGCGCTGTGGCGTTCCAGCTCTTCGCTGTCGAAGACAATCTAGGAACGGCAAGGGGATGAGAGAGGCACCGATTGCTTTATCCATCCAAAGGGCTTTGCCCTATGTTAATGAGCCTCATCAGTAGAACCTGCTTACCCTGCACAGGAAGACCAAACTGAAGCCGTACTAAGATATCATAAGCAACGGCAGGATTGGAGCACCTTTCAGGTTCTGGCAGCTAATAACCCCTCCAACTCAAAACCTCCAGGTTCTCCGGTGTCTAATGCTGCTACCACCCTCCTGATGAACCAGCCGCTGCCACCAACATTCAGCCCTCCCCACCCCACGCTATGCAACTCTCCGGTCACGGCCACCTGCGTGCTCACCTCACTGGCCTTTGCCAGGAAGTCCACAGGGTTGGGGGCCTTCAGGAAGTCCGTCAGTGTGCAGCGGTTATAAAGAATTGTGGTGCCATCTTCGTATCCCTCTGCCTAGTTGGAAAGAACAGTAGATAAAAATGAGGAGAAAAGCCATGAGACTATGGAGCAGAGACGGGCTAGTCGTGCGCCTCCATGCCACTCACCTCAACCTCAACCTCCTTTTTCTCTTGACTTTCCTGATGCCAAGGATTTTATTTATCTTTTATATATAATTTTTATTACATTTTGTTTTACAATTTAGAATACTCATTTAAACATAAAATATCAATGACTTCCCTTCTTCTCTTTCCATGGTTCATTTTTCATATCAAAAAATGCCTGCGTATTTTACACAAACTAAACCATTCAGTATTCCATTATTACATCCATCAAAACTCAATCACCTTCTCAATTTGGCCCACGGACGGTCTGGGAATCAGTGTGTTTTTACATGAGTAGAATGTGTCCTTATATTTAAAATGCAACTCTGGGTTATTTGTGGGGCATAGCAATTTGTTCACCCCCCTCCCCAAATATAGTCCAACCCACCACATGGTCTGAGGGACGGTGGACCGGCCCACGGCTGAAAAAGGTTGCTAACCCCTGTTCTATATGTTAAGTCTGCAAGCTGAGCATATTCTGTCAACTTAAGTTGCAATTCTTTGGTTGGGACCTCGCTCATTTTCCATTTTGGGGCCGCAGTAGTGGCATACATAAATAACCTTTTCTGACACCTGGGAATTTCCGTCTGAAATATCTCCAACAAAAAGGATTCTGTTTTTTGGTTTTTTTTGGAAAAGTACTTTTAAACATTTTTTTCAATTCATTAGGGATCATTTCCCAATACTCTTTTACCCTTTAACAGGTCCACCACGGGTACCAAGGATTTTAACAGAACCTTGCTGGATGAGGCCACTGACCCATCTAGTCTAGCAACCTGTTCTCAGCATCCAATTGTATGCCTGTGGGAAGCATACAATCGGGAATTGAGCACGACAGCACCATCCTCTCCTACTGTTTCCAGAAAATGGAATTCAGAGGCATAACTGCCTCTTGACTTTGGCAGTAGAGCATAACCCTATATCCTCCATGATTTTGCCCAATCCTCTTTTAAACCCAGCCAAGCTGCTGGACATCACTGCCTCTTGTGGGAGTTAAGTTCCATAGTTTAACGATGGAATTTTTTTGTTCCCACTGATGCCTCAAAGCCACAGGTTAGCACTGTGCCCAAGCAAAAGCGTGGAAATTTGAAGTCAGTATCCAAAGTAGAAATCTAATGCAAGACGGTCAGACTTTGTAAGCAATCCACACTAGGGCTGGGTGATATATCATCCCAAACCAGTTTGAAGTCCATATTGTGATACTAGTTTTATAAATTTTGACCTGGCAATATACAGTATATCAAATCACGGTCTGTGCGTGCTGTGCAAAAATCGCAATGTGGGAAAAACCGTGAGGCTAGCCAATACAGTGGTGCCTCGCAAGACGAAATTAATTCGTTCCGCGAGTTTTGTCGTCTTGCGATTTTTTTCGTCTTGCGAAGCATGGTGTCGGGAAAGTTTTGGAAAAGCTTCAAAAATCACCAAAGTCTTTAAAAACCTAAAAAAAGGCTACCACACCGCGTTCTATGAGTTGCTCCTCGAAGTCAAGTCACAACTGTATTAACGCTGTTAAGAAAAAGGAAACAAACTTGCAAGATGTTTCCGTCTTGCGAAGCAAGCCCATAGGGAAAATTGTCTTGCGAAGCAGCTCAAAAAACGAAAAACCCTTTCGTCTAGCGAGTTTTTCGTCTTGCGAGGCATTTGTCTTGCGGGGCACCACTGTACTTCTCTTCCTGCGAACCCTGTTAACTGCTGGCCCAGCTTTCCCCCATCTCCTGTGGGGGGCAGCGAATCACAAGAGCAGGCTCCAGCAAAATTCACCATGCAGGAAAAGCCGCGAAGCCAGCCAACGCCTCTGCATGGCTCCATCCTAATTTCAGACATTGCAATATATCAGTATACTGCAATGCTGTGAACCAGATATTGCCCAGCCTTACTCCACTTCCTTTGCAGCTCCTTAACCTTACAAGGTCAGAGAAGGGCAATTCTGGAGCAAAATCAGAGAAGGCAAGGTGGTGGAGAAAGGTCCTTTGGAGGCTGTGTTTTGGCCAGTTAGCTATTTTAAAATGAAGATAAACTGATCTCCTTAAGGTTTGCTTGTCCACTAACCTTGGGCTTCTTCTGGGACACCAGCTCAGTGACCGATTTGGCCTGCACCTCCACTTCCTTGAAGGCGAACTTGGGGTCAAAGAACTTGTTGTCGATTTTATCTGGAGCCAAATAGCCTGGAGGGGGAAGTGGAAGCAGAAGAGAAAATGAATTTACAGTCGTATCTTGGTTGTCGAACACCTTGGTACTCATCCGTTTTGACTCCCAAACGCCGCAAACTCTTAAGTGAGTGTTCCCATTTGCGAACGTTCTTTGGAAGCTGAACGTCTGATGCGGAGCTTCCTGCAGCCAATCGGAAGCCAAGTCTTGGTTTCCAAACGTTTTGGAAGTCAAACAGACTTCTGGAATAGATTCCGTTCGATGTCCAGGGTACCACTATATACTGAATTTTAGGTATTAGTAACTTCGTATTAACCTAACATGATTATATGTAACTGCATATTTTTGCAGTATTTTTAAGTTGTCTGTTGTCGCTTCGGTTATCTGTATACACCGCTTAGATATTTTTAATGTATTAAGCAATACAGGAATGAAATGATCAATCAATTAATGCAGTTTGCGAGGCTAAAGCCATGATGCTACCAAGCCTCCCACTGCTCATCTTGTTCTGTGTCCGCCTTGTGCCCACTTCCCCCTCTCTGTGGACTCACCCTGGCAGACCACAAAGATCTCGGCAGACTCATTACGCGAGGCCTGGGGCTTGGTGGCCTGGACTTTGCGGAACAGCTGCTGGAAGATCCACAGGAGGGGCTGGTAGTCCTGGGAACGGAAGACTTTGCTGATGAACCAGCCGCCCTTGGCCAAGAAGTCGCAGGCCAGCTTCAGCGCCGACAGTGTGAGGTTTGCTAAAGGGAGAGCAGAGGGGGAAAGGGAATGAGACGGTGCCAGGGAAATGGGTGGCAAGGGCAGCCAACTTGGCATTTAGCTCAATCCACCAGCACGTTTACGCACAAAAACACTCACCCCCCCCCCAAATCATTTGCAACATATGGATAACAAGACTTATGTATCTTACAGGGTTGTTGTACGGATTGCAAGAGAAATTTATTTTAAGCATCCTTCGAAAGCGCCATGCGCATGCTTAGCATTCAGCTGGCCAATAATAAATCTTTAAAAGCAGCCCCAAATATTATCATTATTAACTTGCTTTCTAAACTTCATGGATTAAGAGTCTTGTGCTCTACCGACTGAGCCACCCTTCATCCAACGACCACACGGCAGCACACAGCGATGAATAAAATCGTACGCGGTCTCCAGTTTTCTACAGAGCCCCATAATCTCACTTCCAAGTGACTGAATAGACAAATGCCCCTTTAGACGGCAGCCAAAAAAAGGACAGTGCTGAGAGGGAGGGGGCAACCAGTGTAGCGGGGGGAGTTCCAAAACTGCAGTAGTCTAACCTGGAAGCAGCCAGAGCATGGGTTTTAAACTACTGCAAGATTAAAAGGCCCATGCTCTGGCACACCCCTTATGCTCTGATGCAGGCCTCTCTTTCTCAACGGCCAAGATCAGGGGAAGGAAGGGCAGCACAAGAATGTGACTTTACAGTCCCATCTGAGGCTGAGCTCTCACTGGTGTCAAACGCAGGGTCACAACTCCACCATGTATTATATGATTTGCAGCAGATGGACGATGTGGCCAAGGGGGTTCTTGCAAAACTGACACTACATGCACATTGGGACTCGCACGGCCTGTCCTGTGCGCACGAGAATCATTGCTGCTCCTGTACCCAACAGTGATAGACAGGTCAGGCGCTCTATGCACGCAGCTCTGGATATGCCGCTCAGCCACCTGCTTCTCCTTCAGGAGACAGCCCGCATGTGCTGCCGGCGAGAAGACCGCCTGCTCCCTCCCAGCACCCCTGGGAGGAAAGCTCCACACCTTGGGAAAACGCATCATGTACCCAGCTGGCTCCCATGTTGGGAGCCCCATCGTTCAGCACAACATCCACTTTCCACGTCTTCAGCTCCTTGCGTAGGGCCTGGGGGATGGGGAGAGAGAAAGAGAGACTGAATTCAGGGCAATACCTAGCTGAGTATTACACAGAGAAGTATGTGACAGAATTCACCAAGGACAAAACATCTCCGCCTCATTGCAGAGGGCAGGATGTCACTGGGAAAGGAAGGCTCCTAGCCACAACTTCCAGGTGGGAAGAGGGCTACTGTACCCAGATCCTGTTTGCAGGGTTCCCACAAGCATCTGGTTGGCCACTGTGAGAACAGGATGCTGGACTAGATGGGCCATGGGCCTGAAAAAGCAGGGCTTTTCTTCTGCTATGTTCTTGGTGTGCGTGAGAGAGCAACAGAGAGTGAGGTAGAGAGAGCAGACAAGAACACAGAAGAGTCTCAATCTGCTTTATTAACTTGGCATTTTGTTCTTGTGTTTTTAGACCTTGTTGCGTTTTATGCTTTTATCTCCATTTTTAAATGCTACCTGCCCTGGGATTTATTCATTGAAAAACAAATAAGCATGAAATCCAGTATGTAAATTCTCCAAACAAACAGATGAGAGATGAGGATGGCAAAGGCAGGCGAGACGGAAGACTAAAATTAGCTGTGCAGGGAATCAGGGCGTGGGTACCGGAAAAAGAGAGCAAGTTACCTGGCGACACTTCTCCGTGGTAATGTCTTCCTGCATTGTTACCACATTGGGAATGGGCTTTATAGGAACCAGGTCAACCCCTGAAATCAAAGACACGGGAGGAAGCAGGGAGGGAAATATGGGGGAAGAGGATTATTTAGGGGGGAAAGTGCCAGGAATCTCACTGCCCAACTTCTGCAGCATAGCCCATTACAGGCAAAACTGCCTTATATACAGAGGGTGTTAATGCGTCACATTCAAAGAGTGTGCAATCAGTGTACACCCTAGCTGAGCTATACACTGAGCTGCAACATTCAACAAGGGCATAGTCTGAGCACAAGGCAGCTGGGCTGTACAGATCAATAAGTACATGTGTACATGTGAAGATACCTAAGCGGACAACAATCAGTGCCTCTAGATCAGTGTTTCTCAAACCTGGCTCTCCAGACTACAGTTCCCATCATCCCTGACCACCGGTCTTGCTAGCTAGGGATGATGGGAGTTGTAGTCCAAAAACAGCTGGGGACCCAAGTTTGGGAAACACTGCTCTAGATAGACCCCCAGGGGAAGCCACGTCGCCCAATTCTGCTGCCACCCTATCCAGGGAAGGCTGCTCTGTCCTACCGCAGGGGCTGCTATTGCACCTAGCCCAGTGCTGCCCACTCTGGCTTGCAGCAGCTTCCCAAGCCCTACCGCAGGTGGTCTTTCCTTCTGCTAGAAATCCTTCTAAACAAAGGGTCGACTCTGGGACCTGAGGCACGTACTCTACCAATGTGCTTTGCTTTCACGTGTGAAGCATCAGGAAACCCCTTTTACGCTTTGTGGCAGCGATGAAGGAGCTGGCCCTCCAGTTTGCAGGAAGGCAACAACTCTCCTCAGCCCTGGCCACGCCAGCTGGGGGATGATGGGATCTGGAGTCCACCAAAGCCTGGCTCCCCAGCCCTGCTGTAGGGCAACTTGCTCAGTGCACACCCAGCCCCCTGCCACTGCTTCCTTTGCCTGCTCAGGAGAGCTGGCATGACCTGGCAATTAAGAAACAAGGGCTCTGAACCAGGAAATGAACCTGCTTCAAATACGCTCTCTTCCATGGACATAGAAGCCTAGAACTGTAGATTTGGGACCCCAGAGTCATCCAGTCCAACCCCCTGCAATGCAGGAATCTGAGTGGGGATCCTTTTAGGCAGGCCCCTTGCTCTCAGCCTCTCATCAGGGATTTTACTTACCTTACAGAGGATGTGCAAAAAGATAATGTATGTGGAGAGTTCACAATGTTCTTTACTATGCAAATGAAAAGCCACGATCCTTTTGTGTACATCACCCCCTCCATCCTCCCTCCCTTGCAGGGGTAGGGGACCTGTGGCACTCCAGGCTCTGCTGAACTACAACTCCCATCATTTCTGACCCCTGGTCACGCTGGCTGGAGTTCTAGTCCATTAAATTTGAGTGAATCACGGGTTCCCTATCTTGGCTCTAGCCAGTGTGTCTCTGAACACCTGGGAGAGCAGCAGTGGCAGAGAGGTTGGATGGCCATCTGTCATGGATGCTTCAGCCGAGTTTCCTGCATTGCAGGGGGTTGGACTAGATGACCCTTGGGGTCCCTTCCAGCTCTACAATTCTATGATTCATGTCCCTTCTTGTGAGCTCCCTAGATACATCTGGGTTGGGAAATGGGAAGCTAGGCAAGATTAGGGCTCTCTTCTTCCCCCATCAAGGCTACTTACCAATTATAAGACTGGACACAGGCATAAACTTTGAAGCCACCTGCAACCTGTTGGAAGAACAGAATCAGGTCTACCTTTGAGCGAGTCAACAATGACACCCAAAGAGTGAGAACAAACCTGGTTCATTTGATAAAATCTGAGTTGCCTCCGCAACGCTAAACCTTTCCTGCTCTTACCCCAGCACCAAGACTTTCTGAATGTCAACCAGCATTATGTAATGATTAAAGATAGTGAGGTGTGATCCAGGAGGCTCTTAATTAAAATCAAATCTTATCTCAAATGAACGCCAGTTAATGTTGCACAGTGGTTAAAGACAGGCTGCTCTGACCCAGGAGGCTCTCTGTCCAAATCTTAAATTAATTATAATAAGACAAAGTACAATCTTCTGGATGCATGTGTGCATTTGTAACACAAAAATATTCTTTCCAGTCTGTTCTATAGGGCTGTTTCGAAGATTACTGATAATCTGTGCAAACACGGGCCTACAAAACATGCTCTGCGAAGGCAGAGTCAGGGAATCTTCAGGAGAGGGGTGGTCAACCTACAGGCCTGTGCCTAACTTCAAAAGCCCTCAACTCTTCCCAGAAACCTGAACTGACAGCTAGCAATCTATCCCTCCCTCTGCAGCATGCTGGGTGGGAAGAGAGGTGGTGGCAGAAAAGGAAATAAAAGAAGGGTAGCTCCAACCACTTTTGGCTCTGGCTCTGCCCCACTGCAGGCATGCAGCCCCTGATGAAAGCCTCAAGAGACTTAGTGCAACAGGGAGGAGCCCTCGCCCTTCTCTTCTCTTCTTTTCTCAGAACTGCAGAGCCGGGCAAGAGAGTCCATTTTCCCAGGAACCCTTTATCTTGAGCACAACCTGAAATCAAGCCAACGGCTTGCCCCTTCCTCTGGACTGGACCAAAGCAAGCAAATGTTGGGCAGGCTACCGATGCAAGGTATTTTGTGCCCTTAAGAAAAACAGCAAATATTTGTCTTGGCTGAGACAGAGTCGCGCTTCACCTCAAATCCAAAGCACCCTTGCCTCATTTTCAAAAGCCTTTGGATATAAGATCAGTTAACTGATCTTATAACTACTGCTTTTTTATTTTTACTCTTGCTACGATAATTGGTTTTGTTTCTGATGTTTTTGGTCTGTTTTATGGTTCTATTTTGTAGGCTACCTTGAAAATCTAGATTAATAAAATTGTGGTTTCAAAAAAAAAGCCTTTGGATGTCTTCCCTACTGATTATAATGGGTGGGTGGATGGGTGTGGAGACCAAGAAATGCCTAGACCAGTTTTAGAAACTCAGGTATATAAGCTAATTGCCAAGTGCCACCTTAAACCTGGGTTATGGTCGCCACAACGGAATTTCAGCAGGGTGAGTGCAGAGATTAGGAAGTTATGACTAAAAGACTGCCATTGATCGCATTGTTCTGTTTTGCTATTTATTGAATTTAACTGAATGTTTTATTGATGACTTCTCTGTTTTTACTAATGTATGTCATTGCATTTTTTGTTTTAAACGTTGTATGTACGTTTTTCTTTTTAAGGTTATTTTACTGCATGTTCTGTAAACAGCTTAGGGGTTTTGCGTATTAAGCAATATATAAATATTATTGCTGCTGGTGACCAAATATGTAGGAAAAGCAGGATACAATGAATAAAACTAAGTAACTCAGCAGAGGGGAAGTTGAGAGAAGTCCAGAGGAGGGGAGGGAGAATAATTGTATATAACATGATGAATGAGATTTGTATCATTATTTGCTATAAAATTCTATATATATAAAGAGAGAGAGAAATTATTTTACTGCATGTTCTGTAAACAGCTTAGGGGTTTTGCATATTAAGCAATATATAAATATTATTGCCTGGTGACCAAATGCTTTTTCTCTTTAAAAATGTTTTCTGCTTCTGACGGGGTCCTTTCTCTGCCCCTCCCAAAAGCACAGTGATTCAAAGTAAAAAATGGAGCCTTGGTGAAGGCATTTCTTGATTGGAAGCCAGTGTTGTCGCTCACAGAATTAGCCCCACTTCCTCTCTGGGTGGTGCTTTTTTTCATTAATGGACAGCTTGAGGGCAGCTGCAAACCTTGGGGTGGTTCTGAAGCCTCAGAGGCAGTCCGCTTCACCTTGACTTCCCCAAATATCTCCACAGTGGGGATCCTTTCATGGACAAGTCACAGGACCAAAGCAAATGAGTATCTTGAAATTTCAACATTATCACTGGCCTATACTGAACATATTTCACTCTTGTTTATCGGAAGCTCTTCCCCAGCTGTCAGAACCACACAGCCTCATATATGTGACCTGTACCAGTAACATGCCAGTAGCCAGACTTCTCTAATCCTGAACAAAACAACCTCCACACGCCCCCTGCCCTTCTTGCCAGTCACTCACCATCCTCCAGGAGCAGCGCACAGATCCAGCAACGCCCGAGACTTTGGAAGGAACTGGAATTTGCGGTTCAACTGAATGAGCTTGAAAGACGAACGGGAACGGAATCCTGGAAAAGGGATGCATGAGCACCATGCCATGCCCAGTTAGACCTTATTCATTCATTCATTCATTCATTCAACGCATTTATATCCCCCCTTTTTCTCCATGGAACTTCAGGTAGTGTACATAGTTCTCCCCCTCCCCCATTAATCCCCGGAACAACCCTGTAAGGCAAAGTCCTATTCTTGAACACTGTCTTATTTGGCCAAGATGAGGGTGGGCCACTAGGGAGTAGTATTTAATGGGCTATCCTGGAGATGCAAGGAGAATGGCTGCTCATTGTTCCAGGGGCTGATCAAGAACAATTGATCTATCTATCTATCTATCTCACTATCAATCCAATACTCATACCCTTTAGTGCAAGACTGAAGTGTGCCTCAAACTTTAAGCCAGAAAAGAATGTGGCCCAGATATCACTTAGCTAACCCAACCTAGATAACATAGGAAGCCGCTTTATACAGCCTGCAGCGGCCTTCGTACATCATTAGCCCAACCTCAACCAACTGGCTGGGACCTGCTGCTAAGTTGTAACTTAACAAGGTAGGCCACACCAGCTGCTGTACCACAGTACAAATATAATAGTTAAGATTGAAAGAGTGGCTCCCCAGATGCGTGTTTGTGCAAAAGGAAAGTCTTGGGACTCAAAAGGCTGATTACAATAACACTGACTGACAAAAAACAGCTATCCGGGGTGTGATGGAAAAGTTAGTTTTGCTGGACCGGTTGGATCAAAAACAAAAGAAAGTGTGGGGGGTGTTCTTTCCCTGCCAGCAAATTGTTAATGAATGGCAGTCTCTGATTGGCTGTGGTTCCAGGGGGGAGTTTTTAAAAGGAAAGGATTTGAGATACAGTGGGAGGTAGAGTGAGGTTGGGTGAGTGGGTTGGAGAGGTCGGGAGATAGGTAGGGAGACAGGTTGAGGTAGAAAGAGTGAATTCGAGAAAGAGTTGGTTCTGGAAAAAGACAACTTCCCTTCTGAGTGTATTGTATAGACCAGAATTTTACTGGGAGGCAGAGGTTGAGCCAGGAGAAGTAGGAGCTGGAAAGGAACAGCCTACTTGGAACTCAAATCTATTCTGGAGGGGAGAGATTTTTCTTAGGAAAAGAAGAAACTCCCAAACCCAGTGAAGGGAGGGGGTGTGGAGAGCCCTTGAGTCTATTGCTTAAGGTACCTCAGGAGCAGGATTGTTAAAGGGGGTGGATAACTGAAAGAAAAATATCACCAGAACCAAACCTAGAACGCAAAACTGAGGACGAATTAAAGTGTAATCATACTGTACGCCTGAAGTAACCCAAGTTTAATCCATTTGTGTTATATACTATCTTGCCTTAAATAAATCTTTATTGTTTATTTAAAGAAAACCTGTCTGAGACTCCTACTTACGAAATATCCCCTCACAAAGGTCCCCCACAGGATACTTCGGGCTAGAATTTTAAGAGGAAAGGAAAAGAAAATTTCAAGTAAAGGGTTGTTCAGTGAGATGGGGGAAATTTATCTAAGTGAGAGTGGGCCCAACGGCGTGAGAGGAAAAAGTGCCGTCGTGTCCATCGTTCACACAAGCATCTTTCCTACCCCTACCTGAAGATGCCAAGGATGGAACCCTGGGGAGTGCTTGTGTTAGTCAGTGTAGACCTTTGCATGGAAAGCCTGTTTTGCCACTGAATTATGGTCCTTCCCTTGAAGGACAACCTGTATCTAAAGCAAGCCTAATGGATACTCACTGCTCTTGAATCGTAACAGCAGCATTGTGTAGTGGTTAAAGAGACTAAGCTATGAATCGGGAATCCCCCAGTTCAAATCTTGCCTCTGTCATAAACTCATTAAGGTGGTTTTAGGTAAGCCACTTCCTCTTAGTCCCTTCCATTTACATTATGGGGAATAACACTTATTTATCTCACAGGACTGTTGTAAAGATGGTAACTAAAACACTTTGAACATCTGAAAGCACTTATCAAATGTCAACTGTTGTTGCTGCTATTGTTGTTGTTGTTATTAATAATATTTTGCCCTCTGCAAGAAGATTACACAACACACCCCCCCATATGCAAGTTATACCTAAGCATTATAAAGTTCCTCTTAAGAGTCATGTAAAGCAATGGTTCTTCAACAGGTGGGTCAGAATCTGATCCGACGTGTGTTGCAACAGATACACTGCCACCTTGCTAATATATGGTAAAATATTAAGAAATCGGTCCCCAAAGTGGAACCTGGGTTTGGAAAGGTTGACGATGCTCAATATAAACTTTAACCTAATTCTACATCCCACAAGTTTAAGTCGGTTACTGTTTACCCAATCCTCAGCAGAAACCTTACAGCTAGGTCTCCCCGCCTCCTCAGGGAATCATAGAATTGCAAAGTTGGAAGGGACCAAGAGGGTCATCTAGTCCAACACCCTGCAATGCGAGAATCTTTCACCTAACGTGGGGCTTGAACCCACGACCCTGAGATTTATTTATTATTATTATTATAAGTCTCATGTTCTATCGACTCAGCTATCCCGGAGTGGAACAGTTTCAACTTCAACCACCCCTCCGGGGCCCCCGTTAATCCACAAATCAATCCCAGCCCAAGACTTAAGCCATAGTAACTACCTCACAGGGCAAAGAGAGGGGAAAGAGTGTCTCTGAACCCACACAGAGTGACTTTTCCTCTCTGTCGAGCTACTATCCCCGCGTATCTGGGAATGAGGGCAAGACATACACTGGGGTCGTTTATTAAGGGAATAAACAAATAAATAAATCAGAACTACACCCCAATTTTCTCACCAGTCTCCTTGGCCAAGTGATAGAACTTGTCCCTTCGGGTCTTCCCTACTTTGGGCTTCTTGCCCATCTTGAAGTCAGCAGCTGGGGGTCCCTCCGGCGCAGAGAAGCAGTCACTACACGCACATGTGCTCGGAACTTGATCTGATCCTTCCTGTAGCCCGTAGCACTTCCTCTTCCGGTTTGTATCATTACGTTCGCCAGAATCATCACAGCCATCTTGAGTGTGGCAGAGCCCCTCGGCCCCCCCCACCCCCGCTCGCCCGCCAAATGCAGACGGACAAGCTCCCGTTTTACCTCCTAGGGGACCATAGGGAATCCGAAAGACAACTGCTGTATGTCAAACTGTCATTCGGTTTCCCTTTTTTTTCCATCTAAGGTACTAAGGGCCCTACCAACATGGCAGCAAAAGTATGTCAAAAATGACTTGAGGCGGAAGGGGGTACGTACGCATGTGCAGCGCCTAAACGCCACAAGAAAACTAAGAGATATGAATACAAGAAGTATCAACAAACGTCGCTTCCGGTTCTCGATCGTAAATTCGTAGAACTCGTCGTATGGAGGGGGGGGCAATTCTTGCTCCGCCACATATAGAATCCGGCAATCTAGAACCGGAGGTAGACCAATTAAACCTACTGTGGACCGGATCTCTTTGGAGCGGAAAGGGAGGGGGGAAGGAAACGGCTTCCTTTTCCCAAGAAGGGCGCTCGAGCGTCGGCCATGTTGATTGAGGGCAAGCAACCGGAAGGAGGAAGGAGGCCTTCCCTTCCCGCAGCTTCCGCCGTTGAGTGAGCGCATGCGCCTTTTAGTGAATGTGGATACCGGCGAGGGGGAAAATGGCGGTTGAAGGGCCGGAGCAGGTAAGCGGGTTCCCGCGAGTGCTGAGTCACTCCGGCCTCCGCTCTCTCTCACTGTTCTCACGGGGGTGTCTTGTTTGTAAAAGTGGGCGAGAGATGAGAGAGGTCCGTTTGCCACTTGCCTGGACAAAGGGGGAAGGGATGGCGGAGAGGCTTTCGTTAAAAATGGTGATGGTGGGGGGTATAAACGGGGAATGAGAAGGAAGTTCGTTTGTGCGTGGATGCGGATTAACTGCGAAAGTGACGGAGATGTTGGCGGGGCAACAGGGGAAGGAGGTGGCCTGACGTTGAAGGGCCCCTGATCCGACAGAGGCGCTTGGTGGTATGAAGGCAGTCTGGGTGGGTGTAGTTGCTACTCAGCTGCGTTATTATTATTAATTGAATTTATATACCGCCCTATACCCGGGGGTCTCAGGGCGGTTCACAGTTAGAAAGCGGGGAAGGTGTGTCCTCCTTTGCCTGCCTTAAAATGATAATATGGGAGGGTCCACGTAATGTGGAGAGGTGGTTTGTAATGTCATGTGAAAGGTTACCGGTACTAGTAGTGATTGTGATATTTATTAAACGTACAAACTGCGGGAGGCAGTGCCTGGCATGCTCTGGTCCATGGGGTCACGAAGTTTCGGACACAACTAAACAACAACCACCACCCTCTTTGCGTGAAGATCGCAGGGTGGTTTCATGAAAGATGAAGACACAAAATGTATAGCACAATAAAACATCAAAAGGACTGCGACCCATAGCTCCCCCTCCCACACACACATTTTTTAAAGGCCATAGAATGTTCAGCCCTAAAGGACTTTGGTGTAGACTACAGGGATGTTTTTTTGCCTGACACCTAAAGATATGTAACAATGGCAGCAGGCAAGACTGTCTGGGTGGGCATTCCACAAATGGGGAGCCATCGCAGAAAAGGCCCGTTCTCGCTTGCTGTCACTTCTAGGTGTTGGAGAGGGTGTTACTGCCTATTTTAAACAGTTAAAGGGTGCCTGTTTCTAAATAGTAGGTGTGCTAGCTTATGGGCTGGGGAGAGGAGTGAAACAGCAAATTGTAAGGTAGGGGTGACAATTCATGGTTTGGGTAGTGGGCTGTAATTTAACTTGGGGGGCGGGTGGTGAGCTGTGCCTCTTGTCCTTGAGCTTATCTGTTTGTCGTCTTCTATTTGCTGTCCCAAATCTTTCGGGCAGATGGAGTTGGATGAAGGCAAAGGTGGGACTGGGCTGCGCCAGTATTACCTCTCCAAGATTGAAGAGCTACAGGTGAGATATTCTTGTTTCCTGGAGTGGGAGGATCAATATAGGTTCTCACTTTCTAAATCCTTTCTCAAACGCAGACAACACAACCTTCATACACATAAGTTGTTTTAACATGTGGGGCATACTATGGCTAGTGGATCTTTAGATGATCTCCAGTCTCTTTATTGGCTCTCTTTTTTATTTCTATAGTGCCTATGTTAAGGGCAAGATATAGGCCCTCCTCTCAGGTTTATAATTAATGGATGAAGATAGGCATGCATTCTATAATGTGGTTTTGACAAAAAGTTTGCCGGGCTATGGCATGTGTGTGTGTGTTCAAATACATTTCAACACACAGAGTATGTCTGTTTCTTCACTGTAAAAGATAAGACATGACACATAAAGGAAGGTGTTTGGAAGGAAAAGAGAGATCTCTTCGACAATACTGGGCGGGGGGTGAGAAGGTTGTGTATTTGCTACCCTTTTCTCACACCTTTCCTCCAGTGAGCTTAAGGCAGTTTACATGGTGGTTCTTCTCCCCCCTGCCCCACTCCTGCCTTGTGAGATAGACCGGCTGAGACAGTAACTGACCAATGCTTACTTGGAAAGCTACACAGCAAAGTGAGGAGTTGAACCTGAGTCTCCTTGACCTTAATCCAACGCTCCAACCACCACATGCGCCTGGTGTTTACATCATGTTTGGAGCTAGCTGCTTTTCCACTCCTTAGGAAAAGATAATGCAATTCTCCCTTGTTTGCCAGCTAGTAGCCAGAGTGCCCCAACTCGGATCTCGGTGAGAATAATTATCTGGTGGCTGGCGCAGGGGGAGCAAACACCCTTAGTTGATGGGGTACTATGCTATTTTGGCGTGAAGTGTCATCTTTCTCCATTTCTTCTTCAAGTTGATAGTCAACGATAAGAGCCAGAATCTCAGACGGCTGCAGGCACAGCGGAATGAACTCAATGCCAAGGGTAAGTTGGGGGTTGTTCAGCTCTCTGCAGTGTTGCTTTTGTGTTTTGGGAGAGGTTTGATGGCTTTTGTTTTTAAATTCTGTTTCTACCCAGCACCCACATTTTCCCCACTGGCAAAAACCAGTATGTTTGCTACCTTAATTTGAAGCAACTTTGCTTTACTGATTATATTTTTATAAAGTGTAATGCTTTTATGTTAAGAATCTGTGGTCACTTTATGTAATCTCATAAATAAAATATCAAACACTGGGTGTATTTATAACTTGAGATGTAAATACTTTTAAATGTAATCAAAATAGAAAGCAGCAGAGTTTTGTGTCCTAACTTGTACATAAAGCATTTTGTTTCCTTAAGCTGGTAAACTAAGCTTTTGAACTGTTCTGAAACAGATATGCTACTTATTTTTATTTTCTTATTTCTTTTTATGACACCCCCCCCCCTGAGAAATGTTTCCTCCCTTGCTTCTGGAAATGTTGCCTTTCTAGGGAGGGGCAGTACCTGAGTTGTCCAAGATGATGCTGAATTGGGCGACTTCCTCTCCACTGGTGCTAATGCTGTTTTGTTTTCTCTGACCACCCTAGTGCGCCTGCTTCGCGAGGAGTTGCAACTTCTGCAGGAACAAGGTTCCTACGTGGGGGAAGTGGTGAGGGCTATGGACAAAAAGAAAGTGCTTGTCAAGGTATGGTCACCCCCTGCATGTGTGTATCAGATTTGTACATCTCTGTGTGTAGAGGAGGGTTGTCCTTCAAACAGGCTATGATTGTGAGTTGGGAATAATAACTGTTGGCATTTAAACAGCACTTTTCAATATTCAAAGCACAGTGTTAAAACTAGGGCTGGGAAGAACATGGGTTCAAATACCAACCTGGCTGGGAAGTTCATCTTGGGCTAGTTGCCATCTCTCACCCAAGCCTCCGCCCCACAAATTTGTGAGCAGAAAATGGGGGTTGAGAAGAGATGCATGTATGCTGCTCTGAGCTCCTTGGAGGAAGAGCAACATGAAAAGGACAGCTCTGTAAGGTTGAAATTGGAAGACAGTGACATGTCTGAGGCCCCTAATTACTTCATGGTAGAGAAGAGCATTTTAAACTGGGTTCACAACTCATTCTCTTGTTACTTTGCTGTTTCTGGACAGAAGTAGCAAAAATGATTGGATATCCAGGTACTTAATGAATCCTGTGTGGCTTCCAAAACTTTTTTATCTGTTTTTACAATAGTAATCATCCTCAATAATATCTTCAGGTTGCTTTGCACTGTAAGCTAGAAGTGTTTTGCCATACGGGTGGAAGTGGGTATATTTTTCCTGTGAGCCATGTTGACTGTTGATTTCTTTGGCTTGACCTGTTTTGCCATTGATGCTGCAGGTGTTTGATTCTTACAGTAATAACTGGCCCTCTATTCCAGGTTCATCCTGAAGGCAAGTTTGTTGTTGACGTGGATAAAAACATAGACATCAACGATGTGAGTAATTGCTGGGCCATGTCTGGTATTCCACAGACATGGGAATACCAGAATGGGAGTAGTGGTGTTTATGTCTCTGTTGGATTTGCATGTGTGCTGTTTTCTTTCCTGCATCTGGGTTTGCTCTATCTTTTAAATGCCCCTGGGGAAACCCAGGGTGGAACATGCATCTCATGTGCCTCTATACCACACAGGTAACCCCGAACTGCCGTGTTGCCTTGCGGAATGACAGCTACACACTCCACAAGATCTTGCCAAACAAGGTGGACCCCCTGGTCTCATTGATGATGGTGGAGAAAGTGCCAGACTCCACTTATGAGATGATTGGCGGCCTTGACAAGCAGATCAAAGAGATCAAGGAAGTGATTGAGCTGCCCGTCAAGCATCCAGAGCTTTTTGAAGCTTTGGGTATTGCTCAGCCCAAGGCAAGTGAAAAGAAATGCTGTGTCCCCACCATATCATGCCTCGCTTTCTCACTAGACCAGACTTTAGATAAATGGATAGATGATTACTCACACTTGACATTAACTACAAATAAGTATTGAAATACTCATCCCACATGAAGAGAAGCAGTCCAGTTTGCTGTCGCCCCCGTTTCCTGGGCCTTCCTTAGGGAGGGGTGCATAGGCTATAGCACATGCCTTGATTCAGAAGGCCAAGGTTCAGCCCCTGACCTCTCCAGTTCAAGGGAAATAGCCTGTCTCAGAATGGAAAACAACTACTAGGGCTAGGCAGACCAAGGGTCTGTCTTGTTATAAGGCAGATTCTTGGGATTCCATGCCCACGACAAATGGAGGGTGGGTAGAAAGCAGGTCTCTGTATTAAAAGCCCGCAAAAGGATGCAAATTTTCTACACCTTTTGTTTCATTGCCCCAACTGACACCATCAAAGTACTAGACAGTCTGCAAGAGAGGTTGTCGGATGTGCTGTGCTGCCATGAGTTCCTTTCTCTTCCTCTCCACTAAATGGGTTTAGTTCCCTCCCCATGCTAATCTCATGTTACACTTATTGCAGGGTGTGCTGCTGTATGGACCTCCTGGGACTGGGAAAACTTTGCTGGCCCGAGCAGTGGCTCATCACACTGATTGCACGTTCATCCGTGTCTCTGGCTCTGAGCTTGTGCAGAAGTTCATTGGGGAAGGTGAGTGAGGCGGGGTGGATGGGAGAGAGAAAGTTTTTATTATTTATCACATTTTTATCCTTCCCTTATTCTAGCCTGGAATTTAAGGCAGTGTGCTTTAAAAAAAAGAAATTATACATTTTCCACAAGTTTTTTATGGAGTAGAACCTCTGTTTTCAAGCATCTCAGAAGTTGAATGTTTTGGCTTTCAAATGCCGAAAACCTGGAATTGTTTCAGTTTCCGAATGATTTTCGGAAGCTGAATGTGCCCTGCGGCTTCTGTTTCGAGTTTCCCTACTGTACTGAGGCTTCCACTTTCAGGTTTTAAACGTTTTGGAAGTCGAACGGTCTTCCAGAACGGATTACATTTCGAAAACCGAGGTTCCACTGTACATATATAAAACACTAACCATTACAAGTCACTTCTCTTAGGACTTCCCAGTCCATCTCTCCATGGCATTCCATTCAAACCTTATTAGGCAGTGTGCATGTTATTCTCAGGAGACCCAGCCATCCAGGCACTGACGAGACCCAGCCCTTCTTAGCTTCAGTAAGGTGGCACCTCATGTACCTTAGACCATACCTGGGGATCCATGTATTCTTTCTCCACTAGAAAAAGGTAGCTGCCTGTACAGTTTGGCAGATGACTTGAAAAAGACTGTTTACAATTTTGCAGAGCCTGAAAACGGGAGTTCTACGGTCCTCCAAGCACAGAATTGGTCACAAGATTCCAGTTCTGTGATCAAGTTGCCTCTTTGTCATAATTTTTCCAGGATATGCTTGTTAATTGAGCACTATTCTACCCGTCTCTTAAAAATGCAACTAGGCTCTCTGAGATGGGGCTGGCGGGATGGTTTGTGTTTGATAGAGGGGTAAGGGAGCATATTTAGATAGGGCTGTATGTTTGGGGGACGAGCTCATCTGGCTCTTGGGGCTCATCTACAGTAATTGCTAAAGGATCTTGGCTTGTTTCCTGGTGGCAGGTGCACGGATGGTGCGTGAGCTCTTTGTCATGGCCCGGGAGCACGCTCCCTCCATTATCTTCATGGATGAGATTGATTCCATTGGCTCCTCCCGTCTGGAGGGTGGCTCTGGTGGGGACAGCGAGGTTCAGCGCACCATGTTAGAACTGCTCAACCAGCTTGATGGTTTTGAGGCCACCAAGAACATCAAGGTATGTTGTGAAAGGAACAGAATCCACACCTTCCCATCATTCTGTGGATTATGCACAGGAACGTAGTTCGTATGTTTGAAGAATGTTGCTCTTCTTGACATATTTTTTTTTAAAGAAATACATAATCTGAACCTAGATTGCACTTAAGGCTATGAAACCTTGCTACCATCCGTATGTACATAACTATAGAGGGGCAGAAGAGGCAGAGAGGATTCCAGCTGCAGGAGGAAGAGAAGTAATAGGTGGCTTGGGGAAGAATGTTTACTGTGGTCTGTTGATGGGAAGTGGGGATAGATGTAGCATCTGCTGGTATTTATTAGCCAAAACACTGCATATAGGCTTCTAGTGAAATGCTATTTTTGTCCTGTTTAGGTCATCATGGCGACCAACCGCATAGACATCTTGGATTCAGCCCTGCTTCGCCCTGGGCGTATCGACAGAAAAATTGAATTCCCTCCACCAAATGAAGAGGTAACGGAGACTTTGTGGGAGACAGCCATTGCATTTCTCCCTGTAGTAGGCTTTCCCTTGATAGCTTCTCTTACCCTGGCAGCCAAAGTCCCTGTTTGCTAAACTGCATTGTCATTTAACTGCTGCTTCCTCTCTCCTTCCTGTTACTCCACAGGCTCGACTTGACATCTTGAAGATCCACTCTCGCAAGATGAACCTGACACGGGGAATTAATTTGCGGAAAATTGCGGAGCTGATGCCAGGGGCTTCAGGGGCTGAGGTCAAGGTAAAGTAGCAAGTTTGCGTCTAAGAATTCTGCTCCCCAAGTTTGGCACCCCTTCTGTAACTACCACATGCAGCATTAAGGATCATTTGATTATCAAGGCCTGCTAGAAATTCCTGGTAACACTTTCTGAGGCTTGTATGTTTGCATCAGTGAGTAGAAGGGACTTCAGACAAAGATTTTAAAAATCAAGGATTTCGGAATCTCTTGTGGTGGTGTGTGCACGCACACATTCAAACTAGTTTGATACTCTTGGGTTGTCCTGACCAACCATTTCCCCTCAGTGGAGAGGTTCATATGTACAGTGGTGCCTCGCAAGACGAAAAGAATCCGTTCCGCGAGTCTCTTCGTCTTGCGGGTTTTTTCGTCTTGCGAAGCAAGCCCATTAGCAGATTAGTGCTACAGTATTAGCGTCTTAGCGGGCTTAGTGGATCAGCTGATAAGCGGCTTAACGATAAGCTGATAAGCGGCTTAACGATCAGCTGATAAGCGGCTTAACGATAAACTGATAAGCGGCTTAACGATAAGCTGATAAGCGGCTTAACGATCAGCTGATAAGCGGCTTAACGATAAACTGATAAGCGGCTTAAGGATCAGCTGATAAGCGGTTTAGCGGCTTGGGGAAAAGGGGGGGAAAAGGAAAAAAACCCGCAGGAACTCGCAAGACATTTTCGTCTTGCGAAGCAAGCAAATAGGAAATTCGCTTTATGGCATCTTCAAAACGGAAAACCCTTTCGTCTAGCGGGTTTTCCGTCTTGCGAGGCATTCATCTTGCGGGGCACCACTGTACTAATCTCACACACATCCACTTTGACGGCTATCATTTTGTTATCCTTGGGTGGGGCAGAAGCAAGCCTACCTGAACTGTATATTCTCTTGGCAGTTGTGTGGGGCAGCTCAGGTGGGTCCCTTACATATCTGTTTTGCAGGGTGTGTGCACAGAAGCTGGAATGTACGCGTTGAGGGAGAGGCGGGTACATGTAACTCAAGAAGACTTCGAGATGGCTGTAGCAAAGGTATTGTGGGTATGAGGGAAGGGCTATTCTTTGGGGTGGAAAGAGGAGCCCAAGATGTAGGGGATTTGCATTTTGTTGCTCTTGTCATCAGTGTTTGTGTCAGAGCTTGCTTGCAGGTAACTGCCTTTCTCCTAAGGTGCTGCAGAGATTAAATGAAGGAGTGGGTAATAGTGGGGACTTTACTAATGCTGTACTTTTACAGAGAAAGCCTATGTGGTTTGTTCCAGGGCAGGGTAGCCATTACAAAAAAAAAAAAAAGCCCACATCCATTTTTGTTGTGGGAGGGATATGGAAGGAATAGTGAGAGTTTAATGCATATATTCAGGGTGGGATTGGAGCTGAGACTTCATCTTGTCCAACAGGTAGTATACAAAAAGGTTACTAAATTGTGTAGAATTCGGGTAGCTATTTAACTGCTTGGAAGTTTGATCTCTGCTACTGGCCTTTTTGCCTTTCTGACTTTATTTCTAATGTTCTTTCTCTTTGGCAGGTTATGCAAAAAGACAGTGAGAAGAATATGTCTATCAAGAAGCTGTGGAAATAAGTTGCTGCCCTTACCCAAGCAAGTGAATTCCGACCTCATTCTCCACTGTAATCTTTACACCCCAATGTCCTTCCCCCCTCTTAATAAAACTTAATATTAACAGTTGTGCTTGTAAATAGAGGAAGGAGAAGAAAGCACAGAAATTTTAAAGACTTATCTATTCCTCCAGGTCTACAGAAAATTAGCTCCTAGAAGCAGAGACTTGTCTTTGGGTACAATAGATTTCACTCCACTGACTGTGGGAAGGTAACATGTTGAAGCACTGTTAAGGCCCAAGGTCAAATAGCTTTATTTGAAAAGCCTCTTTAATGCCATTATTAATTGAATGCTATGTTAAACACCTTAAGTGTTGGTATTTCCCAGTGTATCTTTTCCCCAAATCATGATGAGTGGGCTTGTGAGTCTTTCGACCCATCAAATATCAATTCTCTGTCCTAGAACCCTTATAGGGTTGGTATGAAAAGAGAACCGCTGAGAGATTATGATTTATCATGATCTGTATGAAACAGTGTTATTGTTCAAGGAAGCCTGTCTTTGGAGCACTCAACTAGAAACTGCGATCAGGAGAAATTTTAAAGTGAACTGATTAAATTTGCTGGCCTCGGACTGTTACTCAGATCACACATTTCTATAATTCGGTGTCATTTTAGACAAATATGTGCAAGGGTGAGGAACCTGTGCCCTTCCAGATGTTGAGTGGCAGTTCTCATTGGCTCCAGCCAGCATGCCTCAAAAGGAGGAGTCCAACATCTGGAGCACCACAGGCTACCACTACAAGGCTGCTATACAGCTAAAAAGAAATGGCATTCAGTAGCTAGATTTTGTTACATAGAATTTTTGAGTGCTAAAATGAAGCTGCGTAAAAGAAATCTTGGAAAAAAGTAATGCATACTAGGTTCCCAAGTGCTTCAAAGTGGGCAAATTTAAAGAAGTAGCTTGTTGTGAGACAGCAGGCCTACTTCTCTCCATTCTTCCACCTCCAAAAGCCAGAGCGCAGAAAGGTGGCAAGGGTGCAGCAATTAGCTGGAGACCTACTCCAAAGAACTAGTTGTCTGAAATTTTCACATTATGGAAAAAATCGTCACACTGTGGTAGCCAGAACTTGTCTGCTTTGTAGAAATTCTCGCAATGAATTTGGTATTCCATGTAATACTTGTTCAACTGGACCTTGAGTGTAAGAGCTTAGAAGTTACTTGTGTCTCACTTATAGCATGGCAGTGAACCTTGCATAAGCAGAGCAAGGATGTGGCAGCTGTGGTCCATTGGATATCACTGGCGTCCTAATTCGCATCAGCCCTAACCATCATGGCCAAAGATGATGGGCGCTGCAGCTCAACAACGCCTGGTGAACCACAGTTCCCTCATCCTGCTACAGCTGAAAGGTACATCTGCTCCTCGAGAGCAGCCTCCGTTTGTAGGGCAGAAGAGAAATCAGGCAAGCTTAATTCAAGCTGCTGCTTAAGAGTACTTTTATTAGAAAACATTCAACATAGAAACTGGTAACATTCTTGTTCATAGTGAGTGAACATCCCATCAGCTCCTACTTGGCCAACTACATCTCGAGAGGAGGACCAGAAAGCAAGGAGGATATATTCTAGATTTAAGTGCCGAGGGGCCAGGAGCTTGGGGACTGAAGGCACTTGGGGTGGGGGGTGGCAAGAAGGCTCAAGCAAATCTCCCCTTGGCTGGTGGCCTCAAATGTTTCCTGCAGTACATGTGGCCTTGACCGAAGAGGAACAGGTCTCCACTATTCACTTTTTAAACTTCGTGCTGGAGAACCACGAAAGAAATATCAACTGATTGTCATTAACAGAACAGCAAAACAAACAAACCCCTCTTCAGAACCATGCTGTTTCAGAGGGAGGAAGGGCACCAATACATATTAACAACAAACTTCCCGTTGCAAAAAAACCAAACCTGCTCCCAAAAAAAGAGATAGTGCAAAGACTAAATGCCAGCAAGCAAGGCTGACAGTTTGGAATGGATGAAGCTTTGGTTAAAAATTGAGCAGCAGTAGCAGCCACCCAACATTGCAAGGGAGGCTGCTGAGACTCAGCTAAGAGGTAGAAGGCAACTCAAAAATTCCCAGTGTCCCAGAGGCAAAGCGCATAGGAAGGGTAAAGGGTGGGGGGTCTGAGGAAGGAGAGGAGCTCACTTTTCTCTCTAAAGGAGGTTTTAAGCCTTGTATAATCCCCAGGTGGATACTGAATAAGCTTCCCCCCTATCCCCAAATGAGTCAATGGGGGCAGAACTCCCCCAGCCCTGATAGAGGCAGAGGATTTTGGACAAGCATTGCCTGGCTGCTGGTCCATTCCAAAGTACCACAAGGTGCAGAAGGGGTGCTGAAGGTGGCAGCGCTAGGTAAGGCGAACGCCAAGCACTTGTTCCAGTTCTTGTCTGCGCTGCTGAACCTGGAAGATACAAGACGGTCACAGTGATGAGCAGGAGCAAATAAGCACAGCCAGGCATACGTTTTGCCTCCCATGGCAGAAGCACAGTGAGGCCTTCCTTGCTCTCCAAGGGCAAGAGTCTGATTCTCAGGTGTACAATCACTGAGGAAAGTAAATGGGAGAAGAATGGAGCAAGTGGAGGCTGCAGATCACTTGCTGGGATCAGCTGTTAAGCAGCAGTACAAAAGGAATCCAGGGAAGGGGCAAAAAGAAAGCCAGAAAGGCGATTATTGGGGGGTGGGGATGTGCTGGAACTGAAAATAACATCTTCCCTCCATGGCCAAGTCCAGGTTGGGAAGATGCCGCATGACTTTAAATAATAGGGAATGCCATATAAACACTTTGCAGAAATAGCCTCTTCAAACCTTGGCAAAGATGTGTCTCCCAACAGCCTCCTGCATCCACGGTTGTTGGTAGAACTCCGCACGCCTCTCCTCTTCAGGGTTCCCAACCACGTCGGTGATGATCTAGAGCAAAATGGGGGGAAAGGGGAAGCTATTTCCTGTGCTGCCAATGTTCAGAGAGTTTCAAAATGGAGACCGCAGCAAGATTACTAAAACTGCCTTGTTCAGTGTCACTATAACCCAGCAATGTGCGCAACAGGCCAATGAGATGCTCACAAACATGGCACTGGTATCTCTTAGTTTCAAAATACCACATTTCCAGCTGGAATACATCAATGATTTACTTTGCACATTTCTGCCAGAATCAAAACGTTCCTGAATTCTTTTAACTGGCAAAGGAGGAAGGGATAGACCAGGTGGACAAAAGACAGGGAACATGTTAGACATGGCTTACATATAGGGAATTGGGCTGAGCACGGAGAGAGACTAACATCAAAGGCCTGGGCATTCCCACTGTCTTGTCCTACAAGGGTCACAAGCGGGAATATAACTTAATGGGAACCCAGTGTTGCTTTTGTGGAACACAGAGATCATTGGCCTTGCATTTGTGCTATTTTTATTTCTGTGCCAGGCTTTTATTTGCTCTTGTGTTCACTTTTGCTGTTGCATTTGGCCATTTTTTCCCTGTTCCATGGATTAGTGTGCTTGCATATTAATACTGATTATTTCCAAGTGTTCATATCTGAATTCTATTTATTGCTCTTCATTTGTTATGTCATGAGATGCCTTGGGAACAATCTTGTGGAAAAGCAAGATGCAAATAAATGAATGACTTCGGGTGCAGCGAGTGGTCTGGGAGCATGTGAAGCTGTAGAAGCTGTAGCACCGAAGCTGTGTCATGCAAGAGGAGCCCCAGCACTACCATGCATATCCTTATGCTACAATCCTATACACACACATCCCTGGGGGTAAGCTCCACTGAACTCACTGGGATTTCCTTCTGGGCAGACATTCATAGAATTGTGCTGATAGTCCTTTTGCACACCCCTACCTGGTTTCTTCAGAGCCCAGTCCCTAAATTTACCTTCAAGTCCCTCTGCTGAGATCTGATCCACTCCTGGATGAAGTCCTGGGGATTGTTGCTGAAACTCAGCATAAAATCTCGCTGTGTCTTCAGCTGGTTGATCGACTCAATGGTTTCATGGATCTAAATGTGAATAAAAGATATAGGGGGTTCTGATGAAGGAAAAGAAGTGCTCCTCAAACTGAATAAGTCCTGACTACTGATTCAGGAGCCTGCAGGTTTGGGCCAGCACAGGGCGACAGGGAAGAAAGCAGTAGAGACAGAAGTATGACATTTGGAGGTAAGAGTAATGGAAGCACTTTCCACCATAAAGCAATGGCTTCATGTTGCCTGACAATTTGGGGTAGGGAAGGAAGACCTAAAGAGAAGGGAGTATCAGATATAGACACAAAGTATTGGAAAGATTAAGTGCCTAGTTTTCTATATCGTTTAACTTCCTCTCAAGCCTGCCCTCCTTTCTTTGTTCCGCCATAATCGCCAGCCCTTCAGGCACAGTCTCTCCCCCCCCCCCCCCAGGTCTATGTGCATTCACTGTAATTTTTACTAACCCCTTAGGCTAGAGCAAGCTATATAACCAGAGTTCTAGAATGAGGATCCCTGCTTTTTTTTTTTTTCTGCAGTACAATACTTTGGCAAATTAGGTTAGCATGCTTAGTCAGCAATGATTATGCAATGGGTTTGCATAATTTTGCAGATGGGAGAAAGTAGAAAAAAGGTGGGAGGAAGAGAGCAAGATAAGGAAAAAATGTATAGAGTAAGGACTGGATGGTCTTGGAGGTGAGATGTTCTGCTGCCATCACTGGTCTCTGTTTGTCAGAGCTAGAAACCTTGTTTAAATCCCACTCCCAAAATCAACTCCATGTTCTGAACACCCTGAATCCAATCTGTCATGGGTTCTGTTGGTTGCCATGCAGATTCCTAGCCCACCTGTTTACAGACAGCAAGAAGAGAGCCAGCCATCTGCCTAGACTTCCAACTTTCCAGATGCCAGTCTTTTCACAGCTTGCCAACTGGCTCCTCCCCATTCCCCCTGCTCTTAAGAGACCAAATCCTACCTACTTGCTGTGTAACAGAGTCAATGCTTTTCTAATACCCCCCAAAAAAGAATTCAGAATTTCAGATTATACAAAACTACTTCAATATGTAGGAAAACAAGACGTGCAGCCTACTCAACAAAAATGGGACAACTTGCACAACCTTGCTTTACTTGCACTGTTTATTGCAAGTACAGAATTTGAAATTAATACAAAATATTAGATTGCCAAAGCCAGGTTGGATGGGTAAATGTCGCACAATCTTGAAAACAGGTAGAGGCATCCCCTGCTTATATTTTGGGGATAAGCTGAGTGCCCCTGCAGGGCAAGGCGAGCATTACAGCACCCCCAAAGTATGTGAGGTGGTATGCTTGATTCTGCTTCCTGCCCCAATGGTCACCAGGGACCTACCTTGACATCCAGGGAGGCAATTTCCTGCTGGTTGGTAGTGGAGGCCAAGAAGTTGCTCATTTGGGCCTTCAAAGGGTCATCCACTTCCACATCAATGTCGTAACAGGCAGTCTTCTTCTGGTCATTAGGGTCCACACTGGAGGGGTGGGTAGGGACAGGAGGCTGGGATGAGGGCTGAGAATCTACATCTCCCCAAGAGCTGTTCCTTCACCAGCACCCCACAAACATTAGGGTTAGGAATTGACTCTCTCATACCCAACTGCCCCTGAGGGCTTCAACAGAGGAGAAACAGAGTAATCTGAATGGCAGGGGTACACCCAAATTAGGATGCACAAATACATATGAATCCAAGGAAACTAATATAGCATGTTCCAAAAATATTTTTATTTATTTGAAGTATGCATATGCTGCCTTTCCTGGACTCAAGGAAGAATTATAATATAGAAATTAAAGCAGACAATGAAACCACATCATAGCAAATTTCATAAGCAGGAAAACACATCAACCTCAGAAAGTAAAATAAATGGACCTCACAGTCTTTTCAAAAGGATACTACAGAAAAACTAAACTTTTTTAGGCTTGAAACTAGTTCTGACACACACGCACACACAAAAACCACATTTATATATGCTGCTCCAGTGGCAGAAATCTTCCATCACTTCCTAGATACATCAACAGCATCTCCTTCAGATGCCCCGGAGAAATACTCCACCCAACCCTGATACTAATTTTTATAAATATTTATTGTTTATCTTCTCAAACCGTTCTATGAAGCAAGCCAACATTATTCCCATTTCACAGATGGGAACTCAAGAAGCACATGGCTTGTCCTAAGGCCAAATATGATTGTCCATGGAAGAGGTGGGGTCCCCCCACATATTACCATGATTGAGATTATACTATCTCCCCTTTCTCTCTCTGATGGAAGCTGCATTCCAGAGAGAGATAACAACCAATCAGAGCACAGATGGGGAGCCTCTTCAGATCTGAAACCCTCCAGGTGTTGCTGGACTCCATCTCCCATCAGCCCCAGCCACCAAGGCCACCGATCAGGAATGATGGGAGTTGCAGGCCACCAACATCGGTAGCCCCAGGTTCCCACCCCTGAATTAAGAGCTTGCTCAGTTTCAGCTCCTGCCATGCCAGTCCTACCTGATCACATGGTTGATAACAATGGGATCTGGATGTTGCAGGAGCCCCGCCAGCTTCATGGGGATCTCAGAGAATCGCATGCGGATGCAGCCAAAGATCTAGAATGGATAAAGAGAGCATGCCATGAATAAGCCCTGAGGCAAAGGGTGGGGTGGGAAGTAAGAAGAGATGGGGCAGGGAGGCAAGCCATGTATTTACTGACCTGGCGAAAGTATCGGTTGCAGTTGATGTACTCTCGCTCATGACTGTCCTGGAGCTTGTTGTGCTTGATGTAGAGCCACAGAGCCTGCATGATGCTGGCCCGAGTCTGGGTGTGAACGCCCAGAAGGCGAGCCAAACGGGGATCCAGCTTGTACTGGGGAGGCTGCAAGGGTAATATTGCCTGGTTAATATGCACTTGAAGTAGGGTCCTCTGTAACCTCAGACCAATCTGAGTGTTGCAACCTGCTTGCATCTCCAAATCAGGAATGATTAATGGAACCCATCTGAATAACCATCAAGAGAGAGAGACGATCTGTAGCCAAGTGGTTATCCCAGGCGGACTCTGGCCAGGCCTCCGAACCACCCACCCCACCCACCAGTTCTAATCCATAAGCAGAAACATTCATGAAAAGGAAGTCTGTTTTCATACTCCAAATGAATTACAGTCAACAGAAAGTCTGCAAGAGCACCAGCCTCTGAACCCAGTGCCTTCTCATTCTCAGTTCTATCTTCATAGTCCTACTTGGGCTGGAAACTTACTTTTTAAATCACAAGCACTGAGATTAATAGGAATCCAAATTCAGCACAATACTATGGTATCCTCAAGAAGGAGAACAGCTGTACATATAGCTGGAGGAAGTAAAGCCACACGATTTGTGATAATAAAATATGGAGAAAGAAGCTTCTGATCTAGTACTGCTGTATCTCCTCCCATCTCAAAGCTGGATTGTGCCATGAAAGTAATGTGGTTGGGAACCTGATAATTTCAGGGCACTACAACTCGCCTGCTCTCACCACCTACTGGCGCTTGTTCCCTGTTACCTGATGATCCAGCATGAGCAGAAGGGTGCATTTCACATTGACATCGCCCGGGCGCTTGACTTGGAAGCCATCTGTCTCTTGGGTTGTGGCCATCCGGTGCCACTGAGAGGGAAAAAGCCATATTGAGATAGTGCAAGACAAACATGGGGAACAAACTGGTTCATTTTACCACACAGTACAGTGGTGCCCCGCAAGACGAATGCCCCGCAAGACGAAAAACTCGCTAGACGAAAGAGTTTTCCTTTTTTTGAGTCGTTCCGCAAGACGAATTTCCCTATGGGCTTGCTTCGCAAGTCTTGCAAGTTCTTGCGAGTTTGTTTCCTTTTTCTTAAAGCCGCTAAGCCGTTAATAGCCGCTAAGCGCCGTGCTTCGCAAGACGAAAAAACCGCAAGACGAAGAGACTCGCGGAACGGATTAATTTCGTCTTGCGAGGCACCACTGTAGCTGATATTTTAATGGTTGGTTTTCATGTTTTACCCTTGCTCTTCTAATCAGGTGGGGTTACAGAAGTTTTTATACTATTATCATCTCAAATATCAACAGAACACAGATGGGAAACAGCCCAGCCTTATCCACTACCCTTACTCCATCCCCGATAGCTGAAGGAACTATGCAAGCCTCTCCAATGCTGTTCAATTAATCCAAAAGCACTTTAAATGAAGTCACTGAGACTGCCAAATATCGCAGTTCTAACAATGGTGCAAAAAGGCACTGAAGACACTTCAATAGCACCTGTGCTAAAGGAAAGTTCTTTTTTTATTTGTATACATGATGTCAATCTTATGGACACACACACTCGGGAACCTTTAACTACAGTAAGTGTGCCGTTATGTGTCTATGTTGTGTGAAGTAGTGGAGATCACCATATGCAAAGGCTTCTCTAGGAATACTAGCACAGGGCTCCACACAGACAGTGAGTAAACTGTTGGTTTGGACATGGGAGATGCAGTCATTAAGCTCCCATGGTAGCACAGAACCTAGTTTACCAAACAGGTTTGCGGTGAAGATAACTGAGACAGTACTGGAAGCATTCTGTATGCAATGGAAAGTTCTACAGAAATGAACACTGGTTATTGGTGGGGGGAACAGAACTTAGCTGGATAAAACCCCATGATGCCAGTACATAGCTCATCTTAAACCAAATCCAGGAACACCATCTGACCCCTCCTTGGAAACTGTTCTCTCCAGCAATTATGATTCCCGGACCTGACCAATCATCTGCAAATGAGGCCTATCATCCCTCTCGGTCAACAGCGCTGTTCTCAGCCCCAGTTGTGTATTTCTGCTCCTCTGAGCTGCCTCCCATTTCCCAACACGCAACATGCACCAAGTCACCTACCTCCACCAGGTGGTTGTCTGGGCCATACAGCTCTTTGTCCAGCTCAATGACCAAGCTCTTGAAAAAGGATGAGAACTTCCTCTTCTGTTTACTTGGCTGAGATAGAAAGACACAGGAGAAACTGAGCCCCGCCTTTCCCAGAAGCACACAGACAGCACCGCTGCCAAAAACACATCTCTAAAAGTGAAGGACAAACAAGCGGGGCCAACTCTGCCAATGAGGGACTTCATTTAGCTTGCGCAATGTTGGGAGCAATACAGCCACTACTGACATCATCACTGTTATTGTGCTTTTCTGAATAAAATGAGGGCCTTTCTATGAGACTGGGGAGAAAGAAGCTCTGGAAGAACTGGGAATTTTATAAAGTCTACATTCCATGAAGGTTGCCAGTTAAATGAGGAACAGTCCTTAGTGTTGTGGAGTCTGAAATAATGGACTTCTGACTTCCGGGGTGGCGCCATCGGCAATGGCGGACTCCCTCTGAACTGGAGGGACCAGCTCCACGGGAAACGGGTCTTTTCTGCTACGGCGAAGCGGGGACCCATTTAAAAATCACAGGCGGATGAAGCCTGTGACCATGGGACTCGGCGGGCACCTTTAGCGCCCCCCCAACCCGCAAAGGAACCCACTAACGGGCTCCGGAGCGAAGAGGGGGAAGTGGCGCGGTGCTGAGAGTCAACTGCTTCTTCCGTGGAGCGAAGCCGCACAGCCGTTGCCGGAGAGCGCTGCCTTTTTCCTGGGACAATTTGGCTTTTAAAACAACCACCCGTGAGTACTTAAGTTTTGGACAATTGGACTCTAAATAAGGATTTGCGAGCAGAAAGGAAAACTGGACTTAAAAGTTTAATTTAATTTGGCACTGAAACGGGAAGGTCTAAACAGGAAGTCAGCCTTCCGTTTCTTTGTAGATAGATTAAAGCAAAGACACGACAAACTAGAGTTCTGAAAATCGTTTCTAAAGGATTAACTTTCATCATTTAAAATTGTTGAACCCCCTTCGGAAGCAGGAGAAGAGGGGGGATTTTTTCCAGACTGTTTAAACCTGCAGAAGTGAGTGTAAAGTAAAGTAACTTTCCACCGTCTTGATCCTGGAGCGGGGTGTCAGGACTGACGTTTTTTGAAGCTCATTGACCAGAGACAAACGTTTCTGACAGATAGCTAAAGGAAGAGATACATAGTGATTCCATTGTTCCCCTTCGCATTTTAAAGGAACAAATATTGACAAAATATCTGAAAAAGGAAACTTTGTTGTTAGATCTGTTTTTAAAAGAAAAGAACAAACAGAAGTTCTTCCCCTAGAGGGAGCCTGTGAAACTGTAACCGATTTTGAATCGGGGAGCCCGCAGCTGTTACAGATTATGCAGGGAGGTTTGGACTTTTCGAGTCTGGCAATGGGCCGTGAGATGTTTGGGGTTGTGGGGGCTCTCAATTTTGGAGGGACTTTGAAACATGTTCTTAAATACCACATGGAGCTTAGTGTGGACTATGGAAAAGGGGCTGATTTGTCGAGAAGGGTCAAAAGCATTCTCAAGCTGGAGTTCCCAAGAGTGAAAGAACTAGGAGACAAAGGAAAATACAGCTATAAATATGAAGAAGAGCTGCGGAAGGGACATGGAAGGGACTTAAGGGCCTCGGACATAAGGTTACCAGGTTAATGCGCCAGATTGATGGGATAGAAAGGACTGACAAAACCCGGGTCCAGGAGGAAGAGACGCTGGATGAAGATTGGATTGTTATTTTTTTATTATTATTATGATTGTTTTATAAAATTGATGAATGTTAGAAAGATGTTGAAACGAAATTATTTGGCTCTAGTAAAAATGTTTAAAGAATTATGTAAGAATATTATGGTTATGAGAAATTGGTAAAAATAAGATTTAAGTTTTAAGTTTTAAGGTTTTCATAGTAAGATAAGATTAAAATAGATTAAGGTAAAGTAATGACAGAATATTATGAAATATGGAAAGGATTTGCTGCGACAATTAACAACTAGGATACAAAAAAGGGAGGAGGAGGAGGTCAAAGAAAGAAGAAAATGACAGTTAAAGAGTTGAGAATATTGGATTTGTTTTTAAATGTTTGTGACATATTTTTGTTTTTTAATTGTGTTGTGTTATTTTCTGATCTTGATTTTTATTAATCTGTATTGTTTGATTGTGGTTTGTCTTTTCTTTGTTTTTTCTTTCTTTTTTTCTTCTTTGTTTTCTTTTGTAATTCTAAAATTTTCAATAAATATCATTAAAAAAAAGAAAGAAAGAATGGACTTCTGCTATGTTCTTCAGCAATGAGATCATTTGGATCCTTTCAATTAGATTTGTCAATCCAAACTCTGGGAGGTGGGGATTTATGGTGCTAACATGCGGCCAAGTTGAAAGGGAAACATCAAACTGTCTTTTTCCAGAAGGGAGTCGGAAGAGCTAAAACAAATAACTGTATCAAGAGATGAAGTTCCAGGTCTTAATGACAATTAAAAATTAGCAAATTATCATGTCCATATAGTATATACCCAAGAATTCTTAAGGAACTCAAATATGATCAAACAAAAATACGTAACTTGCCCCTGGAATCAGCTACTGCAGTCAACAAAAGACGTAATTTTAAAAAAATGAATGGGCAGGGGGCAGGTTCCAGGAAACTCCTGCTGAGAAACAACAGCAGGAGAGCTCTATTGCCCTCATGTCTGCTTGTTCGCTTTCTATAGGCATCTGGTTGGCTACAGTGGGAAACAGGATGTTGAACTAGATAGGTTTTGGTTTGCACAAGCAGGACAAGGTGAAGGGAAGACACACAAGACGACTCCTGTATGGACAACAGCTAAGGGTGCAGAGCTGGCTAGCTGAGATAATTGGGTGCGCCCATGTGTGCATGTATGAGTGATATAGGGGGTTTACCCTGAACCAATCTCCAGGGAAGCCTACATCAGCCACTTTCCACAAAGCTACCTATCAGCAGGGATGTTTCAGCCTTACATCGTCTAAGAGTTTGCCTTCCACACGAAGTTCCCACGAAGCTATGCGTTCACTGCCTTCAGATTCTTCCTTGCCAGGCGTAAAGGTATTGGAGATGTAAATGCGAAGCTTCCGCTTTTGCTGAAGTTTGGAGAGAAACATTCACTAAGGACAGCAATAGGATCAATTCAACCACACACCAATTCCTTTCCACAGGTCTGGTCCTTCTTCCCATGGCAATCTGAGCTGGCAGTGTAAGTTGCTTCTATAACTGAAGCCTCAGACTGCCAAGGAACACCCCAAAGGAACTGATCCTTTCGCTTTCTCCATCCCTGAAGGACTTGACTAACTCAGTCTCCTTCCATCCCTCCTCACCGTCAAAGGTTTCTTGATTGCCTCCTGGATTTCCATCCTCTTGCGGGCAATTGTCTGGTCCAGCTTGCGCTCAAAGGCCAGCAAATCCATGTAGGCCTGAGACTCTGGGACTAGTTCACGAATCTGTGAAGACAGAGTCTATCAGAATGCCATCTCTATCAAGACAAGCATCCTTTGCCTCTGAGTAATTACACAGAAGGGGAATTTCAATGTGTACAATTATCCAAGATTTGTATCATGTTCCCCATCATTCCCAGCACGAAGGCTGACCTAGCCCTGCTCTGCATATCATTGGGAAAAGGGGACAATAAAGCTTTATCCCCCTTTAGCAAAGGGTCAATATCCTTCCATCTCACAATCACTATTGCCCTTTCTATGATTGTTTTGAGGATAATCAGTGAATTACTTTGCAAATTAAAGTTGATTAACAATTGTAATAATGGACTGGAATTCCCAGTGGGAACAGCTGTGACATATGCAGCAAAATGTTCCAACACCCTCTAAAATACTGGGTTTATTATCCTCCCATTCCACAACTACATAGGAACAGCTCACTCAAAAAAACTGCACACCTGAATAATTTTTCTAGAAAGAGCTGGCATGGCCTTGAGCCCTGCAATCCGTTTCTACCCATTTCCACCACATGTGCCTACTGCCTGCATCCTTCATTAAGGCCAAGAGCTCTCTCAGACAAGGAGCACTTACCCTCTGTGGCAGGACCTTGTCTGCCATCTTCCTCCTTTTGAGCCTGCAAGAATTGTGCAAAAAAGCAAGCTGTTAAGAGGCCAAAAACAGTCTAGAATCTGGTACCTAATATCCACATGTATGGAAAGCCCAAACTACGCAACTGGAATGAATTTCAAACATTTTACTTGTGTGTCCCAGGGAATTCTATAATATAGCTCCACCTGTATCAGCTAAAACATCTTCCCTGCTTTAAAAATAGTGATAAACAAACTCCATGTAGCTTGATTCAGAGTTGGCTTGCAAAGGAAGGAAAACAACTGGCATAAAAGGAAATTATTTTCAATGCATCTTCTTTCCTAGCTCCAGTACCAGCTCTAATAGTAAAAATAAAAATATGTAGCTCTAGTAGCCGGTTGAAGCTAAATCCTTCGAAGACAGAGGTCCTGTGGCTGGGACGGGGCGATATGGGATTGGGGGGGCAACTCCCATCTCTTGCGGGGGCGCAATTAGTGCCAGCACCGTCCGTTAAGAGTTTGGGTGTAATCTTCGACACCCCCTTTCCATGGAGGCGCAGATTGCAGCTATAACAAAGGCGGCATTTTTCCATCTCCGCCAAGCTAAGCAGTTGGCTCCTTACCTCTCTCACCCTGACCTAGCCACTGTGATCCATGCGACGGTCACCTCCAGACTGGATTATTGTAACTCGCTCTACGTGGGGCTGCCCTTGAGACTGACCCAGAAACTCCAGCGGGTGCAGAATGCTGCAGCGAGACTCCTTACGAGGTCTTCGCTGCGAGATCACATTCACCCGGTGCTATACCAGCTGTACTGGCTCCCGGTGGAGTACAGGATCAGGTTTAAGGTGCTGGTTTTAACCTTTAAAGCCCTATACGGCCTAGGACCCTCGTACCTACGGGACCGCCTCTCCTGGTATGCCCCACAGAGAAACTTACGGTCTTCGAATAAAAACATCTTGAAGGTCCCAGGCCCCAGAGAAGTTAGGCTGGCCTCAACTAGAGCCAGGGCTTTTCGGCTGTGGCTCCGATCTGGTGGAACACTCTGTCACAAGAGACCAGGGCCCTGCGGGACTTGACATCTTTCCGCAGGGCCTGCAAGACAGAGCTGTTCCACCAGGCCTTTGGCCAGGGCACAGCCTGACTCCCTCCCTCGGCAATCTTCGCGGAGCTCTGGCCCAATGGTTGCCAGTGGCTTGAATTAATTAATTTTATAACGAATGATTTTAGACTGTTGTTTATGCTGTACTTTTGTACTGTTTTATTGTTGTTAGCCGCCCTGAGCCCGGCTTCGGCTGGGGAGGGCGGGATATAAATAAAATTTATTATTATTATTATTATTAAAAGCATCTGATTTGCATTTAACCCTGAAACTCAGATGATGAACATTTGTGCAGGGAGTGGGGATCAGAATACACTTGATACCAATCTCTGTGCTTGTCTCCAGGAGAATGTGTAGCTATGTCATCAACGGTGATAGTTTTTTACTTCACAATAAGGGGGAAAATCAGGAAAACAGAGGCAGGAAGGATGATTTAGCAAGCCAAGAAAGGTCCTTTGCTTATGCAGCAGGTCAGTCAGATTTGAGGCGTTTCCTGTTGCCTAGTCAGATAAACCTAGGGACTGTATAGCTTCGCTATTCTCATCACTTGGCAATCTCCCTGCATTGTGTTTTGTGGACCTGTAATACACCATTCCCCACAGCTTTGCCTTTTTAAAAAAATCGGGGGGGGGGGGCATGTCTTCTGTCTGAGCTAATATTAGTGTCCAAGAATGGAAGGAACAGAAACCACCATCAATGGTTGTGCGATTTGCTTGGATGTTCAGTGAAATGTTCGATTTCATTAAACATACTTTTTGCACATGTGCAGAATCTCATTGTACATTCCTTGATGGAGTGGAATGTCAGAAAAAATGTTTGAGTCATAATATATCTGAGCATTTTGAGATGTTCAAATTCATATTATGAACCAGCTAACTTAGTACTTTGGGAACATTATGGCTTTTGTAATATTCCTAATAGGTGCCTGTCCTACCCTTCCCTCAAAAATACCGCAAGGGTCATATGCTTTGGCTTTATGCAGATTTCAGCTGATTTATCATTTTCGTGTTGAGAATGATACTCTTTGAAGACTCACTGCCACATTTCAAACTCTATTTTGTAACAGGCCAAACTATTTTTTTTAAAAAATGCATTCACATTTCACCATGTGCATATTTATTTTTATTTTAAAAAATAAAATAGCTGCTGCTACTCCCACCCGCATCCTGATCTGGATCATAACCATAGCACAGTTGGGCTTTCAACCTCCCACCCACCCACCACCCACACTGCAGCTCCAACAAAACTGCCCCCAATGTTGAAATTTTCCTTGGAGGGGAACTCCTAGATACCAAGAGCAACTTCCCTTCCAGGGCAAATAGCTTCAGGGTGTGTGCAATTTATTTTGTGGCTGTTGTCAGAGTTGTGTTATTCGAAAGGAAATGATTAACCTCTCTTCTACTGCAAGAGGGTGAAGAAGGGGGGAAAGGAAAGGCAGGAGAGAGCATATTTCAGACCCATACAGTGGGAAATGAAACCCTGCCTGCAGCACCACAGAACAGAACTGCGCCTTTAACCCACCACAGAAGGAAAGGAACAGCTACGGAGCTCAAATTAACAAAGGGATCATATTCTGGCATCTGAAATGGCAATTCAACAAGACAATAGACGTACTCCCCCACTTCTACCATGTAGAACATGGCCCCTGAAGCCTGGATGCCAGATGTGTGCAGCTGCTTGTTTCTCTATGCATCTCCTTCCTTGGATTAAGCTGGCCGAGGAGGACTTGCCAAGAAACTGAATGTCATTTGCATCCCATTTGTTTTTAAAAACAGCTGGTAAAATCAGGCCAAGCAGGACTTGTGAGGAGCATGAGAGAAGAACAGATGAAAGTCAAGCTCAGCAGAAGTAGCTTAGCAGAAGGGGAGTGGAGGATATAGTAGTGAAGGGAGTCAAAAACCCCTATCATAATGAGAATGGGGGTGAATGGGGTGCTGCTTAATCTTAGCTATCTGATTTTCCATCAACAAAAAAACATCTGTAAGAGCCACAGAATCTGGACCCACCGGGAGCTGATAATATTACGCAAGTCACTCTTCTTCCACTCTCCCTTCTGTAACAGGAGGATAATGCTGGGATACCTTGCAAAGCTATTTTAAGGATTGCTGAAATAAGTTGTAAGGAGCACTCTGAACACTGGAATTGTAGCCTATAAATACCAAATACGTATATTGTTTTTCAGCTTTTTCTGGGAAAGTACACAGTTATTGCTTTTGAAAACTGTGTGCAGGTCAGGAAATTGGTGGAGACAAGCAGAACCTGCAGAGAAACTGCTAAAGTATCCTCACCCCCTAAGAGAAGTACCAAACCAAGCTTTCTCCCAAAAACTGTTAGCTGTTAAGGGTTCAAGAAGGCCAATTCCCTCACTTCACCCCTGGCTTTCCAGCTGACAACTAAAATTATATGACTCCTTGAAACCAACGAGCATACTTGGTCCACACTGGGCTGATCGCCAGGGGAGGGGGAACTTTATGTTCTTTCATTGACAAAGCTTACATACTTCTGCATACCTAGAAGTCTTCCAAGTATGTAGAAATAGCTGGCTAGCTTGAAGAAAGCAGGCAGCCCGAGCTGCCGTTATTCACAGTAACATTGAGCTTAAAAGACAAAGGCAGAAAATGTGCACATAGCAGTCTCCCTAGGCTTAGAGGAGAGGGGTGTACTACAGAGTTCCTGAGATAGGTCACAGAGAATTCAGATTGTCATTAGTGCATTTCTCACTCTCGTTTTGAGTCATTCCATTTTAAACATGCTTCAATTCCAAGATAGATCAGGGGCCTAGAAGGGGTTGGAAAGGCCTGGCAAGTGACCTTGGTTCTAGCTAACTGAAAACAGAACTTGGGTGGATTCAAGGCCCCCAGGCCAACCACATCGTGATGTCTCAGAAGTCCCACCCTTCAGTGCTGGGAACTAGTAGTCACATACAGTATCTAGGGGACGGGGGAAGTGGACATCCAGAGAGAGAAGCAATTTGCACACAAAGAACATTGCCCTAAATCTTTTGGTTCACCTCAGTTGCTGCTATCATGAACAGGTAGAGTATTAAGTCCCAGTATCATTCCTACTGGGGTAATCTGTTCAAAATGAAGGTGGGACACTGCTGGACTTCTCCGCTGCTATTTCTAGAAGCAACTGGGGTTTTTTTTTATTGTGAGGGGAAATCCTTGGCTGCTTCATCAAAATGGTCTGTTCTACCCAAAATCGACAAAAAAATGCTTTTTGTGGAGATGCTCAAAGTTACTCTGTTGTCCCCAACATGCTGCTCTTTAGTATCGCTGACAATCTAAGAGTCTGGATAAAGGTAGAGCAGGGGTGAAGACAACAGATTGGGGCTGGGTTAGACAAAGCACTAATTACAGTCCATATGAAGACCTTCTGTGGCAACAAGGACAGCAAAGCACACATTCCTCTCCATCTTCATTGCACTGGCTCAGTATTGTCTAGTGGAGTCATTCCAAGGAATATACGGTTTAATTAGTCCTAGGCTTCTATACTGTACCCTTGACTGCTCTGTAAGCTATTGATATGTTTGCTTAGCATTTAGCAGACAGAATTTCCCACATCCACTCCAATCCGTAATCCCCTTTAATGACAATGCCCCTAGCCAAGCTGCCCTCAGTCTCGTCTTATTGTTCTTGCTTGGATGAATTTCTGTGGGTGTAAGCAGAGTTCATAGTCAAGATCCTTGCAACAGTCCAACAAACGATCTGTGCTTTGGAACCTTGATGTTTTTTGCTAGTTCTAGCTAACTGAGGGAGGCCAGCTGCGCCTATCTGACTGACCATTTACACCTCTTTGTGCAAAGTGTGGTTCCTGGTCCTCTTCACAAGGCTATATTACAATCACTCCTAAAAGAAGCCCTCCTTGGAGCTATGAAATTGTCTACTTGCCTGGGACATGCCTTTTAGAACAATGTTATGGAACAAGTGATGGTGGTTCAGCTCAGATTCTCTGGATTAGAATGGTTTTCTGAACCCATTTCAGGTGGTAGTTTTGCCCCAATGTGTAGCTTCTTGACTACATTGGCTCCCAAGCTGGTGCAGTCATGCCCTGGCAGAAGCCAGCTCCCAATCCAGCAAATTCTTTTGCATCCCGGCTCTGCTCCTTCCCCAAATGCTCTGTTTCAGCTGGTGGTAGCTTTTGCCTACTCTCCTGTCAGCAGCAGAACTGTTCCACTGGTGAAGACTAGAGGATCTGGGCAAGACCATTTTAAACCTTGCCATTATTACCTATTTTTGTACTGTTAAAGGTATTTTACTGGTTTTATTGCCTCTTATTTCAATCTTTAAATTTTCTCCAAGTAGTTCCGAATAAAACATAATATACAGAAGCTGCAGGAAGTATTTTCTTTTTGTACATCTTGGGTTAAATCCTTTCCTTTTGGGTCCTACGCACCTTTCTCTGAAAACATCCAAGCCTGCTTCTGTTAAAAAATTAATTAAGAACTGCAAGCTATAAGGTAAGAAGTGGAAAGATAAAGAAGAAAAAGGTGTTCAAGGAAGGAGAGGAGGGTACGTGTGGAGTTCTCTAAAGGTTGTTAATTTGGTGCCCAAATAATCAGATTTGATTTTGTTGCTCCTCCTGTGTATCATTTGTACTTCTGCTGCCAAATCTGCAATGCTACACACACTTATTTGGGAGAGTCCCAATGAACTAAGTGGGATTTACTTCCAAGTATATATGCATATAACTGGGCTGCATGTCAGCAAGTGTAGGCAGTAACTAGAGATGAGCAAGCCATCAAGAGCCTAGAGACCAGAGGAATAAAATTGGAAGTCAAGACCAGAGTCAAGTCAGGCTTAGAGGACAAACCAGGATGCAGGAGTGAAGAGTAATATCAGCACTATATTTTTACCACTAGATCTGCACTTGGTATAAATGTGATAATGCCTCAGTCAAGACCCACCATCTGGTAGATATAAGGTGTTGGAATGAATGGTGCCAACAATTATATGAATATACCTCATAACAGCTAGCCAAAACTGCACCATGATCTTGACACATGGCTAGTGGATAACATTGCTGTGTGTGTTTCAATATGCACCAGCATCTTATGGTTTGCAACAACCCTCTTTGTTCTAGATACCAAAAGGTCTGGTAAGCTCCAACATAGCACATTTTTTTGGTATTCGCTCAGCCTGTCAGCTAATAGCCAATATCTGCACACTCCCTTCTGTTTTGTCTGGCTGAGAAGTGTATTTTTGCTCTTTCTAAACTCTGTACTTCAGTTAACAAGTTTAATCAACAAGGAAACACTTTTGCATCATGGAATTTCTTAGATTTTTCTGGATCTCACTGCAAAAGCATACCACAATGGCCAGGAATATAATCAACTTCCAAAATGGACTGAGAGAGGATTACTAGTGGTTATTAAGGGGGGTCAGGTACATAAAACAATCTCTCTTCTTGAACGCAAACCCAAAATAGTAAGCAGTGGTGTGGTAAAGTAGTGTGTGTGTGTGTGGAGACACTGGAAGTTGTCTAATGAAGAATGGGAGCTGGCTACTTTACGTATGTTGTAGAGACAGGATGGCTAGGAAATTGATCTTATTTGGAAATAGTACCAATACAGTCTCACCCTATATTCTACATTCACCCCCCTCAAATCACTTAGACACATATGCACTTACCCTCGCCTTTGGGATAGTGATGGAGGCGGTTGGGTCTGTGGAACAAGCAGGCGCTTCCGGAACGGATCCATCATGGACTGTGGCATTCCAGGTCTCATTGGAGAAGGTGATCCATACAGAGGCCCTGAGGGGGATCCCACTTGCAATCCTGCCATGGGCATCCGGCCACCAGGCAGAATCCCAGGGCGCTGGCAAGAGAAAACAAAAGACATTCTAGGAAACTAGGCACTGTACGCACCAGAGTTCATTGGCAGCCGCTTGGCTGAAGTCACTCTACTTCCCATAGCAGGGCAAAGTGCAACAGGCAGAGGCACATTAAAAACGCAAACTGTTTTAATGGTATTCCAAAGAACCGCTTGGGAATGTAGATCACGGACAGAGAGGAAAGACAGGCACCTTTAAGAGAGTTCACGGAGTTCTTATGAAACTATAGCTCTTAGAGCATCCATGGCAATTAAACCAGCTTTAAGTTTGTAGTACAGATGAGTGTGAAGAGAAGAAATGACGGAAGACTGCAAGAATGCTAAGTAACAGCTGTACTTACCTTTGCCACATTTACTTTGTGCCGTTAAAAATTGTACAGATGGCAAACATTTGAGGTAGGCATATTTCTCACATCACCATGATATGCCAGGGGAAGATGCACTTCCCAGCATTCATCCTTCTGTGTATAGGAGGAGGTATAGGAACCCTCTCCTGAATTTAGCAGACAAGCCCAGCTGCTATGTGCTCAAAAGAATGACATGAAAGAGGAAGCAGGCACTCTCTTAACCTCTAATCTAAGTTGGTGGCCTACATGGACAATGGAGCAAAAATGGTTTTCTGTTGGGAAGAACAACCTCAGCCCACCCCGCCCTGGCACATCTGGTGGCTTTCTGCTGCTGGTGGTACAGTTATAAATATAAGAACATGAATAATCAGTTGGGTCATTAACCCACATTTAAGAATCTCAGATTAACTTGTTTTGATCAGATAAAAACAAAATTTACGCCTAATGATGGATGGTATGGAAAGGTGAGTGCAAGAGGCTACAGCCCTCTAGCTCCAGTTTCAGGTAGCACTTGGGGAGAAAAGTCTAAAATGCTTTACTATTCTTGAATGCACTCAGATGAACGTTCCTCCACAAACATTCACACCCTTAACACTTTCCAGTGTCCCAAGAACATTACCATTGAACCAAAGCCAAACAAAAACTGCAGGCAAGACCCTCCCCTCTACCCAACAGGTGAGATTATTCCTCTTGCACAAGAGAGGTCCCTCTGCAGATTCCTTTACAGGTTTCCCCTGCCTAGACATTCCCATAGAACCCTTGGAGATGCACACACTGTGGGTGTAACATACTGGCTAAGAGCCTGAGCTGTGGACTAGGAAAACCCCAGTTCAAATCTCATTTCAAACCACAAAGTCAACAGTAGCCTGCCTGCAGTATGTGTGTAATACTGAACTACTCTGAATGGCTACTTTAAGGAATCCCAGGAACATGCACAAAGCACTTTCAACTTTCTATAGCACTTTATAAGTTACTATTGCAGAGACTTATTGCAAAGCTTTTTGAACTCACCTGAAACATTTGCACAATAGAAACTGCCAACCATACTAACAGAGGATAACAATACCACCAGGATCTTTTGTAAGTTACACAAGTCAAACAGCAGAATCACATCAGGTGTTTGTAACAAACTTGGGTCATTTGGCAAAACATTGTAATTCACCACCACAGATTTTGGCCAGCCTTGATCATCACTCATTGTTTCTTGCACCTAGTGAGGATCAGCTTTTTTACTTTCTGCTCTACCGAGGCACATGACCCTAAGTCTTCATTAAACCAAACCAAAGTCCCATAAGCCAACAAGCAATAGCTTCAGACCAAGGTATGCTGGTGGTAAACAAACCATAGCTTCCAGGTAGGGTTCACACATAACACTATGCTATGGTTTAGTCTAGCATTATATGCAAATTAGGTCACTGTCAGCATGCTGTACCCTATCTAAGACTTTGTTGGCATCCATCTGTTTCAAGAGACAATGGAGTGCACCTCGGGGGTGAAGTCAAACTGCTGGAGAATCACAGTGCCTGCTACGGCTGCAGGGACTGGTAACTCATAATTGCTGCCTCCCGTGTTGTTTTTGCTGTGTTGGCAGTACTGAAGCAACCTCCCCGGGACAGCCTAGGCCAGGCATAGGCAAACTCGGCCCTCCAGATGTTTTGGGACTACAACTCCCATCGTCCCTAGCTAACAGGACCAGTGGTCTGGGATGATGGGAATTGTAGTCTCAAAACATCTGGAGGGCCGAGTTTGCCTATGCCTGGCCTAGGCAGTGTGTATGGAGGTCCTGGGCTGCCCAGATGACAAGATACCATCCAACCGCCTCTGGGACTCCACTCCAGATTTGTTTGGGTTTACACCTTAGTCTTTTCTTCTCCTGGAGATGTTCTGCAAGGCAGCAATCTAGGACTGCCAGGTGATTTAAGTAGCAGAAGCAAAAATGCTAGCACTTATAATTACATTTAAGTAAGTTTGCCTGTTGTCATCCACAACTTTAATGACAGAGTCTCTGAGCCACTCTTTGCCACCAGTACGCCATGGAGCCATTTCTCTAAGGACTAGGCCCAGGATCACCAGACAAAACTTGGCTCTTCCACACTTAATAGTTCTGTGCAGAACTGCATAAAAAGGAGAAACTCTGCCAACTGTTGGGCTCATTATCAAGAGAAGCTACACTGCTCACATTTCTCCGGCCCTTGTAATTATTAAAGGCTTGTCTAGGACTGAATTCAGCAACCCGACATCTGGGGGGCAACTGCTAATTTGATTGGAAAAGCACATGCTGGATCTGCCATGATTCACAGCTGCACTTAGCTCAGGTTACCTATGCACAGGGCTTGTTTATTAAGTCCTTTGAGGGGCATTTGATTGTGTATGCGCACACATACACACCTGCCCTCTTGAGCCTGCTTCAGAAGGGATTGCACTCCCTTGCCCTGTGGGATCTGAAACAAGCGTCTGCTGCCAAGGAGCTAACGCAGCTGCCAAAGCCACCAAGCCAGCAGGGCAACATTTCATCCCTCCCCAGCAGGCCCAGGCAGAGCCTCTAGTCCACTGCCACTCCCAAACAGAACTCAGGCAAAGGGGGTTGGGCAGCACCATACAAGTCCAACAGTGAAAGGATTGCCCACAGCAGCGAATACTGGAGAAAAACATTCAAAGGGAACATTATGAGCACGAGAACAGGCAGGAGACAAGTCATGCATAGAAAGGCTGCTGGAGGAAATGGGTATGCTCACTTATGGAAACAAAGATGAAAGGAGATATGTTGACTGTTTTCAAGCATCTGAAACGTTGTCAGGCAGGAGGGAGTCACAGTTAACTAAATCCCACCTCGGCCATGAATTTGTTCTGTGGGTCAGATTAAGCCACACAGTCTCAGCTTCGGCTCCCTTCCTCCTTTCTATCTACAACAGGGGTATTGTAGACTCTACGAAAAGCGATGCTAATAACATTAGCCTACTTAACAAGGTAAAAATTACGACGATAATGTACCGGTATGTGAAACATGCTACATAAATGCTGATTACTGCCATCCACGGAAGATGCTACAAGTGGCAATGGCTGTAAAGCACCAAAAGGCAGATATAGGTTGCAACTGGAGATAAACTTCCAAACTACAGGAGCACCAAGTCGGTGACGGAATAAGTTGCCCAGAGAGATTGTGAAATCACTTTCCTTGCAGATTTCCCAAACAGAAATTGCAGCATGTATACAGGTCTATAAGTCTCTGGACTGTTATTTTGCTGTTAAATAAACTCCACTTATTACCAAAGATTTATAAAGCATGTTAATATGCTACAAACAACCAAGCATCTGTTACCCCTCCAAGGACCTTTGAGGTTCAATTCTAGCAAGCAGATTCATAAATAACCAGCATCCTCCCAATTTCCCAGACTACCCCTCTTAACAAGAGGCTCCTCCCTCAACACAATTATTTCTTCCCTCCTTTCTCTAATCAATTACTACATATTCTGGGCCAGTGTTGACTTTGGCTGAGGAAAAGGACGGTGTGCAGTTAATCCCCAGCATTCTTCAAACAAATGGAGCAATATTCATTACTCCGCTGTTGCTTGGCTGTGTCATTTTATACGCGACATTCTCTCTTCACCCCCTCTTTTATCAGCTACATCACTGCCCACATTCATATAGTTAAAGGCAACTGGACCCTTTGAAGTGGTCATTTATGATAGATGCCTTTTGTCTCATCCACATGCTTTTAAAAAGCAAGTTCTCCTATTTGCTACACAAAGGTCACGCTCTGTGAAATCCTGCTGAGATCCCATACCTCCACACCAACGAGAGAATTTCCTTGGGAAGACTTTGCAGATGGGTTTTCTGTCACGGGCAGGAAAAAGCCTCTCCACATATTTCAATTTTAGGGGCACGTGCAATAAATTTTAAGTGTGCATCTAAACATGTACAGTGTCAGTGTGATAAAGATGTGTTTGCAAACATCTGCATTGAATAGGTAAGCTGAATGAATGTATAATGTGGCCAACTGTGCAGTGTGTGAAATGGCTCCAATTGCTACCACTTGGGGGAGGGGGAACCTCCCCAGGTCAAATGAAATCCTAGAAACAGTAAGAGAAAGGATGTGCCAGCACATATGTACCTTTCCCAGCAATGTGTGACTTACTTGCTTGAACCATTTACAATGTATTTGTTTTCTCCTTGTAATATGGAATGTGAGAGTTGACACATAACAAGATGTGTGTGGATGATTCTGCCTTGTTCTGTGGAAGATGAATCTGATGGTCTCCTATAATTTTATGGACTTGAAATTATTCTGCACAGCTGCCTAGGTAGCTTAGATGTGGCTATTATACGTACATAGGCAATTTATATATTTGTCTGCTTGTTATTGTTCAAAACCACAAACATCCACTGGGAAACAACGGTCTTAGCTACGTGTTCAGCTGCAGCATGTTTTTTCTTACCCCCAAGAGGAACACTCAGTTCAGACAGGAGCAGGTCTCAATTGCCACCACATCTCCCCCAAGGAATTAAGACAACCATCTGCAGTTTTAAAAGAGCTGCTACTTTCTTTTACAAGTTTCTGATTACAGCAAATGCTTAGGACCATTTCCTTGGCTTAGAATGTGGTTCTTCCTGGCCACAGAATCATAGGGCTGCAGGTGACCGTAAGTCACTCGTCTACTCCTCTCTGTGTAAAACTACACACACACACAAATACCATCTCAAGCACAGCATCTGATATGACAGCACAGCTACTGAGGAACTACAGTATTGAAAACACTGAACAGAGGAAAAGTGGGAAGAGATAGGATTTAAAAGGCACAGAAAGAAAACTACTGCCCCGATTACTGAGGACAATCTCTATTTTCCGTACCAGTCTCTCATACAGCACTGTCTTCATTTGTCTTTGGGAATGATGTTGAAGAAGCCTGTGAAAAAATTCTAGAGTGTCCTTACGGTTTCAGCCCCCTTCTCCCTCTAGTCTCTGGAACATGTAATCATTGATGGAAGAACAGGGAGTTTACTAGTACACAAGACAGCTCTTCTTTTCATCTGCAAGTTGTTAGAAAGTGTGAAAGACACTGAACACAAACGTCACACAAAGTGGTTTATGCTGAAGTTTCCTTAGAAGGTGCATCTACACAGCAATAATATGCCAGTCCCATGGTAGGTAAGTCTCAGTCCTTCTCCAACACAAAACCACAGCCAGAGATTCTGCTCGCCATCTAATAATTGCCATCTAATCTAATTGCCACCCTGTGCATTTACTTAAGTAGCAACACGGGTGAGTCAGCATTCAGTTGCCATTAACGGTTTTCTCAGGTTTAATGCAATCCAAAGTCACAGCAGGAAGACCAAGGAAAGAAGAGAAAAGCGAGTAATAAAATACTTGACATTAAAAGGTTAGCCCACTAGACACTTGTGTATGGTATCAAACATTTGAGTCATATTTAAAACTCATCCAAGGAAATGCATTTCCAAGATTCTGCTTACAGAACTGCATCTTGTGAATTTCAGCTGGGACTTAAAAAATATGTCTGGCCCTCATAATGAAAATATGCAAGTACTCTCTGTTAAAGGCTTCAAGAAGCACCCATGCCTTCAGAAACGTTCCCTAATGCATGTACTAATTCATCTTCCCTATCCCACGTAGTACATTTATTTCCTGCTCCATCCCTCTAGTCAGAGGCTTGCAGAGCACAAGATAGCAGGTTCATCAGGCTGATACTTGCTGAAACTGCTGTACTTGGCTGCTTCTGCTTCCGGCTTCCTTGTTACAGAAGCATTACCACCTCCAAAGGAAGTGCAGGGACTTGAAGGCACAGTTTCTCTCACTGCTAAAAATCCACACCAGACTTTTGAAACTGTCTCCATTTGAAAAGCAAAGCTAGCACTCCTCACATGGGATGCACCCAATATTCACAAAGTGTGTACCTCCCATTGTCTGAAATTGATGCAACAACTAAGCCAATGTCCTCAAATTCTAACCACTAGGGATGCTTGTCTGCTGGTCTTTGTTAATACTTTCACAGCATGAAGAGACTGCTAAGAAGCCAGTTCCAGTTACAAAAGAATAGGGCTGGAAGGGATCAGCAGGCCATTAAGTCCAGTCCCTTACCCCAGTATCCCGTGCACAATAATTCACATTATGATGGGATACAAGCATAAAATCAGGAGACCACACAGCGTACTACAAAAAGCGCCATCTAAGCCGAATGCTAACTGCAGTGTCATAATACAGAAAAATGCTTTTTTGAGGAAAAGTTAAACCCAAATCTTAAATTCATTCAATACTCTCAAAAGAAAGTTATTGGGACATACCTAGGATTTTGCTTGGAGTTAAGCTAACAGCAACCAGTGTTGATTCAGATGATCTTGGGGGAGGACCCATGATCTCTGGTAGTCAGAAAGTTATTTCTGAATGAAATAAATAACATAAAAAAGGAACTGGCACTGCAATTTTTACAAACGAATATGGGCTTAAAGACAATGTGATTTTAAAGGTTTGTGGGGTGTGAGGAGCTATTCTTACTTGCCTGTAAAGGTGGTGACCATTTTGCATGTGTCCAATTGATGTGCAACTGCTGACGCATGGGTCCTTTAGGACCTGGAAGAGTGGGGCAGAATGGGCTTCTGGGCAGTGGGAGTGGGGAGGAATAGAACCCCAACACAAAATGGTTTATTTTAAGGAGGCAGACAACTCCAGAGAAGGACTGTCATTCCTAGGTATCTAATATATCCACATTGCGCGCATGTGTGTGTGTGTGTGTGTGTGTGTATATATATATATATATATATATATATATGTATATATATATATATATATAATTATTATTATTATTATTTTGAGGGTTGAGACAAGGAGTCAAGACATGTCATTATGGACATTTCTCCAGTCCTATCAACAAGAGGACATCTGGAGACTCAAATGGCCCACTCAACACTCATACATAAATGTTTTGAGCTATCTTTTTGAAAATGCAGGTCTTGTTTCCCTGATTACCTATTTTGAAGGCTGTTCCTAATTAGCAATATCCAACCAAGTCAATACTCAGCACAGAACCATTTACATCAGTGGTATGGAAATTACATAAGTCCATTGATTTCAGTGGGTGTGCTCCAGGTATGATGTGGCTGGATACCACCCCGCGATTTTTACCTTCAGTGTTCTGAGGTAATAATCTTGCTATACAAGCTCTGCACAAGTTCAGCAACTCCTTATATTTTACTTCCATAATGCTTTAGTTTGAACTCATTCAGTCATCCGACGCTACTCATAAGTCCCCAGAACTCTTATTCTATCTTTTTCGTTCCATGTCGTTCTTCCTCCATCAAAACACTTTATAATTTTTCATCTACACTGTATTAGGTTAAAATTAAAACAGTATGTTACACAATTTAAATTGCTTCATGGTTTAAAGTGTTTCTCTCTTTTAAGTAAAAACAACAATAACTGAAAGCAGCTTGTAGAGTTTGGAACATATAACTGGCCTCAAAAGCATACAACAACCATGGTCAGAAATAAACCATGGCTTACCATAAGGAGTAATCTGCTGGCAGTTGCTGCTCTTTTTTCTTTCTTTCTTTTTTTAAAAGTAAGAACAGAAAGAAAACACACAATGCCACAATAACAATCCACTATTCCTAAATGTGGTATGTTAAGATAGACAATTGATATGATATATGAATGGGCACAATATATGCTCAAAGGCAGAAAGGGCAGTAAGATCTTCACACCACTGAGTAATGGGTAGTGGGTATTTATCTTTCCAGCCTTGGAATATAATTATCTTTTCAACTACAAGGGCTCAGATGATCCACTTTTGTTGTCCGTTAGTCCCCACATCATAGGAATGTTAAAAGCGCACAAACATCCTCATGTACCAAGGATTTTTCCAAAACAAAAGTTTCTGACCCAAAGATTGAGCATGTTAGCTCAACCAATCCATTCTGCCTCTGACAGAACCAAACCACGAGGCTTCATCTGGCATTAGGTGAACTTACAGTTTGTTCAGGAGTAACAAACCATGGGTGGTGGTGAGCCATGAACAAACTTTGGCTTCCACTTGTGGGTTGTTTGGAAAAAACAAACATGAGTGTCAGTTCACACATAACACTAAGTAAAGCACTGTGGTTTGTTTCTCGTGGAGGCAGACAGGGCAGAGCAAAGCGGGAACAACAGACTAGCCAGCACCTGCACTGCTTGTCCACAGTAACTCATGGCTTATTTCTGACAATGGCTTACCATTATGCATGAACTGGGATACTGTGTGCATATTTCTGCCATTCCTTCTTTCTTTTGTATGAAAGTTGCTTCGAACAAATACCTGCTTATCTTTGCAGAAGTGCCTAGCAGACTTTTAGGCACTATTACTTTTGGTTTTAATAGATTACAGTTTTAATATATTTTATATATGTATATAGTTTTAGATTCTATCCATGTTTAATTGTTTTTTAATCATTGCTTCTATGGTTTTAGCGGTTCTTGTTTTTATCTGTAAGCTGCCTTAAGTCAACACATTTTGAAGTGGAACTTCCTTCTTGAGGAGCAAGCTTGGACATTCAGAAGCAGCTTACACAAAGATATTGGTGCCTATCTGTCACTATAAGGAAACCGTTCCTTTGGTGCCAGATAGGCAGCAATATTTGTGTAAGTTGCTTCAAACAGTCTAAGTTTGCTCCTGAAGAAGGAAGTTCCACTCCAAAATGCGTTGACTGCAATAAACATTCAGAGGAGCATTACTTGAAAAAGCTGGTGCCATATATCACATCAGAAGCTGAGCTAATGAATGAACCCATTACGTTATGGATTATTATTAGGCCCTATAACAGAGTTTCCTGGGAAGGTATGAGGACACAATTGGCATGTTTGCTGCAGAGTCTGGACCCTGTGATTGTGTCTGTGGCCTGGTGTTGCTGGTAAGTAGCTGCCTTAGGTTGTCTTATTCCTGGGTACCAGTCCAACTTCATTAATCTTTTTTTAAATTATTATTTCAGTGGGTGAGTATTATTGCAGTCTCAATGCAAATCTGCATGTTGCAAGTGTCTGGACAAATGCTCTTTTGCATTCTACACAGGACTAACAGTTCAATATCTATTCAACAAAATAAGGGGATACAAATCCAACATCAGAAATGGCAATATCCACAAACCAGTTAGAGAACATTTTAACCTATCAGAATACTCTTTAACTGACCTTAAGGTGGCTATCCTTGAATGTTCAGTGTGAAACTGCTGAATTCTGAGTTATCAGGCAATTCAATCCTGCCACCTGGGGCTTGACTCAAGATTGTGGTTTTTTTTAAAAAAAGAAACACACGTGTATATGCTAATTAGCTAACAAATGTCAGGATGACTGTGTTATCACAAACAGTGCCTAGTTATTTGGTCACTACAATTATTTTGCTTTTAGGTAACTGTCACTGCTCTTTTTGCATTTTATTCCATTGACTTCACTCCCATGCCAACCATGGGTAGATATGCTTGCCACTTTAGGACTGCATTTCATGTACCTTATGAAATAGACTGTGGTATGTGAAAGCTTTTAGCCTTACACCACAACAAATGTGTTGGTCTTTAAAGTGACACCAGATCCTTTGTTATTAATACCACTAGTAATTACAGTATAGGAAAATAATTCAAACAAAATGAAGCAAATAATAGTTGGCCTACTACAAATTTATATTGCATCCTTAGTTTGCTAAATTCTGTACCAACTGTATTGTGCTCACTCCTACAATTTATATTTTGCAGAAGAGGAACTAAGGCTCAGTGTGTGTGTGTGTGTGTGTGTGTGTGTGTGTGTGTGTGTTGCCCAAGACTGCAAAATGAATTAATGGAAGAAGCAAATACTGAAATCAAGGTCTTTTAATCCAAGCCCAACTGACCCTGTGGCCCACACTGACTCTGTCAAACTAAGGCTGCAATCCTGTGCATACCTTCTAGGTAGCAAGTCCCGACAAAATCAGTAAGACTTAATTCTGTCTAAACACGCATAGGATTGCTCTGTGAAGCACTTATGTGGTTGTGTGTGAAACACACACACAGTGCTGATATAGAAGACAAGGCAGTATTTTCCTTTTAGTATCATAGCCAAATTTTCTCCCCTAAGATAAGACAGCACAGATCAAAACGACCTCAAAAACTGTGACTGTCTGAATGACAAGTCTTTACCTTTTTAGGTGGTTTATGAACAGGTCCTACTGACTTATCTCAAATAGGAAGAAATCTTTTAGCCATGAGCACTGAAAAGATTTGTAAAGGAATTTCCCCCTTTAAAAAGTGTTTTATTCAACACATTTGTAATGCAAAAACATTGTATAGAGAACCATATGGTGTTTTCCTACTTTATTTGCTGCTACTTTGATTCCCTTGGGTGATTTTGGGCGTCTTTTCTGGCCTTTTGAAAAATGGAATCGACTAACACAATTCCAAAAGGAAAGCATCAAAAATAAAAGGAGCACCCTGGACCATACTTTTGTATTTTGGGCAAATTAATCTGCAGTAACTACCATTTCCTGATTCTGTATTAACAACAACTAACACATATTACAGGCCTACACAACTGATGGCCCACCAAGCTGAATGCAGCCCCCCCCCCATGCCCACGTACTGTAGCCAGGCAGGTATTCACTACTCCTCGCCAGTTCTTGCAGTTGAAAGCACAGAGTAGGACAAGGTACTTTGGCAAATCTCTGGAGGGCCACTATGCATGGCTGGTGGGCTGCATTTAGATTAGTGGTTTAGAAATTGTACAGGCTTGATGTACCAAAATCCCTACTTTTATGCTTGCAGCATGCTTTTAAAGCATGTGACAAAATCCCTCTTGGCACTCTTTTCATCCTATTTGGAAGCACAGGAGAGTGCTTTAAGCTGCATTAAGGGACAACTGATCTACATCTGTCAGTCTTGAAGATGTACCCATAGTGTGCTTCTCTAAACCAACAAAATATTTTTAACCTCCAGAAGTCCCTCCGCCTTTGTCATTATTGCTGCGTGTCATTGTTCCCTCCCCCGCTCCCCAGTCTGCCACCTAAGATTGTAATACTATCTCCTTACTTCAAGAACTGCTGAGAATACAACTCTTCTAATATACAAAGACTTTTATAATCAAAGGTTGGGTGGTAGGGAAAGCGGAATGCGGCTGGGAATTCTGCTCCAGACTGAGCCACAAGCCAAAAAGTACAAATTCAAGCTTCAAGGAAAATATTTCAGATCTTTCTCTAAGTGACATTATGCTTTCCCTATATTTATTTACCTACTTAATTTATATAGCTGCCCTATAGCAGAAGTACTCTAGGAAGCCAGTGTGGTGTAGTGGTTAAGAGCATCAGACTAGGACCTGAGAGATTAGGGTTCAAATCCCACTCAGTTATGAAGCTCACTAGGTGACCTTGGGCCAGTCATTGCCTCTTGCTTAACCTACCTCACAGGGTTGTTATGGAGATTATGGAGGGGTGTGTGGACCATGTACTTTTTGGAGAAAAGGGTGTGATATAAATGCAATAAATAAGCTCTTCTCCTTACCTGCTTAAGAAAGCCCATGTGGCTCTTTACATCAAGTTCTGATAAACTCAATCAACAGATACAAGCTCTGCCTTCATAGCTAGTTGTCACACCTGGTGCTTAGAGAACAAAAACCAGCATTTTGATTGTACGCTTTCTACATCTCCACACAATCCAAGCCTCCAGCTGCACAAAACCATTGCAAGACTTTCACAGGCTGGAAATCTAAATCCCACCTGGAGTCATACACAGGATTTCATTGAGAAGCCCTTAGTTTGCATAGCAAACTTTCCCCACCTCCGTTCAGAGACACCTACTTTTGAGTGTCAACCTAAGACCTCAGTTTCCTTCAATGACCCGTCCCCCCTCCAATTTATGTTTAGATTTTAAGCACCACTATGAGAGTTTGTCCTGCCATCCTAGCAGTTCGAAAGCATGTCAAAGTGCAAGTAGATAAATAGGTACCGCTCTGGCGGGAAGGTAAATGGCGTTTCCATGCGCTGCTCTGGTTCGCCAGAAGCGGCTTAATCATGCTGGCCACATGACCCAGAAGATGTATGCCGGCTCCCTCGGCCAATAAAGCGAGATGAGCGCCGCAACCCCAGAGTCGGCCATGACTGGACCTAATGGTCAGGGGTCCCTTTACCTTTACCTTTATGAGAGTTTGAGGGTACATAAGACTTTAAAATGAACTACTTAAGCCATCATAAACTAACTGGCTAGATTATATATATTTTATATATATTAAAAGCACACCACACATTAAAAGTACAGTACATTAAACAAGGCAACTTAAACTTGACCAAAACACGTTGGGTTTAAAAGGAGAAGAAGAAAGGAAAGAAAAAGAAAAAGTACAAATTCAGATTCCAGCCGGAAGTTTCACAGTTGCTTCTCTCCCACAACCCCCAAATGCCTTTCCGTCTCAGCAGACGCTATCTGATATTGCTCCAACTTCTCGGACTCAGCAACCATCCCAACACTGGGACGTCCCTGCCAAATACAGTCCAGACCCTCTCCATGTGGCCGCACGCACAGCTCCTAAACTCGCTTCTGCCAGGAGGCCTTTTAGATAAAAACTCTTCTTACCTGCTGCCCTCACCGATCTGTCATACCCAGCCATTCACACGTTCCTTTTCTCCTCCCCGCAAGCCGCCCCCCTTGAACCCCCATATCCGACTCCTGGAACGGCAACGTCTCCCTTCCAGGGAGTTAGCTATCCCACGTGTATCCCCCACCTGCATTGCTCCCTCCCTCCCTCCTCCTCTCTCTCACGCACAAACTGCCACGATCCCTTCACGTGTTTCGAAACCCCGACGTCCCCACGTGCTTGCTCCTCCACCTCGCGCTCCTTCCGCGGCACTTTCGAGCGCGACCCGCAACAACAACACAACACACAACACGCGCGCGAGCACGTGCCCCGCCGCCCCCGCTTTACCTGGAACGGAGGCGCGTGCCCCATGGCCCGGTACGGGGTGGCCCCGGCCGGGCTGGGTCCCCGCAAAAGCCCCGGAGCTGGCGGAGGAAGGGCGGACAGCGCCGCCGAAGCAACCGGAGGGGGGCCCCCGGGCTGCGGCGGCGGCGGCGTGAGAGGAAACCCCCCGCGGCCGGCCATGGGGAGCCGAAGTGAGGAAGTCGGTAGAGGAGGCAACGGCCGTCAGGCGCTCCGAGCGCGCCCCACAGAAAAAAAGGGAAGCGGCGCTGGCTGGCTGGCTGGCTGGCTGACGAAGCGGGGCGGCTCTCAACGAGCTGCCCGGCTCCTCCTCTGGGACCGCCTCCTCACAAGCAACCGCCAGAGCCCAGCCTGGGAGGGAGCGAGCGAGCGAGCGAAGCGCCTCTTGGGACCTTCGGGCCACTGCGCGCGAGGCGCCGCTATCGAGCAACCGCCTCCCGAGAGACGGTCGCGCGGGGCTGGGCGGGCTCGCTTCTCCTTCTTTCTCTCACATGGGAACCCTCCTCCCCAACTCCGCATCCAGAGGGGCTTCACACCCTCAAGAAAGTGCGTCTGCGAGGGGGGGGGTCCCCTCAGCCTTCAAAGTGTGCTGACCGCACGACCCTGGAGCATTGTGTGTTTTCGGAAGCAACTCTTTCAATCTCGCACTTCACTGCCTGGGGGAGATGAACGTTGGCACATTTCCTGGGGAGTAAATAAATAAGTAAACAACAACAACAACAATTTATTATTTCTACCCCACCCATCTGGCCAGGTTTCCCCCAGCAACTCTGGGCGGCTTTCAACAGAACATTAAAAACAGAATAAAACTTCAAACATGAAGAATGCACCTAAACACAGCCTATCATTTAGTTACCCTGCCACACATCAAATTAGTGTGAGGTAAAATAAAAACAAATACTCTATCCCTTCAACAGCAAGATATTGGTTGGCTAAGCCTGAGCCACCCCAGGCAGTTTTCTCATCTGGCTTCACTGGGAAATTCCCAGTGGCAGAAATGGGACTTGCTTTTTAACCTCCCATGCAGACCTGCCTGGTTACTAAGGTCATGAGGAGCCAGTGAAAGCTCATCTCATGGGATCAGTCAGATAGAGGGCCTTTTCTGTTTTGGTGCCCACGGTAGCCTGTGAGGCATGATGTGCCAACTAGGATGTGGTTTCTACACATGTTAAAAATGTACAGTACCTGTTTACTTAGGCCTTTGCTGACCACTGAGGCCAGCCATTTTCTGTAATGCAGTTAAACGTACTGGCTGTTAAGGCTGCTGGTGTGTTTTTTGCTTGGTATTTTTAATGGATTTTACTGTAAACCGCCTTGAGATGTTTTCATAAATAGGCAGCCTATATTTTTAATAAATAAACAACCTGGCATATTAACGGAGGGCCCACCTGTTCACCTGTGCCAACGTGCCAATGAGGCAAAACGAGAAAGGCATCCAATAGGGTTCTCATTGCCACTACCGGTGTTTCATCACGTTTCTTTTCATTATTTATTGAATAAGGTGTTGGAAAACAGGTAAATAGCATCTAACAGAGACTGTAGGCCTTTCACATTCTACATGGCCATTTCAGTTTTGAGAATGGATATTATCCTGTCGTTTTGTGGCATGTACTCATTTATTTTTGTCTGGGGAAACAAGAAGGCCAAAGCAGATGTCAGGCAAGTACCTCTGAGGAGACCATGCCACCAGCAAGCCCTTTTCCTCATTGCTCTCTCCCTCAACCCAGATGGCCGGAGGACCCAGATGACCCTGTGAGCCAGTGTAGTATATGGTCAGAGTGTTGGGCTAGGAGCTGGAATGGAAGACCAAGGTTCAAATCCCCACTCAAAGTGGCCTGGGCCTATATCTAATATATATGTTTATATCAATAGCAATTTTAATTAGGGTTGCCAGGTCAGGATTACCCCAAACTCTTTAGATTTCAGGCCCCAAACCTGAAACTTAGGGTGATATAATGTTGGGTGGGCCCTGGAGATGGAGGTTAATTGGGAGAGGGTAGTGGCAGGATGCCCGCCCACCCTAAGTGTCTATGCTCTAATTTGCAGTCAGCTCTTGCTGAGCTGAAGTTTGCAAGCTGCCTGTAAATGTCTCCCCTACCTCCCAGACCACCTTTGCCTTATGTGATTGTCTTGTCAGAATGGTATTGCTGTAACACTCTTTTCCTCCAACAGCATGGAGCAGTGTCTCTTACACAGAGGGGAAGCATTCACCCTCACAGGTAGGTAAGCTCTCTGTTGGCAAAGGCCAGGCACTCTGCTTCAACCACTGCTGGCCATAAACTCCTGAGCACTTTGGCCTTGTGGGGTCACAGCTCAGATACAGGCAGCTGAATAAGCTGCTCCTGCACACACCGAGTTCTTCTGGGTATGATCACAGTCCTTGCAGTCTCTCCCTTCACTTATGCGGGTGTGCTGAGACACCAAGCACCGCTCATTCTTTTCTCTCATTGTCAAAAGCTCAGGATAAGGCATTGCTAGAGTGACTGGTTGACCGTGTCACACATCTGTCTTTCCCTTTCACAAATTCCTGCATCCCGGATGCCGGTCAATAAAGTTTATGACATTGCCACACATTGTGGCTTTACTGGGAGTGGTAGATTAGGATCCCTTTGCCACAACCTTCAGGAATATCTGTATATTTGAATACCTACCAGATGGCAGAGCGCAAGTAACAGGAAGGCTGGCCAGATGTACTGGACTAGATGGAGAGAAGTTACTTGCCCAAAGTCATGAACAGAGTACAAGGCAGAGGTGGGAACAGCCTCACTGCATTAAAAAAACAACCCTCATGATGTCCCTTTCAATCAATATCATCCTCAAACCGTTAATTTTCCTCCCTGACCTGTCCAAATAATTTCCCTTTCCAAAATTATTTTTGACTCTCTTTACCCCCACATGTGTTCCATGTTCCTGCCGCCTACATTACAGACCCTTTAGGTTGGCTATTATTATTTATATCATTTATGAATCACTTCTTGCAAGGGACCTCAAAGCAACTGGCATTATAATGACATATATAAAACATTTTTTAAAAACTACACACACACGCGCGTGCAATTGCATGCAAAACCACATATTTAGCAGGCATTGAAAAGCCAATAGGGTAGGTTCTGTCTGATATGTGGAATGGAGCCCCTGACAGGATAGTACCTGCACTGTGCCTACTCCTACAGAACTCAGTGATCAGCTGGGTATGTGTAGGATGAGGCAATCTTTTAGGTATCCTGCTAGGCTGTATAGGGTTTTGTACACCAATACCAGCATCTTGAACCTAGCCTAGTAGGTCATTGGCAGGCAGTGCAATTCTTCAGCAGCGCCCTAATGTGATGGTGACGTTGGCTCAAAGTGAGTACGTACAGTATTTGTATTTTCATTCCTTCCTTCAGGAGGTTTTGAGCTGAAGCTGCCAGGTGTCTATGAGACTCCATAGAAACTGAAAGTGAGGAGTCATCACTGTCTCAAGACACCATCTCTGGCCGGTTGCCTCCACGTTGGGAAGACAGGTATGCAATGCTACCCGCCCCTCCTGCTCTGCCACTGTACCCTGGTACTCCGTCCTATTAACAATAGCTTTTTAAATAAATAAATAAAGTTTTATTGAAGCATAATGACCATTACCGACAACGTAAAAGTACAATAGCAGAGTATGACACCATAACATACCGTATGTAAAAATAGAGGTCGGGAGTAGTAACACACTAATATAAGCCAAGACATCCATTTTTCCTGAGCTGGTGTAGATGGTGCACGTTGGCCATCCATGTCCAAAGCATAAGAAATAAAACCCTGTCAGAGGACGTAGAAGCATTCTGGGTTTCCAATCCCTCTGGAGACCTGCAATTGGTGAATTATTTTTTTCCACAATAGCCAAAGTCCATAAGTTCTTATGCCACAAAGAGAAATGTAGTTTCCCCCCCTCCAAAGTTTTCCGTTGCTGGCCTGTTGAAATCCCAGCAGCAGCTAGCATGGATGTCAAAGGTTCTTTAGAGTGCCAAGCTTTTGTGATATCAGTCTGCATTTTCAGTAATGACAGTTGTGGAGAAACCTGAACAGGTAGAATCATAGAATCATAGAGTTGGACGGGGCCTTGAGGATCATCTAGTCCAAGCCCCTGCAATGTGGGGATCGAACCTGCAGCCTTGGAGTTGTCAGCACCATGCTTCTAACCTGCTAATAAGCTATCCAGAAAGTTAACGATTTTAGATATTTCTTGTTAAACTTGGGACCAGAATAATGAGAAATTCCTACCAAAGATGGGGGACTGTCCTTTAACAATAATATTCTGTATACTTTCATACTTTATATGTTAAATTTGAGTCATTGTACATCTTAAAACAACAGCACGTATGTACGGCCTAAATAGGGTTTGATCAATACAGTACTGGGTTTGTTTTTGTGGAGGATATATTTGGTTTTTTTACGAAGTAGAAGGATTAAGCGGCTACAACATGGCTCCTGATCACTCGGATCCACATGTTGCATTGAGTCTGATCTATACAGTATGTGGAACACAAAATGACTTGGTAGAATCCTTAACCCACCAGTTTCCAAAAGAAGGACAGAAACTTTCAGAAGCAGGAAGAGAGAGCGCCGGCCACCGAGTCCCTTATGCAGGAGAGAGACCCCATCAGCCACAAGAGGGCCTGCTTAGCTGCCGAAGGAGAAAGGGGAGGTCTTTCTCTCTTTATTCTTTTCTCTAGCCAGGATGTGGAATTGAGCTTCCTGGATTTTGCAGCTTGCAGCTGCTTCCCCTAAGACCCCCCCCCTCTCATCCCAGCTCCCTGCAAGGGGGCGAGGATTTCTCTGTAATCGGCCTTCACCATTCTCAGGCAGGCCGCACGTTGCAGTCCCTGGCTAGGTGCAGGTAAATGATCGGGGGTAGGGGGTGGGGTGCAAAAGATCAACCCGGCCTTTTCGATCTCCTCTGCCCCCACCCTCCCGTCGCCGCCTTTGCAAGGTCCGATTCACAAGGAGGAAACAATGGAGGCTGTGCAGGACATAGATGGACCCCGAGGTGGAGGGTGCGGGGTGGTAACAGCATTTCGATGCAGCCGTTTCCCCCTTTGCTGCCAGGACTTAAGACATTGCACGAAGATCCTGGACTTAGAAGGGCGGGGGGCGATGTTTCATGCAATGTGGGAAAGAGAGTCAGCTTGAAGGGTGGCAAGGACGGCCCAGTTCATTGCGATTGCCTTTTGTAACCTTTGCACCCATTTGCCCATGTCCCCCTTACTCAATTTTCAAAAGATGCTACCTCCCAACAAAGTACGTCCCTCCCCATAATTTATGGCTTCTTTCCCTCTCTCCGGCTCCCACCGCGCCCCCAGGAATTGCCCCGATTCCTCTGTAACACCCCCACAGCTTTTTGCATGGACTTCTTCTCATAAGTGAGGTAGCTTTGTTTCCACGCTGCATTTTTAAAATTATTTTTAAAGAATCCGTAGAGAGTTAGAAGACATTTAACACTAGCTTGGGCCCTTTGGGATAACGCTCCATGCAGTCGAGGAAGTGGTTTATAATCCACGAAAGCTTGTGTTACCGTAATATAATTGTTTTGCCTTTAGGATGCAACAAGATTTATATTTGCCACAACAAACTCCGCTGCCCCTCTGGCATTTGCTCATATTTTGTCCTTTGTACGTGCATGTGTTTTTTCACCACCAGACAAGCCAACTGGACTGGAGGGGATTTTGAACCATGATCTAAAATATAACTAAACAAACAGTTTTGGGGACACAAAGTACTAACAGTACAGAGAAATGAAGAGCTGTTTTGCACATTACACAGAAATCCAGGTTTCCAAACCCCCCCCCCCATAGGGAGCTGTGGCCAGTCCAAGCTTTTCAACAACAAGGTGTGTGATTTGTGTGTTTTTAAACAGTTGTTCATCACATTCACACTTTCGATTTTTAGATGTATACTTGAGGGTGTGTTTTTTAAGGTATATACCTAAAAACCACAGGGTTGTATCCTGTTTTAGTCATACTCAGAGCAGACCCATAAAAATTAATTGACATGATTTAGTACATTAATTATGGAATTATGTAAACAAAACATGGTTGGATATACTGTAATGTCCAAAGTGGCCCAGGTTTCTTTACAGGCATTTTTTTTTTACAAATGTAAACAACGGAGAACAAGTCTTAGGTAACTAACTTATTCCCTGTAATTACTTTGTGTCTTATTGCAACGTTCCGTTGGTCTGATTTTCCAAGGACTAATAATCTGTAGCGATATATGGACATGTTCATGGTTCAGTTACCTTACAGTCTGGTGGAGCCAGAGACAGCACAGACTTTTGTAGTGTTTGACTGCTGTACAGTGAGATAGTGCACTGGGTATATAACAAAGAGCATCTAACCACATGTAGGTGTGTCAAATGTGTAATCCCATCACAAAGTGTAACATGCTCTTCCCATTCCTTCCTCAAGGATGCCACAATACAAGTTGTGTAATAATAGCTTGTTGATTAGTTGGTTCAGTTCCATTCCCCTTTTTAAATCTCTTGGTGTATTGTATGGTGTACACATCTCAGTAAAAGTCACTGGTTTCCTATGCTGAGCAGTCATTTATTTAAATTTATATCTCTACCCTTGTCCACCAGCTCAGTGGATCCCCTTAAACAAGCCGTTACCTCTCAGCCTCAGGCTTTCCCCCAGCCCATCTGCAACATGGGGATAACGAAGCTGATCTTATATTACCGGATTGTTATGTGGATTACCAAGAGGTTAATGAAGTGCTCTGAAAACTCTTCAGGAGCCATTTAAATGGTATAGTGATTATAAAAAGAAAAACCTAAAAGCCACAGAGTAGCTTAGAAACGCTGTGCAAATATGCTCTGCCAGTCCAACAAAATTAAAAATATAATTGTTCAAAAGAATAAACAGGCCTTAAACCTGGGGACAGAAATAAGACATGACTGAATCCAGTGTTAGTCATACTTAGAATAGATTGCTAAGTGGTGCCCATTCATTTCAGCGGGTCTGCTCTTGAGTTTGACTAACATTGGAGTTGCTTCTTGGTAGGCCTCCCTGGGAATGCTGTTCCATAATTAAGACTCATCTCTTGAGAAAGCTTGGCACCAAGCAGCCATAGAATTCACCTCCCTAGGGGAAAGCACCCACAATAGGGCCCTTCCAGCATATCCCAGAAAATGTACAGAAGGATGCAATCCCAAAGTTTTGCAAGGCCCAAGCCACTTCATCAGACCCGTCCCCATCTCAATACGACAGAGTTTGCCCCTCTCACAACATCATTTTCTCTTTCTGCCCCACCTGCCTCCTCCAATCTCACACCCTTGCTACATGGATATGATTATTAAGAACACTGGGTTGCCGTAGAAAGGTTTCTAAAACGTGATGTGGCACAAACTCCTTCAGTTCTTTTTTTTTTATTTAGGTGCTTGTCAGGAGCCTCCTTTGCCAAGAGAAAGAAGAAGGACTCCAGGCATTTCTGGCGAGAGAGTACCCGTGTGTGCCGAGATGCAGGAGAGCTATGAAACAGTGATCTCGCTGGGTAAGGGATCCCACTGCTTAAAATGTCTGTGCCGCCGGACTTGAACTCGAACCTTATCTACCCAGAACTAAAAATAGCTCTGTGGCATCTCAAGTCATCACATGGAAATTGTGTCATGATGCCAGTTTGCCTCAATCACTGACTTTACCTCCAATGGCGCTCTCTTCCCTTGTCTCCCAAGACAGATGAACGCCAACAAAATAGTGGGGACCACACATTGGTTTATATACATTTTTTTTGCGGTGGGAAAGAGCTGCTGATTTTTAAGGCCATATAGAAGTCACTACCTTCTCCCCTATATAGGAGGGTTTCCCAAACTTGAGTCTCTAGCTGTTTTTGGACTACAACTCCCATCATCCCTAGCTAGCAGGACCAGTGGTCAGGGATGATAGGAATTGTAGTTTCAAAATAGCCGGAGACCCAAGTTTGGGAAACCCTGCTATATAGCATCCAAAGGCCACTGCCTAACCAAACATTTTATCCTCCAGAAATATCTTGTTTGGTTTATCAACCTGTTTTCTGCTCTTCTCCTCTTAGCGGAAGAAATTGCCATTAGCTGGCCCCGGATAACTGCCTTCACAGAGACCCGAGGGCGCCGAGGCTTGGCTCCTGGTAAGTCCTTTATTCGATAGGATTTTAAGAAATTGTGTGCTACAAATCCTTCCTCTGTTCAACTACCTAAAAGAGTGGAACTCATTTCTTCCTTGTGAGCTGTAAGCCTTCCCTTCTCAAACTGCACTGAAAGGGAAGCTAGAATTTGCTCCCACATTGCAGGGCAGCAGGAACTTTTGGCCACAAACTTCTGAGGGCCACATGCCAGTAGTGGGTGGGGCCAGGCAGAAGCAGACAGAGCGATGGATATGACTCTTACCCTTGCGTACAGCGGGTGATGCAGAAATCAGGAGTTTATACACGCACACCCCACACCCACCTCTCCATCCAGGCAAACAAGAGGTCAAGGGCACATTCCAGCCAGGCAAAAGCATTCAAAGAGGACATGAAAGAGGGCCGGTGTGGTGTGCAGCCTTGGAAGAGGTAGTATGGCCTGAGGAAATTCCTGAAGGCCCAAAGTGTTCTCCACCTGGTGGAGAACACTTTGGGCCCTGGTGTTCTCCACCTGTGGCCCTGGTGTTCTCCACCTGTGTTTTGCTGTATGAGTTTCTTCCAACTGTGGTCCTAAATATTTCAGTTTGTTAATAGTTGTAGACAGTGTTTGAAATTAGCCAGGCACCAGGTGCTTTTGGACCTGACTAGTGGCCACTAGCAGCCAAGTGAAGATGCCTAGGAGCCAGGATGGTGCCTGACATCTCCACCATCTGGAGGTGCATGCCTGGGGATCATTGGATCTGGACTGTTTTCACATACTAGTACCCCATCCTGTTATATTTTACCTGCACAGTCAGAATGAATTTTAGGAACCAAAATGCTTTTTCTGCGCCGCCTGAGAAGGAGCAGTGACCAACATTACAGTTAACTGCTTTAGCTTATCTTCACTTTCCCAACTCCCACCGCCCTGCTCACAGTTGTGAAGAATATTCTTATGTTATGAATGGTCCATGTCACCATTAAGAAAAAGAGGTAGGGACAGGAATGTATGTGGACTAGTCTTCTTTTAAGTTCTCAGAGTTCTTAATCTAGCTCAAGGTTGTCATCTGAACTAGCCAGATGTTTAACTGATAATCACAGTCAGTCAGTCCTTTGGAAAAATAAGACTTTAGAGCCGTCTTGCCCCAAAATGGCAACTAGACATTCCATTTTGGCGACTGTAACCTTGGTTTATTTGAGTTTCTAACACTGGCTGCAGAAAGGATGGAACCTCATTTGCAAACTGTCAGGTACTCTGACTCAGGTGGTGACAAGCGCTCACAGCAAAGTCGGCTACAGTGGTATCTCAGGTTAAGTACTTAATTCGTTCCGGAGGTCCGTTCTTAACCTGAAATTGTTCTTAACCTGAAGCACCACTATAGCTAATGGGGCCTCCTGCCGCCTCTGCGCTGCCGGAGCACGATTTCTGTTCTCATCCTGAAACAAAGTTCTTAACCCGAGGTACTATTTCTGGGTTAGCGGAGCCTGTAACCTGAAGTGTATGTAACCTGAAGCATATGTAACCTCCCCACCCCAAGCGAGAGCAGAGAAATTCACCTAGAGCAGAGCCTCTGAGCTGCTTGGCTAAACCGTCAAATTCTCCCTTTACCATCCTCACTCTCCTGATTGGCTGTGTCTCCTCCCTGCCATGAACAGCTCTGGGTCTCCAGGATGACGACCCAACGGCCTGTCCCATTGCAGCAACCCTGGAGCAGACAAAGACAGCCGTCTTGTCTTAACTCGCGCCATTTGTCCCAAGGGCACAATCCTCCTCCAGCGTTTCGCAGGCCTTGCCCCCGTGTAAATTAGCTCACGCCTAGAATAGGCAACGGGGCTCCTAGGGCCCTCCATTCACAGCGGAGTCTGGCATTCCTTTCACTTTGTTTCTCTCCCTCTTCCCAGGGCTAGAAATGGAACCTGAGCAAGGGCAACTGGCACCTTTGCAGGGGCAGGCGGCAGCAGCGGCGGCAGCAGCAGCTACAGTCGGCTCGAGTGAAGAAGGGATCCTGCCGGACTTCCGGAGGCAGCTCGGGGTGATCCTGCAGACTGTTGGCAAGGCACAAGTGGAGAAGATGCTGAGGGAGCTGGTGAAGGAGCAGGAGCAGCAGGGGAGAGTCAGGCGGCGCAAGAGGGTGACCCGGAGCCCCCGCCTTGGAGGTAAGGGCATCAGCTGGGGCAAGTGGAACGCTGAGGCCTGGCCACCTTGCTTTGGGCAGCTGAAAAGGGGTGTGGCAGGCAGGATCGAGTTTTGCAGCAATCAGACACTACCATTTAATTCTTAACTGTTTTTAAGATCTGTGGCCAAGTATTTGCCTGCTTTTATTTCAAACCACGATGTGATATTGCTCGAAACCCTCTGCCATCGTGTGCAGTGTGAGCTTTTTCTGGCTTAGCCTTTCCCCTTGGACACCCATCCTTCTGCTCCCTGCCACTTAAACCCTTCTTTTCTGCATAGCACCTCTGCCCTCAAATAAAACTTAGTCATACCTTGGAAGTCGAATGGCATCCATTCCAGAAAGTCCGTTCGACTTCCAAAATGTTTGGAAACCAAAGTGCAGCTTCTGATTGGCTGCAGGAAGCCCCTGTAAGCAATCGGAAGCCTCGGAAGCCCCATCAGATGTTCAGCTTCCAAAAATCATTTGCAAACCGGAGCAGTCACTTCTGGGTTTGTGGCATTCGGGAGCCAGAACATTCGAGAACTAAGCTGTTTGAAAACCAAGGTACGGCTGTAGTGGAAAACTTCCAGATATATTCAGATTCACCAAATTTACTGCAAATGTGTTGACTTTTAACCTACCTTGGGGTCAAATTTTGGTTTGGTTTTTGTTTTTAAGCAAACAAACAGAAACCCAACAATAATTCAGAACAAAAATATCACTAATCCCTGTCTTCTCCTGCAGTGTGGGGAGGAGGAGGAAAAATGCCTTTATTGATAGTGCTTTAGGCCCTGAGGGGTATGGACACCCATGCGAAAGTAGCAGTTAATGTTAAATGCAGTATAAAGGCCTGGTTTTAACCTATGGGGCCTAAATGATGTGAGCCCAATGTACCAACTGCCTCCACACATTCCTAAAGAGCTGTCTTATACCAAGCCAAACCATTTAACCCACATCTCTGCTAGGATGGGGAACCTCAGGCCATGGGAACAAATGCAGCCCTACAGACCTATCTGGCCCAAAGGACTCTCCTCAGACCCCACCCCTCCTCCCCCTGGGATCCCCACACATGTCACCAGCCCTGCTTTTCACCCTCCGTGAGAGTGTTTGCCTGGCTAGAAAGTATCCTTGAACTCTAATAGTGAAGGATAGAGCAGGGTGTGATGTGTGTGGAAAGAAGGCTGTTATTACTATAATTTATACCTGCCTTTCACCCTAAGGTCCCAGGGCAGCTTACCTTCACAGAAATAATGTAGGTCTAAAAACAGGCATCTCAAGTGTCAAAAGCCAGGGTAAAGAGGTACTTACTTGCTGTACAAAGGTAAAATCAGTGTTTGTTGCTCTGCCTCGTTTTTCTCTGGCCCAGACAACCACTGTCAGCTGGCCCCTGTAGGCTTCCCTAGAAGGGAAAATGGCCCTCAGGGTGCAAAGGGTTCCCTACCCCTGGTCCAGCCTGTCTTTTGTTTTCAAAAAGGTTTTCAGGGTCTCTGCTGGACATCTTTATTACCTGAGATGTTTTGATGGAGGGCTTAGAAATTGAACGTGGGCCCTTTTACATGCAAAGCATTCACACTGCTGCAGAGCCTCTCTTGCGATCTGACCACGAGCCCCTTCTCAGGAATATGGAAGAGTGAGTCCAGCTCCCCCTTGTAGACATTATTGCGTTCTCCCCCTGCCCCAAGGTGCAGAAATTTATCCACCTTTGTGTCTCAGCAGGTGGTGAAGCAGGTGGGCAGAACAACTCAGAGGCCTCACATGCTGGAACATTGGAAGCACCCACCATCCTGTCTAGAAAGCCAGTTGCGAATGAGCTGCAGGTGCCCCTCTTGTGCCCAGGGCTGGTGGCAGGCCAAAAACAACCCATTTCAGGGAAGATTTTTCATGGGGACGCCAGAGGGTGTAAGAACAGCCTTGTCCACCAGCAGAGCCCTCTGGGAACGAGATGGGGGGCAGGCCTTGAGCCCCGGGAGAGCGTTGGCTGCAGCCCGCTCCACAGCATGAGCCGGGACTCCCAGGATGCCGCGAGACTCTGGCCGCCTTTTGGCGAAAGAGCCCAGTTCTTCTCAGCATGGCAGAAACCACGCTTCACCCAGAGACGCCGACGCCCGCCTGCAGGAGAGAAACCCCACCGCTGCGGGCCATGCAGGAGGACCATTGTCGTCCCGCCACAGAGATCCAGCTCACCTCCAAATTCCGACTTGGCTCCTATCCTGGATTCTGCCTCCGCCTCTTCTCTTGCCTTGCCTCTGAACTCTGTAGGGGCAGCAACTACCCAGCTGCCAGGCGGGAACTCTGTTTCAGCCCAGCCCCGGAAACCCCACGGCTGCGAGGAGTGTGGCAAGCGGTTCCGAATCCTCGCCAACTTAGAGCGGCACCAGCAGCGCCACGCAGTGGAAAAGCCTCACCAGTGCCGTGACTGCGGGCGCCGTTTCCGCTGGGGCTGCCACCTGGAGCGCCACCGGCGGTCGCGCCGCTGCGTGGAGTGTGGTGGGGGGTTGGCCACGCCACCTCCACCCCCTTCCCCGCCCCCAGAACCCGACCGGCCCTATTCCTGTGGTGAATGTGGGAGGCGGTTCACCCAGCGCTCGGCGCTCAGCAAGCACCGGCGGCTGCACTCGGGGGAGCGGCCTTATGGCTGCGGAGAGTGCGGCAAGCGCTTCCTGCAGCGCTCCGACCTCACCATCCACGTGCGCTCGCATTCCGGGGAGCAGCCCTACGTCTGCACGGAGTGTGGCCGCCGCTTCAGCGTCAGCTCGAACCTCAGCAAGCACAGGCGCATGCACCGCGGGGAGCGCCCCCACGCCTGCTCAGTCTGCGCCAAGCGCTTCCTGCAGCGCTCCGAGCTCCTCATCCACCAGCGTGCTCACACCGGGGAGCGCCCCTACCCCTGCACAGCCTGCGGGAAGCGCTTTGCTCGCCGGGCGCACCTCAAACGCCACCAGCGCACCCACGGCAGCGTGCCTGCCGCAACCACTGCCTCTCGTCACCAGAGTGCCCGTCTGCTGGCCCCCTCCGCAGCAGATACCACACCCCTTCTTGAACACGAAGGGGCGCCCGATGCCCTGGAGTCACGCCCCTGCTCCAACGCACATGTTGCGGGCCCACGCCCACCAGCATCCGAGCCTGTCTTTTCAGCAGGCCGAAGTCCTGTGGGTGCTGCTTCGCTGGGCCTTCCCTGGGCCGTGACCTCCTCCGCCCGCCTCCCCTTCTGTTCCAGTTCTCTTTGATTTTGCTGTAGCTTTCCTGTATCCCTGCCCTTTGTCACTCCCTCGCGACCAGCAGGCTCCTCGGTTGAACCTCAGAGGCCCAGCTCTGGGTAGATGCAGTAGGGGCAGACCAGTTTCCAAAGGAGCAGGGGAGGCAGCAGGCAGTAGCTCGTATTTTTGGACCCAACCCTTGTTTGCTGGGAAGCCTGGTGGTTTTCTTTTGCTTTCCCCCCCTCCTTGGAGCCTGCTAGGCTCTGCGTAGGGCCCCGATTCTGTGGGTGAGATGGAGGGAGTAAGGTGGGCATGCCAAGGGTGAGATGTCAGCTATGTTCCCTGGACTTTTGACTGGGCTCTTTAGCACCAATCAGTGTGACCCTGTTGGGCACATTATTTAAAGTCTGCGGGAGAGGGGTTAGGTAGGCTACCTTTGTGGATTTGGGGAGGGAAGCACCCCGGGTTGATCGCAGCTAACCATTGCAAGCCATCATTGTTGCTTGCGAGACACAGTAGGATCACCGGCATGCACTTCTGAGACAAACACGCTCGGATACTTGCTCTCCTGACATCGTCCAAGCACATGTTCACCTATCCTCCCCACCCCACCCCCACCCCACCCCTATAATTTTGTAAATGTCATTAGGGCTCCTCCTGACACTCTAACCCTGGGTCTTCTTGGCTGACTGTCTCTCCTTGACCAGACTGCCTTTGTTTCCTTTTGCGGGAAGAAAAGCTCAGCAAGGCTTCTCCCAAGTGCTTGGCCCCACTTCCTGAGACGAGATGGCACTCTTGGCCATGCTGTTGAGTCCCTCTCACAGAAAAAAAACGCTGACTGTGGCATAATCTGGGAAGTGGGTTGTGTGTGCAGCTTGTGGGACCCAACACAGCTCGTGCTGCTCTCTTCTGCCTGTAAAGAAGTTTCATGGCAAGGCCCAAGCCCTGGAAGATCTGGGACCACAGTGTAAGAAACAAGCCAAAAAGCAAGGAGGATGTTCACTGATTCTTCAGAGCAGTACAGAAGCAGAGAAATGGTCCATTCAGTTGTGTCAGGATTTGAACTCGGTTGCTGCTTGTTGAATATGGGACAAAACGGCTGGTGCCTTCAAAAGGGGCTATAGTGCTTCCTTCACCATTAGCTCCCGAGAAAGCAGGCTGACGGAGGAGGAGAAGCAGGAGGGATCTGCTTTGATCAGAATCGTGGACTAGAACAATGGCGGAGTTAGGGGTGGGTGGGGAGTCTGGTTTTTACAGCCTCATATGTTTTCCAGCTCTAGTGAGAATGGTAAAGTTGCTGCTGAGTTGGGCTCAACCGCACGTGGCCTGTACCACTCTCTAGGACTGTTTCCAGCTCTATGGTAGTTTACCAGACCAGTGTTAATTCTCCAGTTGCTTGTACATTCCTGGTACCTTTTGGACTGGTGTTTCATGGCTAGGGGTGGGATCAGAGGGCTCTAGAGTAGGGAGGGGGTTAATAATAACTGATTTAGGACTAATACAGTAGAACTTTGTTTTATCAAATCTTAGCATGGAGTGTCTTTAACCAACACAGAAAACCGATGAATCCAAAACTGTAGATGTAAATGAATCCAATAGAATATTTTGCAACTCCCTTCCCCCAAAGAAGATATTTTGCACCTCTCAAGACTTAAATGTGAATTTTGTACAAGTATTTCGGGTTTGGTGAGGACAGATCCTCAGAACCCGGGTTTTGCTAGGTTCAAGGTCATTTGCCTCCATTTGACAAGTGTCTGGATGTGGGAAAATGTGTCACTTTTTGAATTTGTACAGTTTTTTTTTTTTTTGAGGGAGGGGGGTCAAAGTTGTCATTACAGTTGCAACTGTAATGCACATCTTCTGCCACTTTCTGACCTATGTGCGTTTTAAAAACATGAATAGGGAAACAAGTGGTCCTAAGCACAGCTGCAGGAATGGCATTGCTAGCTTGATAAAAAGTGAAAATTTGGGTTCTGTTCACGTACCTTGGATTCCATTGTTTTGGAAGAGTTTAAAAGGTTAGGCTGCAAACCTTAACCCCACTTATCAGGGAGTAATCCCCAATGGATCCAAATAGGGGTTTCTAAGTAGGTCTGCACCAATTAGCTAAAGCCATTCTGATTGGCTCAATTCTCTCTCCTGTCCTTTAACTGATCTAGAAAAGTAGGGAAATGGAAATGTTGTGACAGAGCATTGACAGACATGTTTGTGTTTTAGTGTGAACTGTCAGAGCAAAAAAGTGGTGCTCATCAGCTAGGCTTTGCAGGGTTCTTGGGGAGAGAAAAGTATTCATTTTAGCTATGGAGAGGGAGAAGACCTCGAACAGTTGGAACTCTGTGTGTGTACAGGAACTATGATTCTTTTTAAGATACTGGGTGTGGGTCATTCTTCACGGCCCTCCTTAACATATTCACACAAGGCTTTGCTGCTGCAAGGCGGTTAGCCCATAGGTAATGCCAAAGGAGTTTTACATTCAGTTGGGATAGTACTTGAATGGTTTGATAAAGTAATAGAAACATTCCAGGTCCAAACAACTTGTGGCTACCAAGCTGAACATAGCTCATTAGTGACATGGTGAAAGAACCTGAAGGGGGGGGGAGGAGGAGAAACCCAAGGTCCTACCTGGGTCCATTGATTTCAGTGCGACTAAAATATGACTTAAGTTAGGATCCAAACTGGTTTTGCAATCACAGGCACCAAAAACAGTTTAGTGATTTGCTGGTAGGTTGTGATTTAGGCTTGGTGAGTCGTACGTTACGCAGGCCTGTTTTAAACTTAATAGAGTTGGGTATTCTTGCTAGCCACCTAGAAGAGTCTAGATAGGTAATGGACCATTGATGCAGGGATTCAGTATCAATTCCTGATAGCACCAAGGCTTCATTTGCACATGCTCCTCCCTTCCAAGTTACTAACAAATAACTAGGCCATTTCTAAAGGATGATTTGGGCACTTCACTGGTATGGGTACTTAGCACAGTCACCAAGATAAACCACATCCCACAAAAGGCATGAGTAGATCTAGGGTTTGACCAGTGAGCCTCAGCTGAAATGCTCATGATGAATCCATTGTCTCTCCGATGTGGAACTTGGCATGAGACCATATGCTGTGTTCAAAATAAGATTCCTACATCAAGTAAACCCAAATATTGCAACAACCTGAATTCTCAGACGCTGTGACCTGTGTGAGCTATACAAATTGGCTTATATTTCGTTAATCATGGGAAAGGCGTACAAAGCATTTCCTCCTCAGCACAGGGATCCTTCTCAGTCTCCCTGGCTTCTGAGATCTCACCTGGTTCGTATATCATGCTCATTTATTTTCAGATCTATCTTGACATGTATAAGGACTAGATGCTTGTTTTTAAAACTCAGAACTAACAAAAAGCTGAGATTTTCAGGCTGCTGGATTTTGTGTCCAGTGTTGTTTCATATACACATGTGTGTGGTGCTTCTTACAGAATATGCAGAGGCCTTGCTTGCTTCCCTTGGGTGGGAGAAAGGGCCTGACTCAGAGCAATTCTCCAACATATAATTCTTAAAAATAGAAAAGTGCAAGCAGGGACTGGGATGATGGTGGTCTTTATTCAGAGATATCAAAACAAACGCATGAATACCCTCATTCCACTTTGGGGCTCAAGGGGGCTTCCCATGGGCATAAGTTTGGTGCAAACCGAAACAACTATTCAGCGGACTATGGAAATACTGGGTTGGTTGCCTTGCTGAGGTCAGAGGATTTACAAGGCATCAGCTCCTGTTTTGGCGGCTGCTGCAGCAGCTGGAATGAGGAAGAACACTGGAATGGCACTGTTGGCTCCCGCTCAGCATTCTCACAAATGGTTAAAAGAGATGTCCGAAGGAAGGTGACAAGCAGGTGTGATGGGGATGTCCACCTGCTCTTTTCAATCCCCAGGATCAGGTAGTCGGCAGCCCTGAATTCAGAGTTTGTGCTTTTGGCTCTTTTTTGGCTATTAGCCACATATGTATCCTTCCTGAACCATTCAGATCCTGTAAAATATGTCAATGGCCAACTCGGCATCTTGTAGCTAGGGAGTTCCCAAAAAGAACCTCTTCCTTTGGTTTTGCTTATCTATCAACTCCAGTGGAGGGTTTTGTTTGTTTTTTAGTTGGAAAGTGAACCACCCACCCCTCTGCTCTTTCCACAACACTTGTGTGATTTCGTAACCCTTTCCCCAATCTGTTAGCGAATTGACCAAAGGGCTCCAGACGGCATGGGAAAGTGAAGTAAGCCACACCTTCGAAGAACGGGATGTTGGGGCTGTTGCCGCCGACTTCCTGTCGCTTCAGAGCCACCAGAACCTCCCGAGACTTGCAATTCTAGCCATGTAGAATATGAGGCTTCAGCCAACAGAATGCAGGCGACAATCTCTGGGGACTTCTGAGCCAGAACTCCGGAGGGGGAGGCAACAAAAATCCTGTCTCTTGCAGTTGGCAAGTCATGTCCTGTCCTGTCCCACAACTTCAGCAAAAGGTATTGGCCCCACGGTTCAGAGCAGCAGCCTCAGAGAGCCGTCGACTGCTTGATGCTATGGAAGCTGACGCGCGTTGGGGAGGTGGGGATGGACATGGCCCTGGCGACTCTGGCTCGGATGGAGTGCTTGTCCTGCCACCGGTGCCATCTCTTCCGGACTGCAGAGCGAACCTGGGGGACACACCACAAATACCCATAAATGTACTGTAAATAAAGGGGTCATCTGCCAATTAAAAAGGGGTGACAGATTTAATGGAGAACAAGGCTTGTGAAGGGATGGGGGACAGACCACCAGCAGCCTTTCAGGTGCTGCTGGACTACAACTCCCATCGTCCCTGTCCATTTGGCTGTGGCTGATGGGAGTTGGAGTTCCAAGTACATCTACAGGAAAGCTTCAGCAGGTGGAAGAACTTTGGGGTTTTGTTCCCGGCGGTAGAAGGGGCTGTACACACTGAAAATATCCTTTCCCAAAGTTATTCACAGCATAGGGGTGCTTCTGTGAATCTGTAGGACTAGCAGCCTTCTTGCACTTTATATTAGTAGGCTAAGGTAAAGGTAAAGGGACCCCTGACCATTAGCTCCAGTCGTGGCCGACTCAGGGGTTGCGGCGCTCATCTCGCTTTATTGGCTGAGGGAGCTTCCAGGTCATGTGGCCAGCATGACTAAGCCGCTTCTGGCGAACCAGAGCAGTGCACGGAAACGCCATTTACCTTCCCGCTGGAGGAATAGGAGATACCTATTTATCTACTTGCACTTTGACGTGCTTTCGAACTGCTAGGTTGGCAGGAGCAGGGACCGAGCAACGGGAGCTCACCCCGTTGCGGGGATTCGAACTGCCGACCTTCTGATTGGCGAGTCCTAGGCTCTGTGGTTTAACCCACAGCGCCACCCATGTCCCTATATTAGTAGGCTACTGGTGAGTTAATCAGGACTAATGGCCACCTCTGATTCCATAGGGTCGCCAAGGATGAATATGTAAAAAAAAAATTCCTTTAAAAATGTGAGTGTCACCATGCAGTGTAAAATCTCAACTTTCCTGGAGCTATTCCACCTGAGTCCTACAGACAGCGAGAGAGGGGGCAACATAAAATTCTTCAATTTGAAATGGATTGATCATAGAAAAATTGCTCAAAGGGAGAGACATCGTAGCATGGTCATTTTCCTGAGCTTTCCCCTGTAGGGATGTTTTGACATAAAGGCAGTTTGTACTGCTTCATCCTGTTCTCCTAAGCATGACGTTTCATCCTCTGCTTTGGGTTGATTTGTCTCTGCCCATAGTAATTGATCTTGCCCCTGGGCCAACCCCTTGATCTGGCGATTCATCTGTTTTTCAAAAGGCTGTATGATAGATTGGGCAGCATGCAAGTTGAGACCCAGCAAGCCTCCCCCATCTCTGCCCACTCATTCCCCAACCTTGGCTCACCTCACTGTTCAGGAAGCAGTAGAAGACAGAGACAAAAAAGCCCTGATTAGAGAAGAAAGAATAGCATAGTCAAGCTTTGGGAAAGAGAGAAATAACTGCAGCCTTTTGCACCGTGTTTCCTGTGGGCGCTTCCTATGGGGCTATTTCCCATTTTTAAATGGCAAGTGCCAGGGCTCAATACTTTGATCTGTGAACCTTGCCTTATAATCCAAGATGTTTGGGAGATGGGCTGGGAGTGGGGTGGGGAGAGAGAATAGACACAGAGTGGGGAATGAGATGCAATCTTCACATAATGAATTCTTTGCATGCTCAACAGCACAATCTCATCACTTTGCAAATACAATGCTGAGATCTGGATCATGCAAGCAGGTTTCCTAGAGCCCTGGGAAGAGGAGGAGGAACATGATGAGGTTAGTAAATAGTCCCTGGAGCTGGGCGTGCAGTGATTCTACCAGAGCCAAAACAAAACAAATTCCCAAATCAGATTTAAGTATTTTTTTGTTTTTGCTATAAATTTTCCATATGAAAGTCAATCCTTGGGAGATAAGCCTTGCAAGCGAATTTTAAGGAAGTTTCATGCTGCTGATTTTGATCTCTCAGTTTGGTTCCTCCCCTTTCTAAAACCCATATATGTCCAACAGAAGCCCTAGTTTGGAATCGCCAGCGGGTGGCGATAATGCGATTTAAAACAACATCTAAAATAAGTACATAAATACACTGAAGTTATTGCAAGCAATTTTGAGTTATAAGATTCTGTATGGATTTCACACCCCTTAACCCTAAATGCATTTGGGCTCTAGTTTCCACAAGGTTTTCCGTACCTGGAAGGACTCCAAGACAGAGTTGAAGTAGATGAAGACTACCCGGGATATTTCATCTTCACCGGGGTTGACGAAGAAAAGCATGTAGGTAATGCCCAGCAAAGGAAGGAGCACAAGGGTAGCCTTCACAGCTTTTCTGAAGGAAGAGCACAGGACTTAAAATCCAAATCAATTCCAAACCGGCACCCCAGTGTCCCCTCGCCAAAGGTTAGGGTTGGATCTACACATGTAGCAGAATGAAGTGGGAATGAGGTGGTAGAGTCCAAAGGATGGACTGAGGCGAGGATCACAATATATATATATTCCAAAACCACTTTCTGCAAATGGGAAGCTATAGCAGCAAATAGAAGGATAGCTAGAACTTCTCCTAGTGTGCTTAGACTTCCACTTGCAGGGAACCTTCCACAAAGAACAACACTTGAAAATGAAGAAGAAGAGTTTGGATTTGATATCCCGCTTTATCACTACCCTAAGGAGTCTCAAAGCGGCTAACATTCTCCTTTCCCTTCCTCCCCCACAACAAACACTCTGTGAGGTGAGTGAGGCTGAGAGACTTCAGAGAAGTATGACTGGCCCAAGGTCACCCAGCAGCTGCATGTGGAGGAGCGGGGAATCGAACCCGGTTCACCAGATTACGAGTGTACCGCTCTTAACCACTACACCACACTGGCTCTCAGTATGATATATCCCAGGCAGCAGTCTAGCAGCTGCATTCTGGATTAGTTGTAGTTTCCGAGTCACCTTCAATGGCAGCCCCGCGTAGAGCGCATTGCAGTAGTCCAAGCGGGAGAGGGTTGGTCCCGGTTCAGAGCAGATTCTAGAATTGACCTCTGGCTCAGAGTAAGCCCTGAGCCTTACTTCCTGCATCTGGGTTACCAGACTCGTGCCTTTTAAAAGTTAAAAGGGCTGGCGAGCAGGGCTTTCTGTAGCTAGGGAGGGCAAGTGGGCCTTCTCTTCAGTACTCTTAACGGTGAACAGAATCAATTAATTCTGCAAAGCGATAATAGAAACCTGATCAATTTGCACAATATATTTGAGTCAAGGAGTCAGAATAGTGGTTTAGCATAGCCCCTATCATAAACTCTAGCCACCCATTCCCCACCTGTGCTCTTGCACTGATACCTGTACTGTATTGTCTCTGAGGTGGTCGAGGCCCGAAGCTTCGTCATCAGGATTCTGACAATGTTGAATAAAAAGATAAAGTTGATCTGGAATAGACACAGAAACGAGATTAACTGGTGGAGTAAGTGTATAAAGAATTGCCTCCACCACCAATGCAAAATGACATTTTGTCAACCCCCCCCCAATCAGGGTGGTGCACACCTGTTCTCTAGGGCAAGTTTTCAAAATCAGTCCGTGCTTGAGAACCACCTGAATGGATCTCAACCAAAGTAACATTTCCAGTCCGGTTTACTCTCTCTTCCACTAGGGGGAGCTACTCTCTAAGGTATTGCAAAAACAAATGGCCATTATTTCATCTGACAGAACAATATTAATCTGAAATCTAATCTTGCTTTAAAAGTCTTCAGAGCTTAGCTGGACTTCGGAGTCAGTGCTTTTTAGGAGTGGAAATAAGGAGTTTGGGGCGGGGGGATAGTGACAACCACATTCTGGATGTGATGCAAAATAAACCCTCTCAGATAATTGACCTGTCTCCCCAAAATATGCCAAGCTCCTTTATGAAAAGCAAGGTAGGTGTGTACAGTAAAATTATTTACTGATCAGGCCACAGAAATTTGTATATGGCCGTTTGAAATCTGTTTCATTGGCTGCAGAAGCTCCATCTCTCCTTTCAGTTTGGACTGTCCACTGTTTGCGGAGATTAGAGATGTAGAGGGTTTCCTCCCATTTCAAGCTGGGTTGTTTTATTGGCCTGCCAGTAAATGCTGAATTACTTCTTGTTGCAGAGCAGTTTGTTAAAGCAAATGTGATTGATGGTTTTGCTGATAAATTAGGTCAATGACATTCCATTCCACTTGCAGCGTTTTGTATTTGTCGAACCCTCTTGTTTTGGCCCACAGCTATAAGTAAAGACAGATCTAACATTTTAAGAGTTGCAGGGGTGGGCTTGACAGCCGATATATATATATATATATATATATATATATATATATATATATATATATATATATATTCCTGCCTTAAGGAGTAATAAATAAAGAAAAAATGGTTTTGCAGATCCCCAGAGAGAGCTGGGAAGAAGCTGGGTATGGGGGATGCCCAATGACTATTGCCTCAACACCACCAACTCATAAGTTACCACCCCACTCCCAAGAAATCCCTGCAGCACCTTTTAAACCAGTTTTCAAAACGCTGGAAAAAATTAGGAGGGAAGCGTGTCACAAGAAAGATGCATCTCTTGCTTTGTTTTTTTTTTTTTAAGGACCTCCTTCCATGGGAAGAGAGGAACATTTGAGAACTGGATTCCTTTACCTGGGAAGCAGCCCTCATTTCCATTGCCTTGTACTTCTCAAGTCAGGTTCACACTATAGATTTAAAAGCATACGGAATCCCAAACCCACTTATCTGTGACTTAAGTCCCACTGAATTCAGCAGGACTTACTTCTGAGTAGACATGGTTAGGGTTATGCTGTCACACCCTGCTGGGAAAGTTCTCAAAATGTTCTGTATGTCTTCATAACAAGATTATATGTACACACACACAAACACACACACACACAAAAGCACACACACACTTTTACGTTTGTGTTTCGGGAGTGAGATCAGCATGTGAAATGGATCGCACCTATATATGAAATTGAGCTTTCTGAGTTCTATAGTAATGCCACAAAACCCCTCAGAAGTGTTTTTATGCATTTGGCTTGCTTTTTATTATAGCAAGCACTGTAGTATTACTCCAGCCTTGTCAATAAGTCAAAGTTACAGTGGACGCTTGGGTTGCGAACGTGATCCGTGCGGGATGCATGTTCGCAATCTGCAGCATTCACAACCCGTGTCTGTGCACACACGGGTTATGATTCGGCACTTCTGCGCATGTGCAAAGCATGATTTAGCGCTTCTGCGCATGCACGACTGCCAAAACCCGGAAGTAACCTGTTCTGGTACTTCTGGGTTTCGGCAGTCCGTAACCTGAAAAAACGCAACCTGAAGCATCTGTAACCCAAGGTATGACTGTACTAATCTGCTAAGAGGCCAGTAGAATGCCCCTCCTGTGCAACCAAGATGGAAAACGCAAGCTGCTAGCCTCTTTGTGGGCTTGTTCAAAAGTTACTGTCTATCAAGCAGACGAGCAGAGGGAGAGGTGGAAGGATCTGTCCTTCCTGCACCAGCCCCCTCACCTACGTGGAGTTCCTCATTGCCTGCAGCGAGCAGGTGAGTGCTTTAAAAAAAATGAAGAAAAGGCAAAAAATAATAATAATGGCCTCTTCTAACATAACAAAGGAATGCTGGGAGGTGATTCAGGGTTTCTGAAGAAGTAATGAAGACCCTACTTTACTTTGTCTCTGACAAAGAGAGAATGAGATTGAGATGGAAGAATGGGATCGAGCCCAGCTCAGACCGAAAGTTCTCCCAGAGAGAGGCTGCTTTAATTTAACGTTTGTCCAGATAACACGCGAGGAACCCTCATGCCTTCTTTCGCTCTCTGGCCTCCTCCAGAAGCACTAATCCTGGGGGAAATTAGGCATGAGGATTCAGGAAGTGTTACAAAGTGGCTGCCCAGAGGGCAGAGGCGGCAGCAGTCTCCTCAGGCGGCGCGGCAGGCCCTCTAACTAGACAAATCGCCTCCGACTTTCCCCCCCAGGCCTCTGTATCAGCCTAGGCTGCCTGATAGCGGCTGCTATTATCCTCATCAAATAACATCATTAACAAATTTGCTGGAGGCAGGGGAGGTGTGCGAATTGTGCTGTGTTCAGTTGGTAGCAGTGCCGGTGGTAGTGTTGAGCTCGCGCAAGATAGAAATTGTGCCAAGATGGCAAAAGCAATAAGGAAAGGAAGAGTGGGAGGGATAGATGGAAGGAAGAGCCCAATTAGATGTGATGCAGGAAACCTTTGGATTATTATTTTTTAAATTTAAAAACCATGTCTGAATTTGATGTGGATCAGGTGGTCAAATACAAAACAGGGATGGGGGCCTCCAGCATCTTTAATGGTTGTTTATTTCAGCAGGTGGAGCTTGTCACATAGGCTCTATCGGCTGAAAATTCCCTTTGCTATGCAACTTATTAAAGGTGCAAGTCCCCTCCTTTGCATCAGGCCACCCTAGGTGTGGAGTGCTAATTGTTTAATCACACACTGAAATGCAGAACGCCTGTATGCATGTTGTTAAGGGTGTAACATCGGAAAATTCCACTGGCGTATACTCAGCTAGAAGGAAGCTCTATCTCAGCCTCTAGCTGGGTTGATAATTAACTGTTGTTGTTCTCTGCTAGCACTCACGTGAGTGTTTAACTTTAGATCACATGATTAGGGTATTCAATTGCAAATCTGCCATTTTGAAGGGGGTTGCCTTTTGTTCCCAGACATAGTGAGAGAAGGATGTAATAAGAAGCCTCTCCAGGCTGGATGCAGTGTAATGCAGGCTATGGGAAAGACAGAGCATTGATCTCAGCTCTGGTTATAATTATATATTTAAGAATATATTCTTGGATATGTACATGGTTTATACGATGTTTTGGGTGTACCATTGATTTTTTTGTTCTGTTTTTGAAGAAGTTTGGTTAGTAAAGCTTTGAATAATAATTACGAGTCTGGACAATTTTTATTCCAAAGGGAGTCAACCTTTATGGAAATTGTCCCCTTTAAACTTTTTTACCTGCAGGGGAAGATATGCTTGGAGCCAATATCCCCCCCGCCCCAACCATAAGTGAAAAAAGCAGTGATCAAATTCAGAGTCCCTTCCAGGAGTGTTGACTCTAGGGAGCAGACTGTCGTCATGCCCCTCAATATTCCTTAGCAGGAGTCTCAGCCCTGCAAATGTTGAGGGGGTAGAGGAGGCCAAACAGCTGAGCCAGCACAGCATCAAAGGCAAGCTCCTCCTGAGTGTGAGAGAGGAGGAACCATGGGCATTGAAGCTGCGTGGCACTGGGCAAGACCTCCTCGCAACTATGCGCATGTTGGGCATGTGATGTCACAGGCATGCCATGCTGCTGGGCCCCCCTAATCTTCAGCCCAAGAGGACGTCTCTGGTTCCTTCCCATCTAAGATGTGTGAAGATGAAACTATCAGGCCTGGTTTAACTTCATGCATGGCTTGCATCACATCTAGTTTGGCTGAAAATAAATTTTAAAAGTGTCCCTCCTAGGCATTCTGCAAAAAACTGCAAAACTGCAAGGGGGTTACTTCCAGAAGGACCAGATGCAAGAGAATGACAGAGCTATTGTATTTGGGTAGAACAGGAAATTTTAGTGCAGAATTTCCCACCGACGGATCGGCCCGGCCCCCATGATCAGCTTTTGCTGCCGATGCTTCCATTTCTGCACAATTATGAAAAGGTACTGGAGTCTTGGCCTCTTTTGTTCTTACATCACCTTAGCCACAAAAGCAGCCTCCACCCCCAGCACTGTACCCCGAGAAAGTATTGAGAGTGGGAAGGAAGGGACTTCCGCTCTTACCAACAGCACCAGTATCATGGGACCTTGGTAGATGTAGTCAGTATAAATCCCTGCTCGTTTTCCAAACCAGCACCTGTAATTCGGAATGCAGAGCACAAAGAAACCACAGTGAGGATTTAACTTCATCCACGGTTGAAGCCGAACCAGAGTCCAGGCCTCAAATCCATTTCTGACACAGGATATAATAAAGAAAGAACATCTCTGGGCATGGGCAGAGTGCTTTTCCTTGGCCAAAACCTCCTCCTAACACATGTAGGATAAGGAAGAAGAGCTTCAAGACTGGAAGACCATGACCTAAACTGGATAAAATGAAAAACGTACGGCACATTTCACGCATATCTATTTGATGAAAACAAACAGCCGGCATATTTAAAGATAGGTAAGTGTCAGGAAGTGCCGGAAGGGGTGGTTTTTAACCCTTCCTCCCATGCCATGGTCCCAATGAAAATAATCACCCACACCCCAATACTGCTGTTTGCTCCCAGAAGGAAACAGCTGCTACCACCAATGTCAGGCTTCCCTGTCAAAACAAATAGCAGCTTTGGGGAAGAAAATAAAACCAGTGCAGTTGGGAAGGAGGAGTTGGGAGAGAAAATGAAACCACCCCCTACCCATGCATGGTACCCCTACCCTGATCAGACCCACTGTCTCATTCCTGCTATTTATTTTCTTTCTTTCTAAAAGCAAGACACATGAAACCATGCATTTATTGCATTGCCAAGCTTGAACCTCATAATCTGTGTTACTGTCACCACCCCTCAAGACTGTAGTTGCTGGGAAAGGTAGGGAAAGGTGTCAGGGGAAAGAACAATTTTTTAAAAACCCGCCAAGAAGACCTTTCTAAGTGGCTTGGAACCCCAAACAAGAGGGTGGGTGACTGGTTTCAGCCAGAGCCACAGCCAGAACTTACTTGAAAGTGAGAAGCCATGGCTGATAATTAAGGCAAATGGCGGCCAGCCCAAATCAATCCTGCTCGCCTGCGTGATTAATGGCCATGGAAGCAACTTGCCAGGGGGCTGCTATGTCCTCCATTAGCAAGTCACTGGGAAAGCAGGATCAAGGCCCAGAGGGAAAAGCATAAGACCCTCTCATTAAATCCCAGGCTGCTTTAACTGGGGGGGACCTCCCACGATGGTGTTTCATTAGCAATGCCCAGTGCTGTGTTTACACTTTACAAAGTAAATCACCAAGTAGTTTAATTCTGCTACCTCCATAAACTGTGCAAATTTGTCTGGATTTGCTGAATCTTCCTATTTTAGTCTACTTTTTCTAGCTACTGAACAGAGAATCGAGGAGCGCGCTGAATGTTCCTTCCTTCACCGCTGCTCAACCCACTACGAAGGGCCAAAGGATGCAGAGATGTTAGGAAATTTGGGGTGGGACCTCTAGCTTGTTCAAGAATTCTGTTTCTTATAAAAGTAGCTGCAGGGGGTGGGTGGGGATAGCAAGCTGGGTTTGAAATGCAGCACTTGGGAAAAGAGTGGGTTAATCCCCTTCCATTCCCGCACTGCTTTCCTGATTCTAAGTTGCTTGCAACACTCCCACAAGGGGCCGCCCACTTGCCAATCACCTGACATCATAATCATGTCAGGTGAGTTGCTTTTGCCCTGGGTGGATGATGATGATGATGATGATGATGATAATAATAAATAAATAATTATTATTACCGAGGGCCTTCTCGGTAGTGGCGCCCTCCCTGTGGAACGCCCTCCCACCAGATGTCAAAGAGAACAACAACTACCAGACTTTTAGAAGACATCTGAAGGCAGCCCTGTCTAGGGAAGCTTTTAATGTTTGATGTATCACAGTATTTTAATATTCTTTTGGAAGCCGCCCAGAGTGGCTGGGGAAACCCAGCCAGATGGGTGGGGTATAAATAATAAATTATTATTATTATTATTATTATTATTATTAATTATTATTATTATTTTATTTATACCCCACCCTTCCCGGTTCAGAAAATCAGGCTCAGGGCGGCTAACAACAAATTTAAAACACTTAATTGATGCAACAAAGAACAGCACAAAATACAGTATAAAACGTGAATAACAATAAATTCAGAATTCAAAAATCAATTTAGGGGGAAAATCCATCCAATAAACATTAGATGATCACCAGGGCTAGCTGACTAAATTAGTCCTATTTGGGCCAGCGAAGAGACCAGGGGAGAATTAGCTGTGGGATCCCAGAGCGGGTAATCTTCATAAAAAGGGGAGGGGGAGGGAAGGAAGGGGAATAAAAGATCAGACTAAGTTCAAATTGAAAGCCAGGCAGAATAGCTCTGTCTTACAGGCCCTGCGGAAGGAAATTAAATCCTGCAGGGCCCTGGTCTTATGGGACAGAACATTCCACCAGGTCAGAGCCATCACTGAGAAGGCCCTGGCCCTGGTGGAGGATAATCTAACTTCCTTAGGGCCTGGGACCTCTAAACTATGATTATTCATGGACCTTAATGTCCTCTGCGGGGCATACCAGGAGAGGCAGCCCCGTAACTACGAGGGCCCTAAGCCACAAAGGGCTTTAAAGGTCAAAACCAGCACCTTAAACCTGACCCGATACTCCACCGGGAGCCAGTGCAACAGATACACGGCCCTCGAAGCCCTGACAACCAGCTGACTGTTGGCGCTAGGAGAGCCAAGCAGGGCACTCACTCTACACAGATCCTTGCACGTACCACTGATCCTACAGGCTTCTTTTCGGCCCAGCTGTTGCTTTACCTGCCTCACATCTGACATGTGACATCAGGTGGAGGGCAGGTGGGCTTGGCAGAACAGCCTCATCGGCCTAATGGGAAGTGCCTAATCTGTCCCACCGGTCAGAGGTTTCCATTCCCTGAACTAATCCTATCCATTGGAACTAGGATATCCCTGAAATTTAAGCACCTACACCCAAGGTTCTCAAAGTGGATGGTACTACCCCCCAGGGGACGGCAGGATTACTTAGCAGGGTGCCAAAAGGTGGCAGGGGGTGCTGGAGACGTAAATGACTATCAGACTTTGAAAAGCTGGTATCACTGGATCAAGCATTCATCAGTTTTGCTGATTAATTAAACTAAGTAATTGGGCTTTGAATGCACGTGCAACTAATTGCCACTGTTTCAAATTTCATTGAATTATCATCTCCCTTGGTGGGTGGTGCATTTCAATATTCTGAGTAGTGCTTTTTATAGGTTAGGGGGCCCTGGGGGTGAGTTTATGGAACGAAAGGAGCGGTGGCCTCCAAAACATTTGGAAGCCACTGATCCACATTCTTGGTGCAGGTAAACAGCTTTTTGTTTGGTTCATGGGTGGTTGGGGTGGTAGTTGGCAGAGTGGGGGAAGAACACTGCCTGCCTGCAAGCAAGGCCACTCCTGATTTCTTGCTCGTCTGCTGAAATCGCCCCCAAGTCTGCTCCTGATTGCCTTTGTGCAAAGCGGAGAAATGCCAGCAGAGCTTCCCTCCTTCCACCCCCAGATCCCTCCGTTAGCACCCACTCCAAGGCTGTGCAAGCCTGCTCTAGAAGCCATTACCATAGCAGCAGAAAAGCAGGATGGGGGAGAGAGAGAGAGAGAGAAAGAGAGAGAGAGACTAGGACTGACTTACTTCTCATTGTCATAGTAGAGTTTCCCAATGGCCCAAGCGATGATGATGGGGAAAGGGATGCCTGTGGATGAAAGCAAAGACAGGTCTCAGGGCATCCGGTGAGGAATGACCTGGCATTAAGGCAAGGGGTTGTGGTAGTTGGGGGAGCAAATGGGATATGTGGCCTCAGCTCAGGGACCCACCCATACCGAGCGAAACTATCACAGTGCTATTTCCTAAGCTCAGACGCAGAGCCTGTTATTTCTTGTGTGAGGGCTCAGTGCTCCTATAATGAGTGAGAATGAGAGTGCTTCTGAGCATCTGCAGAGCGAATAGGTTAATTTGTGCCCCTGGAATCATCGCAGCTCAGCCTAAGGCCCTGTTGCCCATACTAGAACGCATGATGGTGCCTCTGAGCGTATAACAAAGGCACACTGGGTCCCTATGGCTTAACTCCAGAATGTGCTTTCAGATTCTGAAAAGGTATACATGATAAACAAAAAAGTACTCCTGAACATCAGCGGAGTTCTGAGTCTAATCCAACCCCCTTGAATCTTTCGGCCAACATGGGACTCGAACCCACGACCTTGAGGTGGAGAGTCTCATACTCTGAGCTATCCCTTTGTCGCCTGGCTACCCTGCAGGATATGCTACAGCCACCCCTCTCCTTGCCACTCACACCAGCCAATGCAGATGAACATCCATTTCCTCAGCTTGTCTGTCGAATAGGTGAGGACAATGGCCGTGTGAAGGTAGCAGCCCTCGCCAAACATCCAGAAGAAATTGGTGACGTGGAAGTAGTTGTAGGCAGCTGTGACGAGGCGGCACCAGGGCTGTGTGTGGTGAGGAACAGGCAGAATGGATGAATTAAGAGGAAACAGCTCCCCACAATCCTAGCCATAAGCAAGCCTACCCTACCTCTATGAGGACACAGCTCACAGCTACTCTGAACAGCTTAGCATCATCCCCTCTCGCCTGCTAACGGCTGAACATTCATAAACAGTGAGGCTGAGGCTCCATCCTTTGGCTTTAAAATTCCCAACCCTTCAGATCGAAGCAAAGCCAACTGCAAGATAGCTCAACTCATCTGCAAATAAGCTACGGCATCACTCTCAAGATGCCAGAGCTCATGGAAATTCAACTTCCTTTTCACACACTAAGGAGACCTCGGCTGAACCTCAGGTGCCGGGTAGCTCAGATCAACAGACTTGAAAGCGTTCCTTGGCTCAGCCTTCAACAACATGGCACCCTCTAGAAATTAGGGGCGGCAATTCCACCCAGCCTCAGCCAGGCTGCCTTAGCTTCTGCTAACAAATCCAACAAGGAGATACCTGGATTAGAATTTCATTTTTGGTCGTAGGACCGGTCATGGTGAAATACCCTGCAGTTTAACTTGCAAATATCTGACAGGTTTATGGGCCTGATCAGCTGGCTCTTTCAAACTCTTAAAGACATGCCAATGTTTTCAAGGTGCTAAAGCAAAGTGATCATGATCATGTTGGTCTATATACTAATTGGTAGCATTTCTTCCTAGGCCTACCTGGAGAAGCCAGGAAGTGATCCTGAAACCTTCTGCATGTTGCAAAATGCTCTACCACTCAGCTCCAGCCCCTTGCCAGAGGCCTTATCACCTAGAGATTCCATATGTCTGGATTTTTCTGTACATTACTGGGATTTCAAAGGAGGAATTGACATTGGAGTGGGGGGATTTCCAAAAGGCAGCATTTTGTTCTGGATCTTAGGCAAGTCAATTGAGAAAGCGTGTTTTTTTGGTATTTTTTTGTGGGGGGAAGCTCAACAAGTTTTGGGGTGTACTGGTTTTTATTTTTTGAAATATGGCAACCCTATCATCACCAGCTCACAATATCTTAGGGCTTTACACTATAGATCAGGGTTTCCCAAACTTGGATCTCCAGCTGTTTTTGGACTACAACTCCCATCATCCCTAGCTAGCAGGACCAGTGGTCAGGGATGCTGGGAATTGTAGTCCACAAACAGCTGGAGACCCTGATAGAGATGTATGTTTTCAAGGCTTGACTTTCATATAACAGGTCAAGAAGCAGTGACCTCAAAAGTCATGGGGAAAGTTTCTCGATCCCCCTTGCTTTTTTTGTTTTGTTTTTCAAAGTCCAGCAGGCATCCAAGCCAAATTGCTAGCACCAGATTTGAGGCCAGGCTGAGGAGAACCTACCACGTTGCTTTCATGGACTTCTGGATTCATGGTGAGCTGGACCACAAACCACGTGGCGTTCCGCAAAATGAAGGCAGTGATCAAGTTCCAGTGGATAATGTTTCGTAGGCACCGGATGCTCCTGGAGGAGAAAAGGAAAGAGCGTGCAAAATGGCAGCACAGGCCCAAAGGATGAACTGTCCCACTCTCAAGGCAGAACCCCTCCCCTCGCATGTTACTGCCTTGTCCCTACCTCTCTTTAATTTTTAGATCAGCCTTCCCCAGCCTGTCACACCCTCCAAATGCTTTTGGGACTTCAACTCCCATCAGCCCCAGCTAGCATGGCCGTGTAGTGTGTAAACATCTGGCCAGCGGCAGGCAGGCGAGGGCTGCTTCAAATGATCTCATGGGCCCTTTGGCCTGACTCACCTCAGGCGCATGAAGAGGATGAAAGCAGCTATCAGTGCTGCCAGGGAAATGCAGTGCCCAAGGTAGTTGATGATGACAGCAACGTGGTAGTGCAACTTGCTTCTCTTCTGTAGGGGGAAAGGCAGGAAAAGGTTCAGCATTGGGCCACAATAGTATAGTAACTATCATTTGCAGTCCAATTCCTTCAGACCTTTTCAAAGATAATGCCACAATAGTCTTACTTTCTTTCACTAGTCAGTGGTGGAAGCAGCCTCCATTAAACAACGAGAATCTGCTTAGCCATTACCCTGAATCCAATGCTTTCCCTTTCCTCAAACCAGACATGGGTAGATCTGGCGCCCTCTAGGCATTGCTGGACTACAACTCCCATCAGTCCTAAGCATGGGCAACGCTGGTTGCAATTGGTGGGAAACGGACTCTTAGCAACATCATGAGAGCCACAGGTCCCTTTAGCTCCTTTATCGTCATGCTGACCTTTAGATCATCTGTGAAATGATCTCCTCCTCCTCCTCCTCTTCTGGGTTTAGCTAACAATCTTTTATAAGGAGCAGCATAAGTGGTAGTCAGTTCAAGAAGTTGCTTTATACTGAGCCCAACCATTGGTCCACATAGCTCAGCGATGTCTATACTGGCTGACAGCAGCTCTCTATAGTTTCGGAGGGAGACATCTTCCCAGCCCTCTTAGAGACACCAAGAGCTGAAATCTGGAACCTTCTGCATAAAAAACATGTGCTCTACCACTGAGCTACAACCATTCTTCCTGTTCTTTACATGCGTGGGAATAAGATGCTTCCTTTTGCCACTCCTGAACCATCTTCCCATAGGTTTTACTAAGTAATGGCAAGCTCCAGGGATACTGAGCATCAGAGGGTCTGAGAAGAACTGTGCACAATGATCGATGGAAGAGGACAACAACAAGAAGAGTTTGGATTTGATATCTCACTTTATCACTACCTGAAGGAGTCTCAAAGCGGCTAACATTCTCCTTTCCCTTCCTCCCCCACAACAAACACTCTGTGAGGTGAGTGGGGCTGAGAGACTTCAGAGAAGTGTGACTAGCCCAAGGTTACCCAGCAGCTGCATGTGGAGGAGCGGGGAAGCGAACCCGGTTCACCAGATTACAAGTCTACCGCTCTTAACCACTACACCACACTGGCCATACCCTCCAACAATGAAAAGAGGGACGTCACATTCCATAATGATTATTTTACTATTTATACCCCACACGTCTTACTGGGTTGCCCCAGCCATTCTGGGCAACTTCCAACATACATAAAAACATAATAAAGCATTAAACATTTTTTTTCAAAAAAAACCCTTCCCTAAACAGGATTGCCTTCAGGCGGCTCGGGGGTTGGATAATTCTATACCCTCCAACATTTCTCCAATGAAAATAGGGACATCCTAAGGAAAAGTGGAACATCAAATCAGAAACTGGGATAGCTTCTCTAAATCAGGGACGTCCTTCGAAAATAGGGACACTTGTAGGGTCTTCAATGTTTTTCCAAGAGTGGTATTTGGACTTGATAGGAGCGATATAGGAAAGGGAAGCAGCTCCGGAGCTGACTGGTCAGCAGGGTTGGTCTGTCACATTCATTAATTCATTCAGCCTTTATTGGCATAATGTCTTGTCACATGAAAGTGCTTGTAGAACAGGGCTGCCTTTTCCTGCCAAATGGGCTGCAAGAGTACTTTGACATTGAACCTGTGGGCCACATAGTGCCTTGTCGCACCAGGGGAAGGGGAAGCAAGGTCAAAACTGGGTGCCCTCCTCCAGCCTTTGTGCCACCTTTTGAAAGCTGGCTAAGTGAGGTTGCCGGGCTTTGGGATGGAGGTGCAAGACTCTGTCAGGGTCCTAGACCATCTCATCTACTTCCCAAAGCTTGGAAAGTGCTAGCTAGGATTTGGGAAGGAGGCAGGAGGACCCTATGACCCTGTCAGAGCCTCATGCCTGTTTCCCAAAGAAGAGTTTGGATTTGATATCCCGCCTTTAAGGAGTCTCAAAGCGGCGAACATTCTCCTTTCCCTTCCTCCCCCACAACAAACAGTGAGTGGGGCTGAGAGACTTCAAAGAAGTGTGACTGGCCCAAGGTCACCCCGCAGCTGCATGTGGAGGAGCGGAGACGCAAACCCGGTTCCCCAGATTGCAAGACTACCGCTCTTAACCACCACACCACACTGGCTCTCACTTACCAAAGCCCAGCACTACTGGGCAGGGGTGTCAAATGTTGCTGAGGGCCACCAAAACAGGCCTCAAGGGCCACATGTGGCCCCTGGGCTGTGCCTTGGACCATCCTGTTGTAGAAGGAGGGATCCTCAGAGATGTGGAACGGAGTACCATGTGGAGAAAAACAACTTGCAGCCTTCTGATGTTTAAGATGCTACTGTCCTCTCACAAAGGGGGGGGCACAGCTATTTCTCTCTCCACCCCCCCAACATTAATTGCTAATTCACAGAATGGATGAAAGCTTCACAGCAAGACAGTTGGCTAATTTAATTATCCAGCCACCCTCTCCTGCGACTTCAACCCAAGCCCCCAGGGACAGTCAAATGTAATTGCCGCTGCGGATATATCATGTTTCCAGGAACCTTTTCTAAATTCTAATTAAGTGACAGCCTTCTGGGATTTTCCAGATAATGGCTACACCATGAAAACTCCTTGCACACCTCCTTCTCGTGCCCCTCCACTAAACACACATGCGTGCGTACAAGCTGCATAGTCAGGAAATATATGCACCGGCCACTGGCTGTTGCTATGCAGCTGCAGTGACACTCTGCCCCATGGCAGAATCCATGGGCCAGGCTTAAGAGTAGGGACCCAAATCAGAAGGTTTAGAAGGTGACCACAAGCCTGAGATGACCCCACTATGAGGCGTGGCAAAGTGGTACATTCTGGGTACTATTAAGAGCAACAGAGAGAGAAGACGACAGATCTGATCTGTAGAGCTTAGTTCATTGAGAAAGTCTCCTTTGCATACTCACTTGATATATCCATGGAGATTAAAAGGCATCAATAAAACCAGAATCAGTACCCCAACTTTTGGGTCATTCAGCTTTAGAGCTAAAACAAAGCCAGCAGGTGTAATCTCTGCTTCAACTTTATTCTATTTATAAGATCTCTTACTTGCTCTTCATCATGAGGTCCCATGGCAGGTTACAACAATATAGTCATACAATTATGAAGACAAATAAAACAGTTCTGAACAAAAATGGAACAGTCTAGAGCAGTGTTTCCCAAACTTGGGTTTCCAGCTGTTTTTGGACTACAATTCCCACCATCCCTGACCACTGGTCTTGCTAGCTAAGGATGATGGGAACTGTAGTCCGAAAGCAGTTGGAGACCCAAGTTTGGGAAACACTGGTGTGAAGATTAAACAAGAACAACAACAAAAGGAGGTGGATCCCTGGAAGCAAAAGCCAGGGTGAATTTTATTTATTTATTCCGTTTATATACTGCCCTTCATTCTAAGAGCTCAGGGCACTTCACAAGATAGAACACAGGTAAAGTTATACTCTCAGAGGATTGCATCCAATGGTAACCCTGCTCAGAGTAGAGCCACTCAAATTAATGGACCCAAGTTAGCCATGCTCCTTGATTTCAATGAGTCCAAGTAGGACTAATATTTGAGTAGGGCAATTTCTTTGAGGGAAGTTGTGAAAGTTAATCTGGCCCTTTATATAGAGAATCCCAGGGACTGTGTTACTCAGGTGGTAGTGAGGCACGGTATGGCCGCTTTATAATGAAATATAGCCCTACTTGAAATGTATGGCAGTTCATACCTCCTCGGTGAGGATCTCCTGACACTGGGAGTAATTCACACGGATTGCCCAGCTCCCGTTTGCAAAGCATTCTCTGTACACATTGTCTGGAAAAGAAAAATGCAGACAAAGAGATTGAGAGAGGTCCTGGGAGTGTGACACAAGCTATGTGAGAGACTCGTTGAAGTTGCAGCAGTGGCCAGCCCTCCAGGACATTTGGCTGCCTGAGGTCAACAGCAAATGGAGCCTCTGCCCAACCCCCTTAATTAGGTATTATTATAATATTTAAGGCCTTTGTATACTGCTTAATCATGAGCATGTCTAACCTTAAGTACTCAAGGTTAGCCAAGTTATTTTCGTACCTGAGGCATACAGTCCCACAGGAATCTCTCCCCATCCCTGACTATCAAAGTACAATGATAATAAATCAAACAACTAATAATTTGCTGCCATTTCATGACACTCGGAATCAGTAGCCTGAGGCCTCAGTTGCCTCTCTCTATCCAATAAGAGGGCTAGAACAAGATATGCTGACAGAACAAGCAAAACAATCCCTGGCTTTCTTATTTGAACCAGCCTGAAGTTCTGTAAACACTAAGGAAGCCCCACTGAACAATGTGGGATTTCCCTCTGAATAAACATGCGTAGCACAGGGACATGGGTGGCACTGTGGGTTAAACCACAGAGCCCAGGACTTGCCGATCAGAAGGTCGGCGGTTCGAATCCCCACGATGGGGTGAGCTCCCATTGCTCGGTCCCAGCTTCTGCCAACCTAGCAGTTCAAAAGCATGTCAAAGTGCAAGTAGATAAATAGGTACCGCTCCTGCGGGAAGGTAAACAGCGTTTCCGTGCGCTGTTCCGGTTCGCCAAAAGCGGCTTAGTCATGCTGGCCACATGACCCGGAAGCTGTACGCCGGCTCCCTCGGCCAATAAAGCGAGATGAGTGCCGCAACCCCAGAGTCGGCCATGACTGGACCTAATGGTCAGGGGTCCCTTTACCTTTTAAACATGCGTAGCAGGTGGTGGGGAACATAGTCATAGAATCATAGAGTTGAAAAGGACCATGAGGGTCATCTGGTCCAACTTCCTGCAATTCAGCAATCTTTTGCCCAGCGTGGGGCTTGGACCCACAACCCTGAGATTAAGAGTCTTCTGCTCTACAGAGTCGCTGGACTCCATCTGTCATCAGCTCCAAACAGTGATGCCAATGGTGAAGGATGCTGGGAGATGTAGTTCAGGGCTACAGGTTCCTCATTGCTGAGGATTATCTTGTTAGTCTATAGAACAAGGGTGGGGAACCTTTGGCCTTCCAGATGTTATCAGATTACAACTTCCATCATCCCTGGGCTTGCTGGCTACTTGTAGAGTTGGGGTCCAACAACATCTGGAGAGCCACAGATTCCCCACCCTGTTACAGAAGTTAAGCTTTCGAATGACATGCTCTAAGTGTCAAACTGTGGTATTTAAATGTTTCCAGGTGGGTATTTATGGCAGGGTCAGTGCTTCACATGCATGCAGGTTTGATTCTATTTCTTTAGCTGTGGTTCTTGCATTGCAAGTGGATGGGCTAGATGACTCTACAAGTCTATGATTTTTTTAAAAAATTGGTACTGTCCACACAACAATGTTGGCCTCAAAATTCCAGCCCGTATCCCTGTGCCCTATAATCCTGAAAACCCAATAAGGAAATAAAATTGCTGACAATGACGTGTTTGTGATTATCTCACTGACCCATTTGCAAATTAAGCTCCTTCTTAATCATTCCCCACCCCCCAAACAATAAAACAAGATGTTACAAATTCAGGCTGAAGACTTATGGCTTACACACGCATGTATCGCTGAGTGTCTCATAACTCGAGCCACTCAGCTGCAGTGCACTCAGTGAAAAGTATTGTTCTTGAGATAATGTGAAAGCCCAGCCTCTGATGTTTGATGAGTTTTCGCAGCCAAGTCAGTCTTTGATGCTTCTGCAGTCATTGTCTGCTGAAAGCGCCTCCCGCTCCCTTCAGAACGCAATTTGAAAAACACAGTTGATACAGAACATGTAATTTGGCCCAATCTAGTATTCTTTAGGACAAAGGTGGTCTGAGCAGCCGCGGAATTGGATTACACATAATCAGAGGGTGTTTTCAAATCGGGCAAAGTTCTTACACAATTGGCCTGTGACATAACCATGGATAAGGTGGAGAAAATTGAATTTGCGCCTGCTGGCTTCACCCTTGACCTTGCGTTCATACTTTGGGATGAACTTGTGCTGGCTGCAAAGGGGTGGCAAGGAACTGTATTGGCGCCCCTCCCCCTGGGAAAACCACTTTGCTGCAATAGCCACATTAGAAATTACTGCAATTTAGACGACCTAAGTACTCAAAGTGTCCCAAGTGAGGGCAAGGCGAGGAGGAAGGGTGAAGAAACTGCACACCTTTATATTGCGGTGCAAGAAGGACAGGAAGTTTCTTCTGCATTTGATCTTGCCACAACACTCGCATGTCCTATATATATCATACCCTCCATAGTCTCCAGCAGTCTGTCTTCACACCACCTTGCCATTTCTCCTACCCTCAGCTTTCAGCTCTTGTCTAAACTCACAATCTTAGACAGGGAATCTTAGAGAGACAACCTGAGACAGATTTCTGAGGTGATTCTTGTATCTGTGCTGGGCCTGCGCTCCTGGCAGGGGCTGGTTTCACTAACCCCTAGTTAAGCCTCTTGGGGTTGAGCTTTTCTCCCAGCTTTGGTGAATTCCTCAGAGCTTCTTGGCCCATTTTATTTTCCTCAGGAGTCTTGCAGATAACCTTAGCAAAGATGGGAATGGCTGTGGCAAGTGAAGGTCTTAATAAGCTTTAGCCCCTGGAGAACGAGATGGGGGGGGGGGGACACACGCATTGCTTTTCCCTCTTGACAGGAGAAAGGAGGGAAAGGGGAAAGCTAAACCTGTTGAAACTGTGTGACAGGATCGTTTTTGCTCACATGACAGCTTCATTGCTGGCCGTTCATCCCCTCAGAAACTATGAGGCTATTCCCACTCATTTCAAATCAAAGCTGTCAGGTCAGATTGGAAGGGTGATAAGCCATAGCTGCTTCGGCAGAGCAAGCCAAGTGAAATGTGGATAGACTTCAAATAAGCAGGGTGGTGAGGCATCCTGCTGTCTCTGCCATTTAGCTCCTACAGTGTTGGCAAGGGCTTGGCTTGGACTCAAAGGTAGCGTGTGGCAGGCAGTATTCCTGCCACTAGGCCCAACCAACTTGAACCCCTGATCCCATACCCCACAAGTGCCCTGGAAAAATAGGGACATCCCATTTCTCACCCCCCCCACAAGAGCATGGCGGCCATTTTGGGTGCCGTGATATCACATGATTTCGTGTCGAGATCTCGTACTGGAAAAGCGCTTTTGGAGGGGCTGCGATCTCACACAGGTCACGTGACTCGCAAAGGGAGCGCAGACAGGAAGACGCATGGGATGCAACATGTTGGGGGGTATGTGATGCTGGTGGCCAAGATGGTAGCAGTGGACAACATGAGGCTTGCCAAGGCCCCTTGCCCCTCCCCGTTTTTATTCCTGCTCCCTGCCCCCCCCCCCCCCAATTCCTAGCGGTGCTTAAGAACTGAACTGGAAAAATAGGACACCATCCAAAGAGAGCAGGAAGATGGCCTGCTTTCTTCCCCAGCATGATGTTCAGGTTTGCAACAGAACCATGGCTCTTCCTGACAAGCTGAAAATCAAGCAGAAAAGTCTGCAAAGAGGTCAGCATAATCCAACCACTGAGGAGGCAGTATAGAAGATCCCCGTGATTCAATTTGCACGTTACATGTTAATACTAGTGCAGTGACCTCTTTTTTATTTTTTAAGGTGGAAATTTAGAACACAGAAGTACGGGGCAGGAGGAGTGGAAGAAGGGAGCTCCTTTCTGTACTTGCTGTTTCCCTGCCCGAGACACACACACACCCCACACACCAGGGGTACCCCCAATTCAAACATGCATTTTGAACCCTGCTGCCACGGTGAGCGGCAGGAGCAGTGGGGGGAGTAGGTGTGGAAAGGGTTAAGCAGTGATGGACCTTGGCATCTCAAATTTCAGTGGCGCCCTGTGCAGTGTGCCAAAATCCATCGCCCCCACCTCTTGCCTTCCATTGGATATCATAGTTGCAGTACCTGTTGCAGCGCCCCAGAAGCTCTGCACACAGTGCAACTGAAGCGGTTACACTCCCCTAGAGTTGCTTTGGAGTTAGGCATGACACTCCTCACCCCCATTTCTCTGTTCCTGGCCATTCCCACTCCCCACAAGGTATGGTTCTTTCTTTTTAGAAACGGCTGCAAGGCTATGTGTTTGGCACTAACAAAAAGGAGGACTTCGGTTGTGTACATATTCTGGTTTACTCTGGCTCCTGTGCACTCCCACTGCTAGTATTTGAAGGGTCCATGATGTTAGTCACAACCCACATCTATCGTGTAGTTCCTTGAGAAATACTGCTGTTTGATGTGCTTTCCCTCAAGCTAGATTCTATCCAATTCATAAACATCTGCTGTGTTCATTTTGCAGTTATGCTGAGGTGTGTACAATTTGAGGCAGCCATTGTGCATGTGCCGATAACAGCTTTATTGAATAGGATTTGTGTAGGGCGTGTGTTTGCAAGCGTGGGAAAACAAATCACGTAATGCACGTTGGGTGAAGACAACCCTGCATTTTCTCTGTGTTTTAAGCCACTAATGTGTACGTAGCATTTATGTCAGTACTGTAAAAGGTAAAGGGACCCCTGACCATTAGGTCCAGTCGTGACCGACTCTGGGGTTGCGGCGCTCATCTCGCTTTATTGGCCAAGGGAGCCGGCGTACAGCTTCCAGGTCATGTGGCCAGCATGACTAAGCCGCTTCTGGCGAACCAGAACAGCGCACGGAAACGCTGTTTACCTTCCCGCAGGAGCGGTACCTATTTATCTACTTGCACTTTGACGTGCTTTTGAACTGCTAGGTTGGCAGAAGCTGGGACCGAGCAATGGGAGCTCACCCCATCGCGGGGATTCGAACCGCCGACCTTCTGATCGGCAAGTCCTGGGCTCTGTGGTTTAACCCACAGCACCACCCATGTCCCTGTGCTACGCATGTTTATTCAGAGGCAAATCCCACATTGTTCAGTAGGGCTTCCAGAGCGGTACCTATTTATCTACTTAGATAAATGTACTGTAGTGTGGAACAAATGCAGGCATCTTTCCCTGCCTTGAAAATTCTCCCCAGGACAAAACTCTGCAAATCTCGACTTGGTCAGCCTCACAAAAAGGCTTCTTACTAAAAAAAAAATCTCCATGAGGAATAGCCAAGACGACAAAATATCCTTTTTAGCACTGGTAGATAAAACCTCCCAAGACCATGGGCATCAGAGACATTAACATCTTATCCTGGAAGGGTAACATGTCGTTCTGATTCATAACCATCACCCCATTTAACTGCAAAATTTGAGCTTCTGACACTATCATCACTGGGGTTCTTCCCTTTCTTCATCTCTGTTAAGAGACAACATTGAGCTCATCCACACTCCCCTTTGTCCCATCATTTGCAGGGGCAGGTCCACAAGGTTTTTCTTTTGTCCTGCCTCTTTCCCCGGGAAAACCCTCTGTTACTGCTGAATCGGAACAAACATCAATCTGCAGTAAACCTGATTGACATTTGTTCTGATTCAACAGTAAACCACAGATTTTCCCGGGGAAAGTGGTGGGACAAATGGAAAAACCTCTTGGAGCTGTGTCTAGAAATTGCAGGAAAAATGTGAGCCCACTGAGTACTTTTTGCAAACTTTTGCTTAAGGGAACTGAAGGCAACGTGTCGAATCTCCAGCCCACGAATGAAAATAGGCTGATCTGTCTATCTCAAGGTGCCCTCCTTGCAGCCCCCCCTCTTCCGGCTTACTTGAAGTGTTGTATCGCACTCCGAAGAAATACTCGGGACAGGGGCGGGCCACCATCTGCCCTGCTGCACTGCGAGGCCAACATGTCCCTATCAGATCCACCAAGGCATAGCACTGGGGACCTACGGGGAAGAAAGCAAAGAGGAATTAGCAAAAAAATAGTCACAATGACATCGTAATTTATTTATTTTTACAAGCCCATCCAGAGGCCCAGTAGTCTAGAATTGTACTGCCAAAGAAGCGTAACTGAGACAATTGCATGGATGCAGAAATTATCTAATGAGAAGAATTTGAAACAACCATCACCACATACCCTCCGACATTTCTCCAGTGAAAATAGGGACGTCCCATTCCATACTCTGGGCAGCTTCCAACATATATAAAAAATACTAAAACATTAAACATTAAAAACTGCCCTATACAGGGCTGCCTTCAGATGTCTTCTAAAGGTTGTACAGTTACTTACCTCCTTGGCTCAGGGGTCACATACTAGGGTTGCCATATTTCAAAGACTGAAAATCCAGACAGAAAAGTTGTCAAGCTTTTTTTGGCAAAGTTGTCGAGCTTTCATTGCCAGATTTCCCCGGACATTTCAGCAATTTCTGTCCAGACGTATGCCAGCCCTACCTATTTCTCTGATGAAAGTAGGGATGTTCTAAGGAAAAGCGGGATATTCCGGGATCAAATCAGAAACCGGCTGGCTTCTGTCAGCCCGGGACTGTCCCTGGAAAATACACACGCTTGGAGGGTCTGTAATTCCTAGATGAAAGTGTCTCCTGCAGAGAAAGGTTTGAAGGATTTGAAGCAACCCTCAGCAGATGAGGTTTCGTTTTGTTCTTGCTGAGGACGACTGCCATATTGGGGTTTAGGAAGAAAAGTACCATCCATTGACTGGTAATCTTGGTTTGTTTGCCACTTGACTGGTGTGTGGTTTGACTCCCTTGCTTGAATCATCTCGGGAGCAATTTGCTCTGCTACCAGCACCATTTCTGAAGGGCAATTGCTCTCTGCTTGCAGAACAGCACAGCCTGGCTGGCGCAACCTGGAGCAGGGAGGAGGGTAGTTTAATGTGGCCTACATGACCTTTGGTCTCTTCCAGGATTCTATGAATTCCGATGGCTTTCCCACGCAACTTCTGTGCCTCGCATGTTTTCCCCCTTGTTTGGTTTGAGACCGGGAGGGGTTGGGTGGCAGCATGCAGCTTGTCACATTTGCAGAAAGCACCCGGGTCCTACTGTTTAATAAATGTCATTTCGTGGTTCCTTCCCTCCCTCTGGAATGCTGAACCTAATTAGCCCGTGGTCTCTGTTATTAAGTGAGTCATTTCTGAATGCTTCTGGAATTAGCTCCTTCAAATTACTTAAGACCATGCTGAAAACAGCAGCCTCTCCTCTGGTGTGCCCTAGAACAGGCAGTTCTCCAAAACAGCAAAAAAATAAAATTAAATAAAATTATAAAATCCATCGCCAAGAACATTACATCTCTGAACTTCATCCCACATGGAGCCATTCACCTGCTTTGGAGGTGGAGAGATTCAAAACTCTCTGTAATTATCTCTATTTGGACCACCACATTTGTTTTTTTTTTTGTTTTGCCACCACGATTTTTCTTATCCTCATAAGAGGCATAATGCTAGAGATAAGGAATTGGAAGAATAGTTCCCTAAAACCCTGTGCCTGATGGCAGCAAGGAGAGGGAGGTGAAGACCTCTGAGATTAAATTAATTTCGGGAAGTGTTCTAACACCTAGATTGTTTGCAAAGATGCATGATATAAATCCCACTAATTCAAATTGTGTGTTTGTGTGTGATGCTGTTGAGTTTAGAAAACAGGATTTGAAGTACAGAGTTCAGCAACTTGATATTATTTCCTTAAGCTGCATCAACAAGACTTACATGTTGAACATGATTTGATGCTGACTTGGGTGGGCCTGGGCCACTTAATGTTCACCCTGGACAGAGACTGAGCCATGCATAACTCAAAATGACCTGGACTCAGGAGTCCGTGCATTGGAGTAGTACTAAGGTACCAAGAACCCTAAGACCATCTCCCTGGACCAGCACAGGAAAAAAAGTGTCTGCAGAGCTTCCTTCTGCCAAGATATCCACAGATGAGAATTAACCCTCCAGGGGCCATGCTTTCTCCATCAGCACTGCCCCCCCCCGGAATGTCTCCCTGCTGATATCCCCACATATTTATAGCATCTTTCCAGACCTCACCACACTGGTCCCAAAGGGACAGTAGTGAATATATTTGCAGCACACTCCTCAAAACCAGAATGCAACCCAGCTGTGCTGAGCTTTAAAGAGGTGGGACCAAGACCACCCTGCGTGCCCTCAGAACAGTGGTAGCCACACAAGACATGTGGTGCAGGACAGCCCCAGGCTCTGGGGGGGGGGCACCAAAAACAGAAATATTTAGAAACTGTTGCATGCAGTTTCATCACACAAAGTTGTCATACGACAATTTTGGTTTGGTTCATCATAATTTTTTATCTCTAAGCAGAAGCTATGTAATTTCAGATACTAGTGTATAATTAAACCAATTGGGAGAGCCTTCCCTGCACCCTATGCACACATTGGCCTCAGATAGCTTGTGTCCCATTCTGTAGCACTGACATAAATAATCTGTTTCCTGGCTCTTGCCTTCACTGTATTCTGTCCAAGGTCTCGATGCCCTTCCTGCCATCCTACACACCTGACTTCCACCTTCTGCCCAACATTGTTGCCTTATTGCCTGCTGGCGGTTCCCTGGACCCATTGATTGACAGGACCTAAGATTCTTCCCACAACCCTCCCCTTTGCACCACTGGGCAATGGCTCTTTCGCACAGATCCTTGTATGGATGACTGTATGGATGGAACACCTGGTCTCAAGCAGGAGGCTGGCCAGAGCTTCTGTTTATTGGCTTCTATGTGTGTCCTATCTTCACAGCTCACACATTCTGATGATTATTTTTTTGGATACACCTCAATACACCTTGCCTTTCCCCTTCCTCCTTTATGGAAATAGCAGCTTTAGGGACACATTTAAATTGGGGAAACAGCACAGGGGTACACTATTCATCTTCTCCCTCAGCAATGCAACCCTGCTCTTAAGAAAAGGAAAATATGTTGAGAAATATTTGGAGAGTAGCCACCTAATGACTATTGCATTATATTCATAAGAAAAAGCTCTGTATAGGGTGAAAAGATCATACCTGCCTATTAACCCTGTGCTTTATCCTCAAGGTATAACTTACGCACAACTAGATGGTCTTGACCTAAACAGAGACATCCTTGCTTCTACCTTTTTCTTTTTTGCAGTTCTGTGGATAAGACTAATTGGTCAAACTGCCCTGTATGGAGTTTGGTATTCGATAAAAGTGTTGAAATTAACCTTTTGGTACCTCCCAGGTGACCTCTTCATAATATTACAGAGCCTTGGAAAACCCTTGATGTATTTCTTTGGAAGACCAGCTAGGTCACTGCAACAGAGGCAAAAAGAGGATAGAGTTTGATAATGATTTGATGGATTCACTTATAAGAGATATGCGACTGTGTGTTGTTCAAGTACAGCCTGTACGTAGGCAGGATCAAATTCAGAAGCGGTTTATCCAGTTTCCATTCATGCTCTTGATTCATTATCTGTGCCCAAAATTGGTAACATAAGGCTGGCACAGCTATTTCTGAGCCTTCCTTCTTCTAACTGTCAAAATGGCGTACGCATAAGGAGCCAACTGGCAGAAGGTGATCTTTTCTTTTGGCATCAGATTTACCACTCCATTCACCCGAGTCAGAATGCACAGATCCCTGTATGGCTGACTGTATGGATGTAACACACCACTTGAGCAAATATTACAGAGAGACGGGTGCAAGCATGCAAGTACAGTGAATACTTGAAACTGTCTAATACCAGATGAGTTCAGCTGTCTCAGTACTGTCTACTTTTCTTAAATCAGGGAGTGGGTGCTCCCAGTCCTGCCTCTTGAGATCCATTTTTAAGTGGGAAATGCTAGGGGCTGAGATTTAGAATTTCTGCATGCAACACGAGCTCTGCTTCTGAGCTACGGCCACTCTGCCTATAGATAAACATAACCTACATTGCAAGGGGGTGGAATAGATGACTGTTGGGATCGCTTCCAACTCTACAACTCTATGATTCTATAGCCCATGACCACCCGCAGTCTAATATGCTTTGCACCAGCCAGATCAGCTGCTGCTGGGATTCTGATCTCTTTGTGCACAACCTAAGTAAAATAACTAGCTTCAGTTCTCACCATAATAGGTAGATGTGAGGCACACTCAAGATATTTGGAGCAGCCCAATGCACATAGTCCTTCGTTAGGCAGCAAGCCACACACACACACACAATAAATATGGAAAGCCACTTTTCGTGACACAGCAATGCAACTCCCAGAATATATTCAAATACACAGCTGGATTATTGGATGTTGAAAATCTAATCATTATTCATTTCAGATCCCATGCATACTTCATCTGTTCTGCTGCCGTGCTCTTTGATTTTAGGAAACTTTCAAAATTAACTGGTTTCCAGTCCAAAACACATTTGCTTGGAAGAGAACAATTATCGTGTGATAGCAGGCTTGCTTCTTAATTATCATGCTACAAAATTGCTTCCTTGGAAAATTTCTATGTAGCTACGTAGCTTCTGAGGCTCAGTGGCCAGGACACACACTTAGCATTCAATACCTGGGTCCTTCTGAAGCACTTGCAACACTCTCAAGAATCATATATGCAACACTCTAAAAGAATCCTGCTTCTACACCAACCTGAGGGTGCAGGAAGCTACTGATGCCTGCTTTAACCAAGTCAGCACTAGGGGGAAAGCTCTCTTTCCACCAGCTGCTCCTACTTAAAAGAGCATGTTGCAAGCAATATGCCATCTTGGTGGCTGGAGACAGATTCGTTACAGGGCTTCCTTCCGCAACTAATTGCCCACTTAATCAACTTTGATTGTCCTTGTCATCTGACAGACTTCCCTGTGCCCAAGAGGAGAGGACATCCCTCCACACCTTGCATGAGAGAAATCCATAGCAATTACAAGATGTAAATGACAG